GCCAAGGTGGATGCGGACGACTCTAAGAACAAGGGCCTTGCCAAGAAATACGACGTCAAGGGCTTCCCCACGCTCAAGATCTTCCGCAAGTACGCCACCTTTCTTTCGCGCTTCATTCGTTCGCGGATCTTGCCGTAGCGGAATTTCACATCGCAGATTTGTCCGTTCGGAAGTTGTTCCTACAATGTTTGTTTCTGGCTTTTGTTTTTGTTTTGTTTTTTTTTTTCCTTATTCTTTCCACAGGGGTTCGGAGACACCGCAGGATTACAACGGGCCGCGCGACGCGGATGGCATTGTGAGCTACTTGAAGAAGCAGAGCGGCCCGGCGACGAGCGAGGCCAAGTCCGCCGAGCACATCAAGGACCTCGCCGCGTCCGAGAGCGTCGTCGTGGTACGCCCACTCGAACTCGAAGTTGGAATTGAACTCGAATGTGAACGAACTCGAACAAAATAACAACGCGAACTCGGATTTTAACTCGAAACTGGAACGCCACGCCAACATGGCGCCCCATTGATGGCCACCCTTTCCTGCTTTGACACCATCCGTTCCGTTTGCGATGCGCAGGTGGGCGTGTTCAAGGATCTCGAGTCGGAGGAGTTCAAGGCCTTCTCGACCGTGGCGAATCTGTTCCGCTCCGACTACGTCTTCGTGCACACCACCGACGCCGCGCTGCTGCCCGAGACCGGAGGGCCGCTCGCCGCGCCCGCCGTGCGCGTGCTCAAGCAGTTCGACGAGGGCTTCGCCGATACTACCGTGAGTTGGCATTGTTACACCCGTTCGCGCAGTTCGCTGGTGTCGTCGCCAAATTGTGAATCCGCCTTGTGTCGATCAAGCGCAACGCGAGCGCATTCCGTTTTTCTCCATTTTCCTGCGGCCATTGTCCTTGTTACCCGGGGGTGGTGGATGGACATGTGAGAGCACGCGGTGGAGGTGGGGGCGCTGAAGGCTTTCGTGGAGAAGCATTGCGTGCCGTTGGTGCTTGTTCGAATTGTGAAGCCCCTCAAAATATACCCATGCCCGGAATGCCCCATGTCTTGGATATTCGTGCATTGACTGCCCCTGCCCATTCTGTCGATTGGTGAGAGCAGACGGTGGAGGTGGAGCCGCTGAAGGCATTCGTGGAGAAGCATTCGGTGCCGCTGGTGATCGAGTTCTCACAGGACCCCAAGGACCGCACCTTCCTCACCAAGGTCTTCGAATCCAACAAGCCCAAGGTACGCCTCCGCGCGCCTTACGCGCCCTCGTTTTCCCCGTTTCGTTCTCGGAATAGCACCTGCCGACGCGCTGTCCCGTCCTGCCCCTGCCCATTGCTGCCTTCCATGTGCTGCCTTCCCTGTGCCCCCTTGCCCTGCGCGGCAATACCTGTGTGTGCGACGGCAGGCGCTGCTGTTCTTCTCGTACAAGGCGGACAACGCGGCGGACTTCCGCGCGGAGTACGGCAGCGCGGCCAAGGCGCACTCCGACGACATCCACTTCGTCATTGGCGAGGCCGCCGTCAACGACCACGCGCTCAAGGTGAGTCACTGCCCTCAAGGTGCCTTTCCACATGGTGCAAGGTGCGCTCAAGATGACTGTTGCGAAGGTGGAAAACGCACTCGGACGACATCCACTTCGTCATTGGCGAGGCGGCTGTCAACGACCACGCGCTCAAGGTGCGCGCATGCACGCGCTTAGAGTTTGCGGCTTGAATCGTGTTGCCTCTCTCTCTAGAGACTGCTTGCATGGTGCGTCGTATGCTTCAACGCCCTGCTCCTCGCTCTCCCCCTTTCTTCCCCCTTCCCTCTTCCCGTTTCCTCCCTTCCCCATTCCCCCTCTCCTCTTCCCCTTCCTTTGTCCGTTCCCCCTCCCCTCCCCCTTCCTCCCTGCCCGTTCCTCCTCCCCCTCTTCTCTCCCTGGGCAGTATTTCGGGCTGACGGCGGCGGACACGCCGGCGATCATCATTCACGACCCCGAGTCGGATGGCAAGTTCGTGAAGAGCATCATCCAGCCCAGCGACATCGCCGCCTTCATCGCCAAGTTCAAGGTAGGCGCGCCGAGCATGCGCTTTGGGTGGGGTGAAGCCGCGTGTGTAGATGGGATGGATGCTTCGCAGTTCAGCATTTTGTGGTGAGGGGGTTGGGTGGGGGGAGGAGAGGGGCTTATTGCGGACGGGCAATTTTTACTGCTAAGGAAGTGTGCCAGTTGACGGATTGGTTACACATGAGTTGTCAGCACACAGGGGTGAAGTGCGAGTACACGTATGGGCGTCTGAATCCCATCTCTGGTGTTGGTGAAGGAGCATTGCGCGCCGAGCAGAGCTTTAGTCCGCTGCGGCAGGTCTTTTTCCTGCATTCACCCATAGCTCTGGGACACAGTACGAACAAATGCGAAGAAAACCAACTAAGATGTGTCGTTGGGTGCATGCATGTGCGTGTGCGTGGCGTGTGCGTGGCGTGTGTGTGGCGTGTGTGTGGCGTGTGCGTACGCGTGTGTGTGCGTGGTGCTGGTGGCGTGTGCTTATGCGTGTGCGTGGCGTGTGCTCGTGCTTGTGTGTGGCGTTTGTGGGCGTACAGGCGGGAGAGGCGGAGCGAGTGGTGAAGTCGGAGCCCATCCCGGCGGACAACAGTGGACCCGTCAAGGTGCTCGTCGCCAATGCCATCAAGGAAATGGTCTTCGACTCGGGCAAGAACGGTGAGTCCCGGCCCGGCTACTCCCTCCCTGTCAAGCAACATTCCCTGTCAACCTGCTGTCCTCCCTGTCACACATTCCCCCCTCTCCATGTCCCCTTTGTTCTGCCGCTGCCCACCCCTCCCAATATGTCCTGCTGCCACCCCTCTTGTGTTGCTGCTGCCTCTCCTGTGAACCCCTCTGCGCAAGCGCTCTATGCTGACTGTTGATCAATGCGTTGGGCGTATGTGGCGTGCATGGGTGTGATGCGGTGCTGTACGGTGCATGGGTGTGATGCGTTGCTGTGCGGTGCATGGGTGGCATGCGTTGCTGTGTGGTGCTGTGTGGGTGTGATGCGCTGCTATGCGGTGCATGGGTGCGTTGCGGTGCTATGCGGTGCGGGGGGTGGCAGTGCTGATCGAGTTCTACGCGCCGTGGTGCGGGCACTGCAAGAAGCTGGAGCCAGTGTACAAGGAGGTGGGTGAGGCACTCGCCAGCGACCCCGATGTCATCGTTGCCAAGATGGTGCGTGCCTTCCAGTGACGAGAACCTGGAAAGAGTGTGAGGGGAGTGTGAGAAGAGGTTGATTTCTGAGTCGACTCATGCTGGAGCCCGTTTACAAGGAGGTGGGGGAGGCGCTCGCCAGCGACCCCGATGTCATCGTTGCTAAGATGGTGAGCAATGCACAGTGACCGCATCTCATCTTCCCCTTCCCCACCCATCCCCATCCTCACTCCACACCCTCCATACCTTCTCCTTACCGCCGCGCCACTACTACCACTCTCTACTGCATCCCTCCCCCCCTCCCTCCCCACACCCTCCTCCCCACCTCCCTAACAGGATGCTTTGGCAACGCCGTGCCGCAGGCCACTTCTCTGTGAAGAGCTTCCCGACCATCTACCTGTACACGTCTGAGGGCAAGGTGGTGTCTTACAGCGGCGATTGCGGCACTCATCCCCCCCCCCTCCCTCCCTTCCTCCCCCCTTTCTTTCCACCACCCCCAACTCCCAACCCCCATGCAGGATACGACGGCGAATGATGTGTCGCAGGCCACTTCTCTGTGAAGGGCTTTCCCACCATCTACCTATATACGTCGGAGGGCAAGGTGGTGACTTACAGTGGCGACCAAATCACTCATCTTTCCCTTTTACCCCTTCCCCCCACCCTGCATACAGGATGCTACGGCGAATGATGTGCCGCAGGCCACCTTCTCAGTGAAGGGCTTCCCGACCATCTACCTGTACACGTCGGAGGGCAAGGTGGTGTCGTACAGTGGCGACCGCCTCACTCATCCCCCATTCCCACCCTTCCACTTCTCTCCCCCCATCTCTCCCCCCACCTTCAGGACGCCACCGCCAACGACGTCCCGCAGGCCACCTTCTCAGTGAAGGGCTTCCCCACGATCTACCTGTACACCTCTGAGGGCAAGGTGGTGTCGTACAGTGGCGACCGCAGCACTCACCCCCCTCCCCTTTTTGTTCCCTCATTTTCAGGACGCCACTGCCAACGACGTCCCGCAGGCCACCTTCTCAGTGAAGGGCTTCCCGACCATCTACCTGTACACGTCTGAGGGCAAGGTGGTGTCGTACAGTGGCGACCGCAGCAAGGCGAGCCTGGTGGAGTTTGTGCAGAAGAACAAGACGGCTGTGAAGGGCGAGAAGAGTGCGGAGGAGAAGGCCGAGGAGGCGGAGCTGGCTGCTGGGGACAAGGCGGAGGAGGGCGAGGGCGCTGCTGCTGATGCCAAGGATGAGCTGTGAGGGGGTTATTGCTTGCTGGCTGGTGGGCAGGCTTGCAGGCTGGTGGGCAGGCAGGAAGGCAGGGCAGAGTGCTGTGTGGGTCACAGCCATAGCTAGATGCATGCTGGCTGGATGGTAGGATTGCTGGGTGCTGTCCTGGTGTATTGAGCTGTTGCTGCCCTGCCCTGGATGAGCTATTGTAGGTTCTTTCTTGGATTTTTTAACTGGCTGTGCTAGCCAGAAAGTTAGGGTAGGTACAAGGGGGTCGATTTCAGTACCGACTGGAGCATATGAATAAGGAAGTTACTGCTTTGTGTTTACTGCGAATGAGAATACCTCCCTGAATAGCCAAATCCTGATTTTTGTTGATACGAGCAGTTATAATAACTTTTATCCTGACGCATGTAGTGCGCAAAAAATTGGAACATGCAGCGGTTCTCACTGACTGGAATATGTCTTGATAAAATGTGTTCCACATAATCATACATTCAGACACGCTTGCTCATAAGGTAGAGAGTATCGAATATGTGGGACATACCGTCTGTCCAACAGCCCTTGTGGAGGTGTGCACAATGCTGCGCTAGCTGTGGGTGGTAATTGAATGAACGGTTGGCAACTCAAGCCGCTCTTGTCGGCGCGCGCACGTTGCTGCGGATGGTGCGAGCGACAGTGCGCGATGCCACCCTCCCTGCCAGCTCCACTAGGAGCAACAGTGCCGTCTGCTGAGCTGGCAGGGGCAGCTGCATGCACCGCAGGATACAGCACGGCATGGCACACATGGCACAGCACAGCATGAATCGGGGAGGTGGACGGAAGGGGAGAGGAGGGAAGGAGACGGGAGTGAGAGCCGTCCGGAAGGGAACCCAGAAACAAAGTCTTGTGCGAAAAATTTGTGAGTTGACCCACATGGGTCAGATCACATGCCCCACATGCCCCACATGCCCCACATGCCCCACATGCCCCACATGCCCCACATGCCCCACATGCCCCACATGCCCCACATGCCCCACATGCCCCACATGCCCCACATGCCCCACATGCCCCACATGCCCCACATGCCCCACATGCCCCACATGCCCCACATGCCCCACATGCCCCACATGCCCCACATGCCCCACATGCCCCACATGCCCCACATGCCCCACATGCCCCACATGCCCCACATGCCCCACATGCCCCACATGCCCCACATGCCCCACATGCCCCACATGCCCCACATGCCCCACATGCCCCACATGCCCCACATGCCCCACATGCCCCACATGCCCCACATGCCCCACATGCCCCACATGCCCCACATGCCCCACATGCCCCACATGCCCCACATGCCCCACATGCCCCACATGCCCCACATGCCCCACATGCCCCACATGCCCCACATGCCCCACATGCCCCACATGCCCCACATGCCCCACATGCCCCACATGCCCCACATGCCCCACATGCCCCACATGCCCCACATGCCCCACATGCCCCACATGCCCCACATGCCCCACATGCCCCACATGCCCCACATGCCCCACATGCCCCACATGCCCCACATGCCCCACATGCCCCACATGCCCCACATGCCCCACATGCCCCACATGCCCCACATGCCCCACATGCCCCACATGCCCCACATGCCCCACATGCCCCACATGCCCCACATGCCCCACATGCCCCACATGCCCCACATGCCCCACATGCCCCACATGCCCCACATGCCCCACATGCCCCACATGCCCCACATGCCCCACATGCCCCACATGCCCCACATGCCCCACATGCCCCACATGCCCCACATGCCCCACATGCCCCACATGCCCCACATGCCCCACATGCCCCACATGCCCCACATGCCCCACATGCCCCACATGCCCCACATGCCCCACATGCCCCACATGCCCCACATGCCCCACATGCCCCACATGCCCCACATGCCCCACATGCCCCACATGCCCCACATGCCCCACATGCCCCACATGCCCCACATGCCTCACCTCTGTGAAGACCTCCCGCGACGGCAGCCGTTGGATGATCGCCGTGGCCTGATCAACGGCTGCCTGAATCCCTCCCCACCCTCCACTCTCCCCCTCTCCACCCACACTCTCCTCAATCCCCCCATCCCCCTGCCCGCCCGAGGGGTCAAGGTCGGCAACGATGGTGGCCAGTCTTCGGAGATTCTCCAGGTGCTCCTTGTCCTCTTCTGTCGCCAGCTGCAACGGGCCGGGAAGTGCCGGCCGGAGTGCGGGCGGCAGACGAGAAAGAAGGGCGGCGGAGGAATCGTCAAGGGTGACCCGGTTGAGTGCGTCTAGACCCTGGGGGGGGGGAGAGGAAAGAGTGAGGAAATGGGAGAAGGGGGAAATTTGAGTAAGTATTAGCGAAGAGTAGGGAATGGGAGATTGTGGAGAAGGGAAGAACAACAGGGAAACAAGTAGAAAGGGGAGGACACTGCCGTGCAGGAGCTTGTATGTTGCGGAACAACGCTATAGGATAGCGACATTAACAGGTGCTGTGCAGCGAGAAGGGGGGGTGTGCATGGCAGCAGTACCTTGGCCACTTCGTCCAATAGCAGCTCTCGAATGAACCGGCCCTGTCACAGACAAACAAGACATAGCGGGGCGTGCTGTTAGTTGTCAGGGTTACTTGTCATCAGAAATGTGGACAACCGGACGATGAGGGTTGCGCTGTTACATGCGAGGCTCGGGCAATTGGCACCAAAAATGTTGCGGGTGCCATGGTAGAACGCTGAGCAACGAATGCAGAGCAATGGGAAGACTCAATGAACCCTCACCACACCCATCCATTCCTCAATGAACCCTCACCACACCCATCACCACTCCCCTCACAATCACCACTGACCTCTTCACTCAACCCAAACTTGAGAATTCTCTTGAGGGTTTTTGTGCGGCCCTCCTTGGACGTGTCGTCCGTTGATTGGCTCTGGGCGGCTGAATCTGGGCCGTACATGGGCTTGGACGACTGCAGGGACCATCCGTAGATGATCTACCCCCGCAGCCCACCAATCACAGCCCAGGCACACGAGACAAGGGCAGGACACCAAAGAGAAAGGAACCATGGAGCGTTTGAATAACAGGCTGATGATACTGGATACAAACACGCACATCACCACACAACACCTAACTCTTCACCTGCACGTTTTGCTGAAACCCGCCTTCCTGTCGTGACTCCCTCACTTCTCGCAATCCTCTCCATACCCCTCTCGCTCCTCTCCTCCCCTGGCCCATCGCACATCCCCCCCCACACACCTCTTTGAGCAAACTTTCCAGCCGAGACACTCTGAACTGCCCGTCCTGTTGCCCACACATTGAAGGAGAGCGAGGGTAGGGGCGGTCGGAAAGCGTGTGATGAGACGGTTTCTGAGTCAACTGCGAGAACTATGCACCACTTTCAGAAGGCTCTCAAGACGTTGAATAATATAGAATTGTCTTCAAATGGGGCTTCGGCCAGAATAGCAAGGGTTACCTTGAATAGCAAGGTTACCTTGAATAGCAAGGTTACCTTGAATAGCAGGTTACCTTAAATAGCAGGTTGGTGACGGTGGAGCGCAGCTGGGGCGAGGGGTCTGTGAGGACCTTCTTGGCTATCCAGGGGTACGAGCTGGCGATCACCTGATGTGGGGAGGAGCCGGGGCAGGGTTATGTGGGGAAGGCAGACTCAGTGGGACACAGTGACATGTGTTGTATGCAGCTTTTGAGACGTCTCTGAAGGCATGGAGAGCTATGTAACGTGTCTAGTCCAGAGAGAACAGAGTGGGTTGTGCAGCAAGTAAAAGTCAGTCAAGTGTGCAGTGGGTCGGATGATAGTGGCAGGGCACATGAACTGGTGCCTGTACCATGACATAGTATGCACGTGAGGAAGAAGGGCATCGGAGGGGCGTGACACACCTTGTAGTTGGGATCTCGTTTCAAAGCGATGCCTTCCAACACTGATAGACTGGTCTCACTCATGCACCGCACACACGGATGCACCGCACACACACATGCACCAATGCGCACACACACCAGGGCATAGAAATGGCTGCCTCACCTTGCAAGGAGAGGAAACAAGCATCACAAAGGCAGTCAAGCTAATTAGTCTAGCAACAATCAACATGGCCTGCTACCATACCAGGGACTAAACAAGCATGCACTATACTAGTCAGCAGGAGCAGGGACACGTGGCAGTAAAGATGCATTGGAGAGGCAGGTGGGCGGCTTGACTGGCAGCAAGGGACGGAATCGGATAGCTGACCTTCTGACGACGAGGGAGAAATAAGCCGGCAGACGGAACTTGAAGTTGTACCTGGCAGGCACAGCGGGACGGGAAGGGTGCACCGGGGAGGGGTTGGTTGGGGATGACAACATGACGACCTGGAGCACCGGGGAGGGGTCGGATGAAGACGATGACATGACGACCTGGAAGATTCAGCATTGGGCAGCATAGAACACACATTTGCCTACTTGGTTAGGCTGAGCCCACATGGTTAGGCTGAGCCCACATGGTTAGGCTGAGCCCACATGGTTAGGCTAAGCCCACAAGCCCGCAGGGTCGGGCTAAGCCCGCAGGGTCGGGCTAAGCCCGCAGGGTCGGGCTAAGCCCGCAGGGTCGGGCTAAGCCCGCAGGGTCGGGCTAAGCCCGCAGGGTCGGGCTAAGCCCGCAGGGTCGGGCTAAGCCCGCAGGGTCGGGCTAAGCCCGCAGGGTCGGGCTAAGCCCGCAGGGTCGGGCTAAGCCCGCAGGGTCGGGCTAAGCCCGCAGGGTCGGGCTAAGCCCGCAGGGTCGGGCTAAGCCCGCAGGGTCGGGCTAAGCCCGCAGGGTCGGGCTAAGCACGCAGGGTCGGGCTAAGCACGCAGGGTCGGGCTAAGCCCGCAGGGTCGGGCTAAGCCCGCAGGGTCGGGCTAAGCCCGCAGGGTCGGGCTAAGCCCGCAGGGTCGGGCTAAGCCCGCAGGGTCGGGCTAAGCCCGCAGGGTCGGGCTAAGCCCGCAGGGTCGGGCTAAGCCCGCAGGGTCGGGCTAAGCCCGCAGGGTCGGGCTAAGCACGCAGGGTCGGGCTAAGCCCGCAGGGTCGGGCTAAGCCCGCACGGTCGGGCTAAGCCCGCACGGTCGGGCTAAGCCCGCACGGTCGGGCTAAGCCCGCAGGGTCGGGCTAAGCCCGCAGGGTCGGGCTAAGCCCGCAGGGTCGGGCTAAGCCCGCAGGGTGGGGCTAAGCACGCAGGGTGGGGCTAAGCCCGCAGGGTGGGGCTAAGCCCGCAGGGTGGGGCTAAGCCCGCAGGGTCGGGCTAAGCCCGCAGGGTGGGGCTAAGCCCGCAGGGTCGGGCTAAGCCCGCAGGGTCGGGCTAAGCCCGCAGGGTCGGGCTAAGCCCGCAGGGTCGGGCTAAGCCCGCAGGGTCGGGCTAAGCCCGCAGGGTCGGGCTAAGCCCGCAGGGTCGGGCTAAGCCCGCAGGGTCGGGCTAAGCCCGCACGGTCGGGCTAAGCCCGCAGGGTCGGGCTAAGCCCGCAGGGTCGGGCTAAGCCCGCACGGTCGGGCTAAGCCCGCACGGTCGGGCTAAGCCCGCAGTGTCGGGCTAAGCCCGCAGGGTCGGGCTAAGCCCGCAGGGTCGGGCTAAGCCCGCAGGGTCGGGCTAAGCCCGCAGGGACGGGCTAAGCCCGCACGGTCGGGCTAAGCCCGCACGGTCGGGCTAAGCCCGCAGGGTCGGGCTAAGCCCGCAGGGTCGGGCTAAGCCCGCACGGTCGGGCTAAGCCCGCAGGGTCGGGCTAAGCCCGCACGGTCGGGCTAAGCCCGCAGGGTCGGGCTAAGCACGCAGGGTCGGGCTAAGCCCGCAGAGTCGGGCTAAGCTCGCAGGGTCGGGCTAAGCCCGCAGGGTCGGGCTAAGCACGCAGGGTCGGGCTAAGCCCGCAGGGTCGGGCTAAGCCCGCATGGTCGGGCTAAGCCCGCAGGGTCGGGCTAAGCCCGCAGGGTCGGGCTAAGCACGCAGGGTCGGGCTAAGCCCGCACGGTCGGGCTAAGCCCGCACGGTCGGGCTAAGCCCGCAGGGTCGGGCTAAGCCCGCAGGGTCGGGCTAAGCCCGCAGGGTCGGGCTAAGCCCGCAGGGTCGGGCTAAGCCCGCAGGGTCGGGCTAAGCCCGCACGGTCGGGCTAAGCCCGCAGGGTCGGGCTAAGCCCGCAGGGTCGGGCTAAGCCCGCAGGGTCGGGCTAAGCCCGCAGGGTCGGGCTAAGCCCGCAGGGTCGGGCTAAGCCCGCAGGGTCGGGCTAAGCCCGCAGGGTCGGGCTAAGCCCGCAGGGTCGGGCTAAGCCCGCAGGGTCGGGCTAAGCCCGCAGGGTCGGGCTAAGCCCGCAGGGTCGGGCTAAGCCCGCAGGGTCGGGCTAAGCCCGCAGGGTCGGGCTAAGCCCGCAGGGTCGGGCTAAGCCCGCACGGTCGGGCTAAGCCCGCAGGGTCGGGCTAAGCCCGCAGGGTCGGGCTAAGCCCGCAGGGTCGGGCTAAGCCCGCAGGGTCGGGCTAAGCCCGTAGGGTCGGGCTAAGCCCGCACGGTCGGGCTAAGCCCGCAGGGTCGGGCTAAGCCAACATGGTTAGGCTGAGCCTAATAGTCTGGCCAAGATGGTTTGACCGAGCCTACAGGGTTCGGCAGAGCATACATGGTTTGGCCGAGCTGAGTGGCGAGGCTGCCGAAGCTGATGTTCCGCACGCCGGAGCTGACCGCATCCTTGAAGATGGCCGTGAGGGCGAATGACACCTCGCTCATCTCCTGACCCGGTGGCAGTAGACTGCACGGTGGGAGAGGGAAAGGGGAGCAGAGAAGGAGGGAAGAGGACATGGGAGAAGGATGTTTGACACCTCGCCCATTGCATGCCTTGAGAACAACAGGCTGCGACGGAAGGTGCGGGGGAGATGCAGTGGAGAGTCAGCTAAAGAGTGCAAAGGAGTGGATTGCAATGCGGCTCACCCAAGAATGAATGACGAAGTCCCCCACCAGCAGGTCGAACTCGCGGTTCACCAGATGCACCGCTGCTCAGACGAGGTGACCCTTGAGTTGAATAAAAGATGCACGGCAAACCCCCGTGAGAAAATGCGGCTCACCCGAGAGTGACGAAGTCCCCTGCCAGCAGGTCGAACTCGCGGTTCACCAGATGCACCGCTGCTCGGATGAACGCCTCCCTCACGTCCCGGTCCATGCGCCCCATCATTCCAAAGTCTGGCCGGGGGGGTACGAGGAAAGGTGTGGTAAGGAGGTAGGCTGGTGAGAAACAACACCATAATCACCGTAGGTGAGACATGAACGCCTCTCTCACGTCCCGGTCCATGCGCCATCGTGCTTAAGTCTGAGCGTGGTGGAAGGGAGGGTGGGGGATGGGTGTGTGGGGTTGTCAGGAGAACACTTCTCTCACAGCGAGTGACACATCAATGCCTCCCTCACGTCCCGGTCCATGCGCCCCATCATGATAAATCTGGGGGGGGAGGGAAGGGGAGAAAGGGGTTGGAGGGTGGTGGTTAACATAGAACACCCTCGTCATGGTGGTGGTTAACATAGAACACCCTCGTCATGGTGGTGGTTAACATAGAACACCCTCGTCATGGTGGTGGTTAACATAGAACACCCTCGTCATGGTGGTGGTTAACATAGCACACCCTCGTCATGGTGGTGGTTAACACAGTGGCGAGACATGAACGGTCCCGACCCATCACATTCCATCCACCCCATCCCCAGAAACGCTCAACCACGCACAGATGGTGCCACCTTACAAAGGTGCGTACCCCTGCCCTGTCACACAGCCAGCTCCCCTCAACCTGCCACGTCAACCTGCCAGGTCAACCTGCCAGCTCACCCACCCAGATATGCAAGGCGTTGGTCGCGCGTGAGGAGGAAGTTGCCAGGGTGCGGGTCGGCATGGTAGAATCCGTAATCGAGAAGCTGTGACAACGAGCAGTACACGCCCACCTGTGGGGGGGCAGGGATGCAGGAGGGGCACGATGAGATGAGAGGAGCGCAAGGAAGGAGAAGAGCAGAGGAGAGTGAAAACGGAGATCGTTATGGCTTCTTGGTAGTGGCAGGGACCGGCGTAAAATGTTGAGGCTTTCACCTCCACCGCCCCACTCACCTCTAAACCCCTCTCACCCCTCACTACCTTCTATCACCCCTCACCCCTTTCTCACCTCCACAAGGCTCACGTCCTTGCTGTCTGCAAGGCGCTGGCCCTGTGTGTGTGCCATGCAGAAAGAGGAGGAGAGAGACGGAAAGGGGGAGAGAGTGAGATGGAGAGGACTTGCATTGATCCACCATAAGCATTTTGAGTGACACAATGCACCGCGAACAACTCATATGAACCTACTGCACGGATGCAACATCGACCCACTACAAGCACAGCTCACATCGATCCACTATAAGCACAGCTCACATCGATCCACTATAAGCACATCTCACATCAATCCACTGTAAGCACAGCTCAATCGATCCACTATGAGCACAGCTCACATCGGTCCACTATAAGCACTATCCACTATAACCACATCTCACATGGATCCACTATAAGCACAGCTCACATCGATCCACTCCATTATGAGCACGCGGCGAGTGGTGAGCTCGGGATACATGCGCGGCACCACCACCCTCTCTATCCGCCCGAATAGCTCGCTGGGGGAATGGGTGTGGAAAGGGGGGGGGTAAAGAGGGGAGGATTGCACATAGTGAGACATGAAATGAGTGCGAGTGGTGAGCTCCGGATACATGCGCGGCACCACCACCCTGTCTATCCGACCGAACAGCTCGCTGGGTTGTCGGGGGTATGTATGGGGGGATGAGTGTGTGGGGGGTGAGAGTGGGGAGCGGAGCATTGTTGAAGCGCCTTATCAGTTGTCCCTGGATGCATGTGCGGCACCACCACCCCGTCTATCCGCCAGAATAGCTCGCTGGTGTGACGGGTGGGGGAAAATGGAAAGCAGATGATGGGAAGCAATTGGAAATGGAAATGAGCCCAAGTTGTTTGAATAATCAGTCAATTGCAATAAGTGACGTGAGGGCACAAGACACATGCAACCAAGCAGCCGAGGTGAGAGATTTGAGGGGGTGAGAGGAAGGGATGAGTGAGGTGAGACTTACGCGAACTTAATTCCGTTCTGCGCTTCCTGCTCATAGTCCATCTCCTGTCATCACAGAGAAGATCAGGGCAGAGCAGAGAAGAGCAGAGCAAGACAGAGCAGGGCAAGCGCGGGCACAAGACAGTGAGATACGCCCTGGCTTGCTCGCCATGTCTTCTGAGAGCCCGTGAGTCTAATGCCTCGCCAGAAGTCATTAGTCAACATTTCAAATACATTGACACCCCATCACACCAGAGCATACCAGACCCCACCACACCATACCGCAGCATTACCCTGAACAAGCTCGTAGCCCACTCGTCCACCACTGCTTGAAGATCCGTGTTGAGGCGCCTGTACTGCTTGAGCCAGCCAGCAAAGAGGCGCAGAATGAAGATGTCCAGCGCGATGGCTGCCCGCACTCCCGGGCGCTGCACCTTCACTGCCACGCGCTGCCCGCCCGCCCTCAACCTCGCCTCGTACACCTGTGCGAGCGGGAGGGGAGAGGGGAGAACAAGGGGGAAGCGGAGGGGGATGAATGGGGTGGGGGGGAGCGGGGGAAGGGCGGGGAAGGGCGGGGGAAGGGAGTGGGCAGGGTGGGGGGAGAACATGAGAAGGGCGTGTGTCAGGTAGGCGGAATGAGAGAAGGCAGATGACCATATATTTTGGTGGTGGGGTGCTCTGGCAGGCACTGCGAGGACAGCGCATGCGTGCGAGGCCAGGGGAGGTCAGCAGCAGCAGGTGGGGTAGGCAGGCCGCAGGAATTGGCTGAGAAGCCGCATGTCAGAAAAGGCGAAGCAAGCTGTTTCCTGCCCCAATCATTACGCGCCCTAGTCAACACCTGCCCCCCACCTGCCCCAGTCCCTCACTTGCCCCCCACCTGCCCCAGTCCCCACCTGTCCCAGCGACGCAGCAGCGGCCACGGGGGAGGGCGAGATCTGGTCGAAGAGCAGGTCGACGGGTGCACCCAGCTCCGCCTCGATAAGGTCCAATGCCGTGCCACAGTCACCACCTCTATCATTCAATACCTGCCCCACTCACTACCTGTCCCCGGAGCCATTACCTGTCCCAGCGATGCAGCAGCGACAGGGGAGGGCGAGATCTGGTCGAAGAGCAGGTCGACGGGTACACCCAGCTCCGCCTCAATAAGGTCCAATGCCGTGCGCGTGGGGAAGGGCGCTATGCGGTCCTGCAGCAGGGACAGCTCGTCCACGTACTCGGGTGGGATCACATCCTGATAGGATGGGGGAGGGGAGAAACGGGGTCAGTGAGGGCGTTGGGTGGGAGGGTGATTGTGAGGCGCGTCAAGGAAGGGCGCAATGCGGTCCTGCAGGAGGGACAGCTCGTCCACATACTTTGGAGGGATCACGTCCTGATAGGATGGGATACTGGGATGGGCACATGGGCACACACATGTGGACATCTGGGCATGTGGGCATGTGGGCATGCAGTCATGTTTGCGTGGGGACTATCCAAGGCAGAAGAACACGGACGTACCGGGCGGGAGGAGACAGCCTGAGCGATCTTCACAAAGGCCTGGCAGGGTGCACGCAGGGGAGGTGAGGACGGGGGGTGAGGGCAGTGGGAAGAGGACAGGGGGCAGAGGGCAGTGGGGAGAGGGCAGGGGGATGAGTGCAGTGGGTGAGGTCGGGTGCGGGGACAGGGGATTGAGGGGCAGTGAGGGCGGGGGAGGTGGGCTGGGGACAGGCGCAGCAGGGAAAGAGAGAGTGAGCAGGATTAAGTTGTGAACATGTGAAGGAGCGGATGTCTGGCTGACTGGGAGAGGAGGCAAGGCACTAGCCGTGAAAGTGCGGACACACCATCGGAAGTGGAAGTGCGCCCTGACACCTCCCTTCACTCGCACCTCCCTTCACTCGCACCTCCCTTCACTCGCACCTCCCTTCACTCGCACCCCTTCTCACCTCACCGGACCACCAGTCATTGGCAGCACCTCACCCTCTGATTCACTCCTCTTCCCCCCAGCCTCCCACTCTTCCCCCTCCTCTCACAGGTTCCGCAGCACAAGGTAATCCTTCCCCCCTTCCCCCCCCTCATCCCCCTCTTCCGCTCACCGGCCCCAGCAGCACGAGCGCCTGGCGCAGCTCCCCTGCGCGCTCCTGGAAGGTCTCCTCCGCGCGCCCCAGCTTCGCGTCCGCCCACCGCTTCCCCGCCCACCCGCCCATCACCGCGCCGATCTGCGCCAGCCGCCGCGCCACCAGCAGCGGGCGCGCGCGGAAGTACTCCGCCATGGCGCGCGCATCGTACTCCGCCCACTCGTCGCCCCCCGGGCCCGCCGCGCGCGCGATATAGCCGGAGTAGCGCGAGAAGGAGTCCTGCTCTTGTAGATACTCCAGCGACGAGTCGTATCCTTGTGACGGATCGTTTATATCGCGTACAACGATGCTGATCTCTTCTGTTCTGCTGGTGCTGCTCCCGCGGTTTTGCGACCAATTGGAGCCGGACACGCGGCGGTCGGGGAGGGATTGACCGGGGGCAGTGGTATCTTGGGACGGCGAGGTCGTAGCGGCGGCTACAGTTACGCGACTGACACGAAGCGCGGGTATTCGGGAAATGCCGAAAAAAATCGGATAGTTTTGGCGGGCATTACAGTGAAAGCGGGCGCAATTGGCCGAACCTGGACCGCTTATCGAGATGCCACGTGGCGTGCGGAGCAAGGTCGGAGAGCGGAAACCCCTGGTCGCGACGACAGCCATGGCGACGAGATGACCTATACCGACCGACCTCTACTCTCTGCTGCTCATACAATGTGCGTGAGCCGTGACTCAAAACAGCACCGAATCAATTAGTCTGGCTGGACTCTGGAGGAACACGTGGCGCGCAGATGAATATTCGCGTAGCCAGGAACCAAGGAAGTGGGAGTGCGTCCTGAAGCAACCTGCCCAGCACATTGACTGACGCGATAAGAAGCTCCTCAGCAACGTGTTGGAAAAAATTACATATTACATTCTGTTGGAAAAAATAATACGAACAAGAGGTGAAGTTGCTCCCAAAGGAATAGGGTGTGTGGGAGGAAGTTCGGAATTCCTGACAGACCAATTAGAAGACGTAAAAATTGGGCGCCCCGTCAGCCCCACCAGAAGTCCAGGTTCAAGGCGTGGGATGCGACACCACAGAGTTGGAAGGATCTGGTACTCAAGCAACTGTCGGCGGAGGAGGTTTTCAGGGAATCGAGGCTGGTCCGCTCTTCGTCTTACCGCCCAGGAGAGTTCTTTTACTACCAGCTGCAGTATGTGAGCAATGGCGAACTTTACGGTCGGAGAGTGACGGTGGACAAGAAAGGGAACATAGGCGAGGTGGAATATGCTAGCGTGGTAACAGTGGATTTCCGGCGCGTTTCACCCATGGCAGTCATCGATGGGAGGGCTCGCGGCCTACTCGGCGCTCCGAGGACGCGACTGCTCTGTTCCACAATCTGTGAGAGAGGCGAGCAGGCTGATCCAAAGAAGTTGAGGAAGGCGATGAAACCCTCAGTGACGCAGCCGAAGCAGCAGCTGAAGTGGGAAGAGGAGATGGAGAGGAAGATCGATTGGGGGAAGGCCATCACGGTCCGTGACTCGCTGGCAACCCCATGCAGAGCACGGGAGGTGATACTGAGGGTGCACAGTAACAACCTCCAGGTGGGAGAGCGGCTCCCTTTCTTGGGCGCGAGGGCGAAATGCACGCACTGTGGCGGAGTGGAATCGCAGGATCACTGTCTTTTCAGCTGCCCGGTGATCCAACCTGTGGTGGAGGTGATGAAGAATGTGGTTCGGTGTATGAATCCGGGCAGGGACATGCGTTCGCTCGGGGACATGCTCTTCCAAAAGAGTGGCACATCGACTGGCTTTCCTGAGACAGCAATCATATCCATCACAGCGCACCAAGTTTGGCTGGAAAGGTGCAACGCGGTTTTCCGAGAGAGCCGTTTCCAGCCAAAGAGAGCTTTGAGGCGCATGGCAGTTGGCTTCACGAGGCACGTGAAGGTCTACAACAGAGCGCGGAAGAAATCGGCTGGCAGGATTGCTTCGAAAAGGACGGGTGACTGGAGCCACTTGAATGCTGACGAGGCAAGTGCTATGTGTAGGCTCTATGAGACAGAGGCCTCGATGACGTGGAGAGTTGGTTTCAAGAAGATCTGGGAAGATAGCGGTGTAGCGTTTCAGCCTCCGTAAAGGGATAAGGGGGGCTCTGGTTACTAGGATGCTTGTAACCTCTCCCTGCCCTCCTAGCAACAGTTACGACTGCGGATGTATGTATGCTGATAGTGTACCTATATCCACCAAAAAAAAAAAAAAAAAAAGTCCAGGTTCGGTTTGTCGAGCCTGCTTCGCTAACCCCCCCGATCGTCGCCAGCCTTCATCAGGCCAACTTGATCTTTTCCCAAACCAGCCGGCTCTTGATATCTCCAACCGCGTCAAACCTGACAGATTTGGATTGCCCGGTTTAGGGACGCGACGCGACGCAGAAGAATCTGCCACAGGGCAAACTGGACGTCAAGGGCATGCTTGTTGTAAACGATGGTCGGTTGCCCGTCCCTATTCAAATGTGAAAGGGACGGCATCGCGCAGCTGATAGGTCATTGGTCTGCAATGAGCCGGCAGCACAGCGAACGGCCAGATGTTGCTGATGCGATTGTGGGGCACCCACCTGTTTCATCCGCAGGTTCGGACAATCCCAAGGTTGAGGGGAACTCCGCGAGGCGCGCAAATCCGTCTCAGTAATTCCTCCATAATCCCGATTCCCGTCCCGACTCTCAGTCAAGCCCACGCCAAGCCTCCGTCAACCCCACGCAACCGCCGGAATGCCGCCGAGCCGAGCCCATGCGGGGAAACCCCGCATGCGAGAACGAGCATCCAAACCCACCCGTCATACAAATTACCTTCTTGATGCACCTTTCTAGTAACAAGTATCAGCTTATTCTAAGTTTTGTTCAGGGCCAAGTTTTGTTTTGCGACCTGTGAGGATTTGACCCCATAGGCTATCATGGCGACCACTTCGGCGGCCGTCCTCCCGTCAGGGGTCTTTCTAACCCGAGGGTCGGAGATCCAGAAAATTCCCGCTCGCGCTGCTGCGGGAGCCAGAGCCCTCGCACCCCTCGCGTCGGCCAAACTGCGAGCCTCCCCGAGATTGCCAGCCCTATCGACTCCATTCATCTGGTCCTTCAAACCCGCTGCGGCTCCGACCGTCGGCCTGCAGTCAGAAAGCCGACAAATCTCATGCGCCGTCGCGGCGGAGCCTCCTCCGAAGGAATCCGCGGCAGAGCTGTCTTCGTATGAGTCATTGCAAGTGCCGTTCTCCGACGTGGTGGTGCAGCAGAAGCGGCCGTATTTCGTCAACCGGGAGTACACGGCAAGGGACTGGAACTACATGGTCAACTTGGCCTTGTACCATGGGCTGTGCCTCTTCGCTCCCGCCACCTTCTCCTGGGAAAACTTTGGCCTCTTTTTCAGCCTTTACGTGATCACAGGTGCGTTCTTCTTCGCTTCCGAAACTTCTCTTTACTCTTTTTTTTTTTTTTTTCCGCAAACGTGATTTGTACGTGCAATCGAGCGTTGATGCTCATGCTCTTTACATTTTGGTTGATTCTCTGCTGTCCAGGGCTGTTTGGGATCACCCTGTCATACCACCGCAATCTGGCGCATCGTGCGTTCACGCTTCCCAAGTGGCTCGAGTACACCTTCGCCTACCTCGGAGTTCTCGCCATTCAGGTGCGCCGCCGTTTCTCGTTGCTCGTGCTCTTTCTTCGTTGATCATTGTGACTGTGAGACGTTCGTGTTGCTCTCGCATGTCCAGATTCCCTTCTCCTGTGACGCACATGTGTGCTCTTTTTAAACTTACTCTCTCTTTCCATCCCCCGTACGTACGCCCTTCTGTTTCCACTTCATCGATTACTGAAGGGTCACCCCAAGGAGTGGGTGAGCGCGCACCGCTACCACCATCGCTTCGTCGACACGCCCGGCGACCCGCACTCGCCGTGCGATGGCTTCTGGCACAGCCACATGGGGTGGGTTTTCGACGAAGCCTTCACGCAACAGCGGGTAAGATTATTTCCAAATGCGCCCTGCCTCGTGGCTCACCTTCGCGTGCCATCGCACGATAAACGTGGAAGCAGTTGAACCTGGAACGGAATGGACGTGAAACGTAAAGGGATTTATGAGTAAGGGACTGGCTCCTTACCGTGTGTTGTCCACCAAACTCAACATTTTTTTCTGCTCTGTACCGTACTGCACCTTGTGAAACGGCAGGTGGGCGCGCGCGACAACATCGCGGACATGGAGAATGACCCCTTCTACGATTTCATCGAGGCCACCTACCACTGGCACACCGTCGGCTCCGTGGCGCTGCTCTACGCTCTCGGCGGCTTCCCCTGGGTCGTCTGGGGCTTCGTACGTGCTCCATTGGCGCTTGTGCAATTCTCGTTCATCTCTGTGAAATCCTATGCAATTCCAGTTTTTCTTTTTTACTTCGTCGTCTTGTAAAGCAATTCATGGTGGAAGTGTCGCTGTCGTGGTAATAACGGCTGTGCGTTTCATTCTATTATTTCCATGTCTGTCTGTGTGTCTCAGGGCGTGCGCTCTGTGGTGGTGCTGCACATCACGGGCCTAGTCAACTCCGCGGGGCACATATGGGGCTATCAATCCTGGAACACCGGCGACCATTCACGCAACAACTGGTGAGCCCTTGCCGAGTCCCTTCCGTCCTTCCAACTCCCCCCACACCCACCCCTTCCCTCCCTCCCTCTCCCTTCTCTTGGCCCTCCCACACACCCCCGTCCGAAGTGGCCTGGGGATGTTGGTGTCAGAGCTTGTTGTGACAGGCACTTGGGTTGAGATACTTGTGTTGTGAGCCAGCCGCCTTGGTGGTACAAAGAGTCCAAGACTGTGTTCCAAGTGCTGGGTAGTAGTTGCACGAGCTCGTTGCCTTGTTCTCACCTTTCTTCTCTGCTGCTCTTCCCTCCCTCCCATGCCACTGGGTCTGTCAACACAGGTGGGTGGGGCTGCTGGCGTTTGGCGAGGGGTGGCACAACAACCACCATGCGTTCCAGTACTCGTGCCGGCATGGGTTGGACGCACACGAGGTGGACGTGACGTGGTACATAATAAAGCTGCTCGAGGCTGCTGGGCTCGCCACCAACCTCAAGTACCCCCATGACAAGGACGTCAAGCGCCTCTCCTTCCCTGACCAGCCAGCTTCTCAGCAGTAGACTTCTGAGGCGCCTTAAAAGTACATGAAGCGTATCTCCTTCCCTGACAAACCAGCTTCTCAGCAGTAGCCGCGCCTAGTGGATGATGCATGGTCACCATACTCTCCCACTCTACCATCCTCCCAGCGCTTCTCCCTCGTGTCCCGGTCTCACGTGGACCGGGCTGGTTTAGGAGCATAGGGTTTGGATGCATGTTAATCTAGTATTTTCTGCTGGAATTGGTGCATCCCCAATGCGACTCTTTTGGGTTGAAATGCAAGCATGTCCTTAGCCCTAGGCTGAAGCCAGAGTTTTAGGAGTTTTCTTTACGCATAATCTGAATTCTGATTTCAGGTTTTTGCTAGCTTGGCTGCTTCTTGCTTCTAAGCACAACCTACTCATGGCATGTTTAGGGGTGAAGTGGGGCCTTTGATAACACGTGTACGTATAATTTTCACAATACGAGTGTGACCCACCATTTTGTGAATGCTTCAAAAATATTACAGTATCGAGACACGCTACACCGAGAAGCCGCCAAAAGCCTTTCAATTGAGACGCGCTCAGACCTTTGGCGCCCAACTTCGGTCCAATCAGCCCACGAGCATGTCAGAAAGCATCCACGTGAACGGAGCCATGCCACACCGTGCCCTTTCAGTGAGGCAGTTGTCTTGCAAACCCCAAGGCATTCCCAGACATTCCCGAGGCAATCCCACGGCTTTCCTCCCTGGTCAGGATGCCAACCACTAGACCTGGTGGTTCTCCTCCGAACTCTAGACCTGGTAGTCCTCTCTGTTGCCGACTTCGTCTCTTAGCTTCTGCAACAACACGGCTATCATTATATTTGATTAGACCGATGAGTTATAACCATGGACGATGATATATAGTTCTCCTTCGAATAGAAGTCGAGTACTTTAACTTGTATGTAGCCTATGGCTGGTCCTCTCTATTGCTAGTCCACGGCTCAGCTTCCGGTGCGTTGCGACAATGCTAGACATTTAACTCCTTAAAGCAAAGGTCCTATTGTCGTCTTCGTTTCCACTTAGCGAAGGGTGACTTCCGAAGAGACGGCCTAACTGCTGCTCGTGGTAGCGTAGATTCAGCTAGGCTCAACGTTGATACAGTTCACTCAGAATGATTTCTCCCTGATGCATCGTCGCACGCTGCGACAGCCAGCAAGGCTCTTTGCGAAAACCTTCGCGACGGATGCGTCTGGCTGGTCTCTGTTTGCCCTCTAACGGCCTGCGAAAGTCTAGAGTTAAGTGACGCGGCGACAAGACGAATTAGCGCAACATCTGACATGTATATTATCCGGAAATAGCCTTCAAGTCATGAGAGGTTCGTGCGACGGAAGCGATTGTTCCAGCGAGTCTTGGTTAGCGACAAAGGATGCATCCTCCAGTCCTAGTGACGGAGTATTTCCTCACCGTGAAACTTGCAGTCTGAAAACGTTTCTCGAGATTGCCAGCCGGGAACAACGCAGCGTTTTTCGGAACACGAATGAGCGGCGGAAAGCAGCGTTCGCAGCACTTCGCAAACGGCAGCAGTAGCGCTCGCCCACCGGCATTGCAAGCAGAGTGACGCAGATCACGGGACCATGGCGATCGTACACCATGAGGTTCGCATACGTTCGCATCGAGTTCCTCGGCGTTCCCTTGGACACGACGAATGACTTTAATGGTACGTAATAGCGACGGCTAGTGGGGGGAATCATGCGTCTAGGATAGGAACGCCTAGAGAGTCTCGCCGCTTTTCCCGCTCGCGTCATGTTTTAAGTTACCCTTCCACTAACGCATGCACCATCCCTCTCCCCTTGTCCTCCTCGTTCTCCCATCTGCATGCGTGCGATTACCTCGGAGGCGCGGGATTCGGCTCGTCTCCGTCGCTGTTCAAACACTTCAAGAATCGACAGCCGTCGTTTGAAGCTCGCAGACGTGCCTTCGGAGTTCACAGTCGTCCGGTTGAAGATCGTCGGCGATCAGGGGACGATAAGCGGTATGTGAGAGCGAAGGCTGTGGGGGGGATTCCTGTAAGCGTCTAGGATAGGAACGCCAGAGTCTCGCCGCTTTGTTCGTCCGCGTCAAGTGTGAAATAACTGTCGCATTAACGCGTTTATTCTTCTTCTCCCCTTGTCCTCCTCGTTCTTCCCGCTGCATGTTTGTGATTAAATCGGAGGCGCGAGATCGGAGGCTGTAGCGTCGGACGAATCGCCTGACGTCATTTCAAGAATCGCCTGACGCCGTTCCAAGAATCGCCTGACGCCGTTCCAAGAATCGCCTGACGCCGTTCCCAGAATCGCCTGACGTCGTTCAAAGAATCGCCTGACTTCGTTTCAAGAATCGCCTGACGTCGTCTCAAGAATCGCCTGACGTCGTTTCAAGAATCGCCTGACGTCGTTTCAAGAATCGCCTGACGTCGTTTCAAGAATCGCCTGACGTCGTTTCAAAAATCGCCTGACGTCGTTTCAAAAATCGCCTGACGTCGTTTCAAGAAACGCCTGAGGTCGTTTCAAGAATCGCCTGACGTCGTTTCAAGAATCGCCTGACGTCGTTTCAAGAATCGCCTGACGTCGTTTCAAAAATCGCCTGACGCCGTTTCAAGAATCGCCTGACGTCGTTTGAAGAATCGCCTGACGTCGTTGGAAGCTCTCCGGCGTTCTTTCGAAAGTCATACTAGGCGATCGCTTCGAACTCACAGGCGATCATGAAAAAGATCAACGGTACGTGAGAGCGAAGGCTGTAGGGGGGGGGGGGTTCCTGTACATGTCTAGGATAGTAACGCCGAGACATCGCGGAAAAGGAAAATTGCGATTTTGGGGGTCCGAAGGTTTTTCTGCGAAAAGATTGCGGTTTTCTTGCGCGAAGTGTCCAAAAAACGACGACCCCAGATCGCAACTTTCCATACATCGTTGGCGTACCTTAACACTGGCGCCAAAAAGTCAATCGAAAGTGACTTCAACATCGGGCATAGGGTTTCGCACGGTCGAAAGCGATAACTAGCGGTTAGGAAAAGTTACATCAATTGTCGGGTGTAACAACCAGATTCGCGAAAAGCGTACATTAAGACGAAATTTAACGAGGTTGCAAACCTGGATACCAAGCTTTCGGAAACCAGGTACTCAGAGCCAGAACCACCCAACCCGAAACAATCTCGCTTGCTGATTCCTTTGGGAGTGTGACGTGTCATTCTGGGAAATATTTAACAACCAATCATGGTTGTTGCTGTCATTTCTCAACCTATCCACACCGTCCAGTCTGTACACGTCAGCAGATCCAATCAAACCAGAAAACGTCAACCCAATATGCACAACCCAACCCAGTGTTTCCTAGATGACATATCTCCCCCAACAAACCCCACGCCTCCATCCCTCTCGTACAAATGGCAACACGCAACCACACATTCCACTCTCATTTTCCTTTGAAGTTCCTTAGACGAGCAACTTAGATCTGTCCAGCGAGGACTTCAATGTCCTTATTTTAGATGCATGATACATTAAAGGAATGGCATGTATCATGCATGGCCTCGCTGGATGCATGATACATGCCATTCCTTTAATGTATCTGGATGCATACCTCGCTGGATACATGATACATGATCATGATATGGCATTAAAGGAATGTATCATGTATCATGATACATGCCATTCCTTTAATGGCATGTATCATGCATGCCATTCCTTTAATGTATCTGGAATGTATCATGCATCCAGCAAGGCCTGCTAGATAGAGATGCATGATACATTCCTTTTAACCTACCATTCCCCTTTCCAGGTCGACGACTATAAGCGTTTTCGCGGTGGACATGCGCACACGTACTGACGATTACGCGCCATTCAGCAGCTACTTTTACAAGTCGTAAGGTTCTAATATCACTGGTAAGATATTTGTGTTGTTTCCTACGATTGCATCTACTTCCTTTACTCAGTTGCGGCTACTGTGCGGCATCTCACTACTCCAGTGCGAGGCAACCGGTTTGCATTATTGTGCATCTGCTGTCAGTTTTGCGGCACACTACTGGTAACCCCACGTCCCACACTGTGTTGTGGTCGCTTTTCTGTACTCGACGGCGCAGAACAGTGACTCCGTTTGGGTGCATATCGCGACGTGGAACCATCACCCATGTTATTACAACCCCTTTTTTTCTGTTGCTTCACTGATGTTCAAAACCTATGCCATATCTCCTTGCAGGCTTTCTCAACAGCCAACTGTTGCAACTAAGGCTGCACCAGGTTGACGGCTTTCATCAAATCAGGTTGACGGTTTTCATTTCGGCGGATGTCCGCCTTCTCGCGGTAAGCGTGCCCGCATTTAGCGATGGAGTTTCCGGCTATAGTTTTGTGTGTGCAACTCCTTGTCATGTTCATTTCCTGTTTGCTTGTTTTGCAGGGCGTATCTGTTGATGCAGGCTTATCGTCAACCATAAATGCATGCTGTGTTCTTTTTTGCCAGTACTGCGTACTTCTAACCCCAATGGAAGTAATCGGTGAGTGGAAATGCATACTTGATTTGCATGTTTCACAAGCTTTAACTTGCTACTTTTCCTAGCAGGCAATATCAAGATGGCAGCACCAAATGTTACATCCTGGTTTTTTGCTGTGCTGAAGGAATAGTTACTGTAGTTGTATGGGGCATTATGGTATTTTGTATGCAGACCCTTTGATATTAGTGGGAGAAGTTATATACGTTAAATAATGAAACCCTACAAAAATTAAGCTTGAATTGAATTTGTGGCTAATAATAATGATATAATCGCCAGCCAGTAGGAGGTCGTTACCGCACACAAAAAATGCTATCTGATTGGTACATAAGACGCGCTCGTGTCCGTCGATTCTAATCTAATCCGACGGCTGTCGTTGGAGTACGATGACAGCCACGTCAGCATGTTTCAGTTTCATCTAAAGTACGTCGTATGCCACGTGGCGCTGTCGTGACACTTTCGCGTAGGTTGCTCAAGGGTGACGTTTTCCGCCCCCCTAGTTGCATTACCGTATACCTCACAATTGCACCGAAGTGTACAGTTTGTGTTGGGAATGTGACGGGAAAGTCACTTCGCAAGTTACTGACGCTACCATTGTTTACGAGTCAAACTTTTTTTTTGGCACTTGCCTTTTCCGTGATGGAGAGTCTCGTCGCTTTCTGTCTTCGCGTCATGTGTAAATCTACCCTGTCTTTGACACGCATACCATCCCTCTTCCCGCGTTTTTTCCCCTGCATGTGTGTCGGAGGCACGGGATTCCGGCGGTCGTCATCGCTGCAGAATCCGAACGAGGTCGCACTAGACACCAAAAGAATCGTTCCGAACGAGGTCGCAACAGACACCAGACCTGGCTAGAGCAGAACGCCTCAAGTGAAGGCGTGGATCGCAGGAGCGGCAGATTGGTGGACGGAGAGTGGTATGTGCCAGTGGGTGCCTGCAGGGGGGAGGGAAATGAGTCATGGAGCGTCGCCGCGCAGAGGCAAGAGTCGTGTTTCTTGCTTATTTACTCCGCCACTCGCCTTGTGCTTTTTCTAACCCTCCCTTGTTGGTCGGTGCTGCTTCTGTGTGCGTGTATCCCTTCCCATGCGTGTGTGTGCCTCACGACCTAGAAGCACGGGCAGCCGGAGCAACGGAGCAACCTGGAGCAACTTGGAGCAGCAGGCGTGAAGGGAAGGCGTGGTGCAGGAGTGGCATAGCAGCGTTCAGAGTGCGGTATGTGCCATGGGGTGCCTGCAGGGGGGAGGGAAATGAGTCTTAGAGCGTAGCCGCGCAGAGGCAACAGTCTTGTTTCTTGCTTTTTACTCCGCCACTCGCCTCGTGCTTTTTCTAACACTTCCTTGCTGGTTGGTGCTGCTTCTGTGTGCGTGTATCCCTTCCCATGTGTGTGTGTGCCTCACGACCTACAAGCACGGGCAGCCGGAGCAACCTGGAGCAACTTGGAGCAGCAGGCGTGAAGGGAAGGCGTGGTGCAGGAGTGACATAGCAGCGTACAGAGTGTGGTATGTGCCAGGGGGTGCCTGCAGGGGGGAATTGAGTCTTAGAGCGTCGCCGCGCAGAGGCAAGAGTCGTGTTTCTTGCTTTTTGACTCCGCCACTCGCCTCGTGCTTTTTCTAACCCTACCTTGTTGGTTGGTGCTGCTTCTGTGTGCGTGTATCCCTTCCCATGCATGTGTGTGCCTCACGACCTACAAGCACGGGCAGCCGGAGCAACGGAGCAACCTGGAGCAACTTGGAGCAGCAGGCGTGAAGGGAAGGCGTGGTGCAGGAGTGGCATAGCAGCGTACAGGGTGTGGTACGTGCCAGGGGGTGCCTGCAGGGGGGAAGTGAGTCCTAGAGCGTCGCCGCGCAGAGGCAAGAGTCGTGTTTCTTGCTTTTTGACTCCGCCACTCGCCTCGTGCTTTTTCTAACCCTCCCTTGTTGTTTGTTGCTGCTTCTGTGTGCGTGTATCCCTTTCCATGCGTGTGTGTGTCTCACGACCTACAAGCACGGGCGGCCGGAGCAACGGAGCAACCTGGAGCAACTTGGAGCAGCAGGCGTGAAGGGAAGGCGTGGTGCAGGAGTGGCATAGCAGCGTAAAGGGTGTGGTATGTGCCAGGGGGTGCCTGCAGGGGGGAAGTGTGTCTTAGAGCGTCGCCGCGCAGAGTCAAGAGTCGTGTTTCCGGCTTTTTGACTCCGCCACTCGCCTCGTGCTTTTTCTAACCCTCCCTTGTTGGTCGTTGCTGCTACTGTGTGCGTGTATCCCTTCCCATGCGTGTGTGTGCCTCACGATCTACAAGCACGGGCGGCCGGAGCAACGGAGCAACCTGGAGCAACTTGGAGCAGCAGGCGTGAAGGGAAGGCGTGGTGCAGGAGTGGCATAGCAGCGTACAGAGTGTGGTATGTGCCAGGGGGTGCCTGCAGGGGGGGAGTGTGTCTTAGAGCGTCGCCGCGCAGAGGCAAGAGTCGTGTTTCTTGCTTTTTGACTCCGCCACTCGCCTCGTGCTTTTTCTAACCCTCCCTTGTTGGTCGTTGCTGCTTCTGTGTGCGTGTATCCCTTCCCATGCGTGTGTGTGCCTCACGACCTACAAGCACGGGCAGCCGGAGCAACGGAGCAACCTGGAGCAACTTGGAGCAGCAGGCGTGAAGGGAAGGCGTGGTGCAGTAGTGGCATAGCAGCGTAAAGGGTGTGGTATGTGCCAGGGGGTGCCTGCAGGGGGGAAGTGTGTCTTAGAGCGTCGCCGCGCAGAGGCAAGAGTCGTGTTTCTGGCTTTTTGACTCCGCCACTCGCCTCGTGCTTTTTCTAACCCTCCCTTGTTGGTCGTTGCTGCTTCTGTGTGCGTGTCTCCCTTCCCATGCGTGTGTGTGCCTTACGACCTACAAGCACGGGCAGCCGGAGCAACGGAGCAACCTGGAGCAACTTGGAGCAGCAGGCGTGAAGGGAAGGCGTGGTGCAGGAGTGGCATCGCAGCGTACAGAGTGTGGTATGTGCCAGGGGGTGCCTGCAGGGGGGAAGTGTGTCTCAGAGCGTCGCCGCGCAGAGGCAAGAGTTGTGTTTCTGGCTTTTTGACTCCGCCACTCGCCTCGTGCTTTTTCTAACCCTCCCTTGTTGTTTGTTGCTGCTTCTGTGTGCGTGTATCCCTTCCCATGCGTGTGTGTGCCTCACGACCTACAAGCACGGCGGCCGGAGCAACGGAGCAACCTGGAGCAACTTGGAGCAGCAGGCGTGAAGGGAAGGCGTGGTGCAGGAGTGGCATAGCAGCGTAAAGGGTGTGGTATGTGCCAGGGGGTGCCTGCAGGGGGGAAGTGTGTCTTAGAGCGTCGCCGCGCAGAGGCAAGAGTCGTGTTTCTGGCTTTTTGACTCCGCCACTCGCCTCGTGCTTTTTCTAACCCTCCCTTGTTTGTGCCGCTTCTATGTGTGTGTGTGTATCTCTTCCCATGTGCGTGTGTGTTCCTCACGGCCTACAACAAGCTGCTGTCTCTTCCAACACAGCAGGTAACTGGGGGTGAAGATGCCGCAGCAGCGCGAATGCACCAAGCGTTGCTTTTTACCTCAGTCGCTTTTCGATCTTCCATCTGCGATCTCTTCTGGCATGTCGCTGCTCTTTCACATCCTCACCCGCTCATCCACTCGCTTCTCTCCTTGCTCATTCCTCTTGTCCTCTTCTTGCCTTCTTACCTCTCCAGCACTACTGCATCCCCACCCTCCAGCACTCAAGGGGGCGGTGCCTGCAGCAACTGAGGGGTCACCAGTGGCTGCAACAGCGGCTGTATGATGGTAAGCACACAAAGTGTTGTGAGCCGATCAGCTAGTATACCCTTCTTTCCATTAAACGTGCTTTCTCTTGTGCGATTCGCTATTGTCTACCTGTTTCCACAGTGCCATGTGCTATGTCGCTGGGTGTTAATGCCACTCAGTTCACCTCTCAAACTCCTTTCTTCCTGCCCTCTCTTCTTCTCTGCTCTCCTCACTTCCATCCCGTCTATCGTGCACCAGCAGCACGGGCACCAGTGGTGGTAGCAGCAGCAGCTGCAGTGGCGGCAGGGGCAGTTGCAGCATCAACTACTGCAGCGCTTGCGGCTGCAGCAAAGAACAGGTGATTACGGACCTTATGCATCCCATGCATCCCAGTTCCCTCACATGTTGGCTGGTCTGAGTACTTGCGTTCTTGTCTGGTGGTTTGTTGTCCTGCTCGTCTCCTTTAATCCTTGCGTTGCTCGTCCTCCCCTCTTTCTGTGGCCTATTGTAACGGTGTCCTGATCCCCCTCCCCTCTCCATGGCCCTTTGCTGTCCCTGCCAGCAACTGCGGGAAAAGCAGTGGCAGCAACGACAGTGCTGTGTAATTTTCATGGTAGGTGTGATGGGAGATTCTGCAGGGGGGAGTTGCTGGCCTTGCTTACTTACAGTTTCTCAATGTACGCAATTGCTTGCTTCACACGACCGGTCTGACATAAGCACAACGCACTATTTTTTTTCTTGTACGGTATTCAGCTTCACTTGTGTGCTGGTGTGCGCTTTTGCTTCTCGTATGTGACTCCCTGCTCTCTTTCCTCCCGTTTCTTCCATGTCCCATTCTTGTCCCATTGGCTGGCTCTTCTGTTGTTGAGTGCAGGGCGAGGTTGAGGAAGACTTGTGAAGCGCAGCATGGTGGTGGGCCACCAACATCTCAAGATGCGCCGCTGTGCTTACCCTCCCATGTAGCTGTCCTTAGCTCTGCTTAAATGTGGTTTGGTGTGTTCTTCGTTGCTTAGGTGTGCTGTGCTGTGCTGTGCTGTGCTGGGTTTCGCATGGATGTGGTAAAGTAGGTGGGTGGAGTGGGCATTGGAGAACCTGGAAGGCTGCAGGGAACAAGCAGTGTCTTCCTGCAGGACTTGGCTGCTACAGGCCAAGCCATCGTTCACAGCGCTGAGAGGGAGTGAGGTGGAGCTGTCATGAGATGAGAGGCACATGAGAGGCACATGAAAGGCACACACACACACAGTGATGAGGAGGAAGTGGAAGTGCAGGACATTCGAGCATGAGCTGCATGCAGCATGCATGCATGCATACAGGGCCAGCCACCACGAACAGGACACACGATTGCATGGCACGAGTTAGGCATCCAAATGGGCATGGAAGGGACTGACAAGAATTGGGGATTGCTCTCATCTCATGCAGTGCATGAATGGTCAGGACTCGGGGGGTACCGTACAAACACCCGACAACATAATGCAGCTGCTGTGACAAGGACAGTAACCACAGGCAGCACTGCTGTGGCGGCGCAAGAGCATGTAGTGGGCGCTACCCAATCTGACACTTGCAGTATCACAACATTCTCCTCTGCTTGTTGAGACGGTCTGTACAGGAGACATCTCCCTGACATGGATGCTGTCTTCTGCTGTGGGAGTATGCTACGGTATGTCCAGCCAAGAAGCCAATCTCGGATCCTCCTTGCTTCTATCTTCAAGCAATCACGACCTTACGTACAATGGGTGGAAAATCCACTCCCTGTGCTCATCGGTACAGGCTTATTATGACATTCAGAGTAAGTTTCAAGCTAAGCATCGTCGCTCGATGCCAACTGGAAAGCAGACAAAGGAGGCAACAAAAAGGTGGAATGAACTCATTGACGAGAGGTCACTGTAATAGCTTGATAGATACATAACTACAGAATTTTCACAAGGGGACCTCTAGATGGAGTCTAGTCTAGACTGTACTAAGCAGTTACCGTCAGAAAAATGCCTGGTCTCGAATGCTCCCGCTGAACCTTTGAGGCGGCCTCAAAAGCCATCAACAAAACAAATTCTCCTGCTAAACCACAATAGCCTGCCTCTAACTAAGGGGCCTTTTCCTTTTCCTTGAGAACAAACTTGCGCAAGCCAGGGAAGTGAACCTGGCACAGGTAGTGGGTCCAGTCGATGTTACGAACGTTGAAATTGAACTTGCGCTGCTCCTCAGGTGACATTGCAGAGAACAGGTCTTCCATGTTGCTTGAGTCAAACCTGCATGCACACGCAAACAGGCAACGGTTGAGTGAGCGAAGCACAGACTTGCGAAGAGGCAACACACTAGGTGGGAAATGCCGTGATTGTGTGCATGCAGGAAATCCTGCATGCAGGGGTTGATTGTGCTGTAGCAAGGTTGATCACTTACAGTGCCTTCCCGAAGCAATAAGGCATGTACAGCTTAGCCAAGCGCTTGTACTGATTGTGCCTCTTGGTCAGTTTTGCAGCCTGCTGCTGCTTCTGTGCTGGTCCAGTTCTTGGGTCAAGTGTCACCAGCTGCAAAACAATTGTGCAGAGGTAAGAAGATTGAGTGAGGTGCAGTGGGGAGGTGAAAAAAGAAGGCCAAATACTCACAAGAACAAGCCCGGGCAGGAGGAGACGTGACTTACAAGCCTGGGCAGTTCATATTGAAACCAGATAGCCGCCATGAAGAGACAGGGCCACGGAAAGGCTATCATATTGGACACAGAGATTGCAGTCCCATCCTTGCGCTTCATGGGTGTGGCTGCAAAGTGCTTGGTGGTGGCGGCAAACAGTCCGCTGAAGCACAGCGGGTTGGTAACCGACGACGTCACGTGGTACACACGCGGCAGATGGTGCTTGGAGGTGGACGGAATGGCACTCCGTGGTGGCTTTGCGTTGCTGGCAGCAACGGCAAGGATAGCGTTGGCTAGTAGGTCCACTGGGATCTGCATCGGGGAGACAGTCGGGACACACAGAAAGTACAAGTAGAGGGTTTGCTTGCTGCTGCCTACGCATGTGGCATGCGGTTCATAGGCACATCAGACAGAAAAATAGAGAATCTAGAGCGGAAGAGAAAGTGTAAGACGGGAAGACAACGCAACGGTTCTGAAAGATGGGCGCAGGAGGAGGGGGACGGGGGAAGGTGGTGTAGGGGAGGGTGGGGAAAGAAGAAGTGGCAACAAGATACGCTAAGCATGCAATAAGCCATGGGGAGGGAGGAGCGAGGCGGTGCGCTCACTCACAATGTCACAGATGCCGTCTGGCTGAGCGTGGAAGCCCGGTATGGCACCCTTGCCAAACGCCATGAGCACTGGATCCGCCACCCTGGGATTGTCATTGTCATTGTCATGGGGTCGATTGGGGTTGGGGCGATTGTCATTGGGGCGATTGTAAATGGGACGATTGAGAGCACACACACACAACAGAAGAGAGTGGGAAGATTGTGAGCAGTGTGATAAGAGCGCGAGACAGGGAGGTGCAAAGGAAGGACAAGACAAGTGCGAGGGAGTCAACTCAAAAGCTTGCCGCTTGCATGGCATGGCACGGCATGGGGTCGTGGCATGGGGTCGTGGCATGGCAGACTGACTGACCGAAAGCCTTCGATCCATCCAGGCATGGGCTCCTGCAGGGCACTCTCCACTATGCTCGGCCGCACCACCACCACTGGCACTCGCGCTTCTCCCCCCTCCCCCTCCCCCTCCCCCTCCCCCTCCCCTTCCGCCCCCTCGCGGTGCTCCACCAGCGCCATCTCCCCCATTGCCTTGCACAGCGCGTACGCGTCCTGCCACCCAAAGGTACGCGCCCTGGCGGAGGGGGAGGAGGGCGGGAGAAGGGGAGGAAAAGCAGAGGAGTAAGCAGGAGCAGGAAGGTGAAGAGAGAGATGGCGCAGCACAGTAGGTAACAGGGACAAGATAGAAAGCGATGTGAAAGGGTGCAAGGACCAGGCGCACCCAACTCTTCCCTCATCTGAGTCACTTGCAAGAGAATTGTCGAAAGCCCACACAGCCACCCACCTGTCTGCACCCAGCGCGGACAGGTGCGCCTCTACCGCTGCTGCCACTTCCTCCGCACTCGCTGCTTTTGAGACGTCTCAAAAAACAAAACCCGCGTGACAGTAATCTAGTTTTCACACGTCTCAAAACCCACCTGTCAGCACCCAGCGCGGACATGTGCGCCTCCACCGCCGCTGCCACTTCCTCCGCACTCGCCCCTCTCGCCCTGGCCCCTGCCTCCACCGCCGCTCGTTCCCTGAACGCTAGTGCCACCTCCCCATCCACGTCTAGCACAGGGACTTCAGAAGCCGCCTCAGGGGGTGTGGCAGCAGCAGCAGCAGTGGTGACAACAGCGGCGGCAGCGGCGGCAGCAGTGGTGGCAGCAGCAGCGGCGGCAGCAGCAGTGGGGGCAGCAGCAGCAGCAGCAATCGGGTCGGCAGCAGCAGCAGAAGCAGAAGCAGCAGCAGTGGTGGCAGCAGCAGCAGCAATAGCAGCAACAGCAGCAGCAGCGGTGGTGGCGGCGGCAGCAGCAGTGGGGGCGGAGGGGGTGGGAGAGCAAGCGAGCATCTCAGCAGCAATGCTATCGCCCGGAGAAAAGGGTCGCTCCATGCACCTCCCCTCGCGCTGCCCGTTCACATAGGCTGCAAGGGGAATCAAAGGAGGAGGGGTGAGTGAGAGGGAGAGGTGAGAGTGAGCTGGGCGGTACAGAGGGCAGTGTGCAACAATGTTACAGTGCCAGTGTTACAAACCAGCAGGTCACACACAGAGACAGACACTGCATGAGAGCGATTCAAATGCCCCAAATGCACACTGGCTTGCACATGTGAGTCGGTCGGAGATGCAGATGGAAATGTGGCTCACCAGTGGAGACATGCACCAGCAGCTCAAGCCGCCGGCACTTCTTGGCGAAAGCGAGCAACCGCCGCGGGCCCAGGGTGTTGATGTTGAGTGCCACGTCATACCTGACAGGCACAAGGACACGTGGCAGGTTGAGTAGGACACGTGGCGAGTTCAAAAGGACAGGAAATCTACAAGGCAGTATGATTGGACACTTCGCAGGCGACGTGCTGCCACATACATTCTCCAAAATGAAGCAGCTGATTTCAGAGTCGACTCAAAAGTCAGCTCCGGAGGCGACGTGCTGCAACATGCATTCTCCAAAATGAAGCGGCGGCTGATCACCCAGACAAAACCATCAGAGCTCGCGCGCACATCTGGTTTACATGCGCGCGCAGCTGACAACAGCCTTGGAACGAGCTGCTTCCATGGAATGGGATGCACATGCACATGCACATGCACATGCACATGCACATGCACATGCACATGCACGTACCGGGCTTCAAAGTCAACGGTGGCGGCGAAGTTGAAGATGAGATCCACGGACTCGTGCAGAGCAGCAGCGGCGTCATCAGCCAGTCCCAGCCCCTCCTCCCCCACGTTGCCCTGCACGGCCGTCAGCTTGCCCGCCATGAACGCCTCGTAGCCCTCCCCGTGCCGCTCGCGCAGGAGGGAAAATGCGGGCGATGGAATAATCTGGGGCGAGGGAATGCAGGCGGAGAGGGAGGGATGTGTTGTGCTTCTGAGTCGACTCAAAAGAGGATCTGGGAAGAGGGAGGGATATGTTGTGTGCAGACGCGGGAAAAAGGGCGAGGGAATGGCCTCTGATGCGAGCACGGCAGCAGCGCAGCTGAGAGCACGGCAAGGGCAGCGCGCGCACCTGTTGCTGGAGGCGCTGCTCCGCGGTGGCGCGCGCTGTGGGTTGGATGAGCAGATACAGCTGCCCCACCCCCGGCTGCTCGCGCAGTATCTTCTCCACCAACACTGCCCCGGGGGAAAGTGGGCGGAAAGTAAGGGGAGGGTAAGGGGGGAAAGAGAAAAAAGGCCTTTTGAGACGACTCAAAAGTTGCCAACCCTCGGCTGCTCGCGCAGTATCTTCTCCACCAACACTGCTGGGGAGGGGACGGGCAGGCATGGGGAAGGGACGACGTGCGGAAGGGAAGACGTGGGGAGAGTATGGGAGAAAGAGATAAGAGGTTCCATGGAGCGAAACAGAGTGTCGTATCGAGCGAAACGGAGTGTCTTTCGAGCGAAACAGAGTGTCTTTCGAGCGAAACAGAGTGTCGTATCGAGCGAAACAGAGTGCTTTGTCGCAAAACAGAGTGCCTTGTCGAGCGAAACAGGTACCACAAGCCTGCACCCCAATGAGCCCGTGACCACAAAAAGTCGCACCTTTGCCAATGAAGCCCGTGGCGCCGGTGATGAGCACGTGCTTTCCCTCCAGGAACGGCAAGATGCCCATCCCCTTACTCGCCCGCCCCTCCTCCTGCTGCTGCAGCAGCAGTAAATCCTGCTGGAGCACCTCTTGAGACGTCTCAAAAGACACGTCCTGCTGGAGCATCGCAGTCGCCCCAGCGGATGTGGCAGCAGCAGCAGGAGCAGTGCTGTCTTTATCGGAGCTTTTGGTGCGCGCGCGACTGCCAAGTGGCGAAGAATCAGGCCCGGTTACCAGCGAACACACTGGCGAGGGCAGAGCACGTGGCCCCCCTTGGTATCTCCCGGACCAGCTTGGATTGGCCCCCGCCTTCTGGAGGTAAAGCTTTCCTGCTCTAGAAGGGTCGACTTGCTGAAGCAAGGCAGTCGCTCCAGCGGTTGTGGCAGCAGCAGCAGCAGCAGCAGCAGCAGCCGGAGCAGCAGGAGCGAGTGTGGGCGCCATTGTGACAATGGCGGTGAGAGCAGAAGCCAGTAAGGCGGCGGCTGCACAATTTGCGACAAGAGGAGCCAAAAAGCACGACGCACGGTGCACGACGCACGGTGCACGGTGCCTAGTACTGCCGTATGGGCCTTCGTATGGGGCTTGGGCCTTGCCGCGCTGCTTCTACTCTACTATGGGCAAGTAGTAGCGTACTTGTACACGAGGGAGGAGCCTAGGGAAACCCGAGGGTCGGACGGAGCCTAGTAAGGAACCTCGGAGGTTGGGCGGAACGGAAGGCTCTGCCGGAGACTCAGTCAGGCTGCGCGTGGGACGGCCGCGGCGGCCTCTGTCGGCTGGCAAGGCCCCTGTCAGCCGATTTGGATAGCCGCCTAGCCGTCTTTCTTATCTTCCCTCGCTCTCTTAGCTTGTAAAATAAACGCGGCGCGTTTTCTTCTCTTGCGCTCTGCTTCAAACTGCTCCTTCTCGCCCCTGCTCCTTGGCAGTCCACAGAGGCATTGCCGATCGACAGGGGGCCTTGCCTGTCGACAGAGGCATTGCCAATCGACAGGGGGGCTCTGTCCGACTGGCAGGGCCTCTGCCGTCAACAGTGGTGCGGAGCGCGGTAGGTACACCTGGGCTCCCATAATTTCATTCCCTGTAATTGCAAGGCCCCTGTCGTCACCTGGGGTCAGGAGCTCGAGCGCTTCGGAGGCTGTCAACAGTGAAGTCGAGAGCTTTACAGCCTGTGACCTGACGCGTCAGCACATTTCCACGCTGGAATGAGCTGGTGTAATAGATTCGAGAAGGCTCCCAGGCATGTTTTCCGTGGCTCACAAAGCAAACCAGCCGCACTAGATTCCTATGTGGCAAAAAATGGACGGCCTACGTGAAGGAAATGAATATGGGTAGAAACAAGCGTAACCGACTCAAAAACGATCACAACCACTAAGGGACAACACACACTACTCCCTTCCTCTGGTAGAGAGCAAATTCGACTTCCAAACCCACTTCCAAATGTTCCAGCGGGGACTGACTCAGCGTGAAAATATCTGCGCTTGGGGGGGTTGAAATTAGGGGGAACTTTTTTGTTCCCCGTAATTTCAACCCCTGTGCTAAACGACACAGGTGCGACCCGGTGCCCCGGCTCTGAAATTATCGGAGCCCAGGTGTACCACTGTTGACGGCAGTGCCGTCAACAGTGGTGCCGCACTGTTGGCGGTGCCCATTCGATCATCCCACTTCCGCGCACATCCGCGCACATCCGCGCACATCAGTGCGGTCGGATCGAATGAACGTCGCGCGATGGACGGCATCAGCAAGCCATGCCATGCCATGCAGTCGCCGAGTTCGGCTGAGCCGATGAGAAGGGCTGGGACCTTGAGGGTCTGGCGGTTGGTAGGTTGTTTGGCCCAGTGGGCAATGGGCATCATTCACACACGACACGGCGAGCCGTCTCCTCGAAGCGGCCTGCGGTGGAGTGGGGAGAGTCCACCGACGTGAGTTCACGAACTTCGTGAACGGATTGCGCCAATAGCAGTCACCCAAAATGACAGGGACTCGCCGAAAGATCTGCAATCCGTACCGCATGGTCCATACAGATCCATGAGAAAGTTGAGCCGGCTACGTCGAAGCGCGAACAGCTTCGACAAATTGCCACTGCAAGGCAACTTTCCCTGTATCTGGCGCAAAACTAAGGGTGACGGTTTACAGGCATACCAGGTACGGCATGCCACGAATATCTGTCAGATAAATTGTCAGGCTTCGGTCATTTGGCTCGGGAATTGGTTCGGGAATTGGCTTGGGTGATGGTTCGGCACTAAAAAATCGTGTACAGAATTAGATGAAAAGGACAGAACAAACATAGCAACCAGCCAATACCCGCTTTTGAGTAGACTCAACAGCAACCTGCCTACACCCTTGAGAAAGAACGAAAAGGCCCAATTTTCGTACACTCAGCCAGTGTACACCTAAACTGCCATCCAAGACAGTAGCCATCCGGGCCTCGTAAATGTAAATAGTTAGGCAGCTCTCAGCAACACTTAGCAAAACGCTACCATCTGGGCCTGGCCTTCTTTCCCTTGAGCTTCGCCACGTGCCGGTTACTGTCATGCTTGCCCTTGTCCCTCCTCATCCACCTCCCCGGCCTCTTCCCATGCACCTCCCTCCCTCCCTCTCCACCTCTACCCCCAGCACCACCAGCATCACCAGCAGGCGTGGCAGCAAGGGCCTGGAAGGGGTTTACGCCTGCCACGGGGTCGGGTGTGTCACCATCTGGCCTGCGCTTCACCTTCTTCACCCGCCCCCTGTCCAGCTCCTCGTCCCTGCCCCATGCAATGTGGACGGAGGGGTGGGGTGGGGAGGGGTTAAGGGGGAGGGGGGACGGGGAAGGGGGAAGGGAGGAAGAGGAGCAGATTGAAGAAGAACACAAGAGGAGAAAAAAAGGGGCCGAGGGGAAGGGGGTAGGAGAGAGAAAGCAAACGAGGCGGGAAGGGGTGTGACTGATGCTGGGATGGCAAGATGGCAGCGCAGAGGGAACACTGAACTGAATGACCCTATGACCCCGGGAGTGGTGCACTCACCACTCGTCGTATCGGTACTTGCTGGCAGGTCGCCTCTCAGCCACATGAAGGTGGGCGCCATTCATCACCATGCCTTCTGCATCCACACATGGGTCGGATAAGTCAGCGACGAGAAAAAGGGGCATCGCACAAGTGATGGAAAGGCAGGCCTTAAGTAACACAGAAGTGGGGAAAAACGGGCTGCTGAACACTCTACAGGAGGACATGCTACAAGTGAAGGGGCAACAATCCCACCCATCCTCCTCTCGCCCTTGTTTACTTCTTTGCCTCTGATCGCGCATCACCCCCAATGATCCCGGACCGTCTCCTTCCCCCAACCCCACCCACCACCCCACACACCACCACCTCATTTCCCTCACAAGCAGGGCCCCTCATAACAGGCCCAGTCTTCCCATAAACACACCCATCAACACAGCATGACATCACAGGATAACGCTCTCCCCCACTGCCACTCACCATCGTCGCCCCACTGCCACTCACCATCGTCGCCCCATTGCGAGCCCGCCAGCCCGCCTGCCCCAACAGTCGCCTCCTGAGCGCCCTCCTTCATCATCCACACCGCATCCGACCCCCCATACGTCACCACCCTGCTCCCGCTGCCGCCACCATTCCCCTGCCCATTCCCCTGCCCGTTCCCCTGCCCGTTCCCCTGCCCGTTCCCCTGCCCGTTCCCTCCCTTTCTCCCCTCCTCCTCCTGTTCTCCCTCGTCCGTCTCTTCGCCTTTCTCCCCCGTGCCCTCGTCCTCACTCTCACTCTCGCTCGCACTGCTCCACCCCTCCGAGTCATCCTCTGAAGACCCCACCCTTGGACCCACTATCCCCGGCCCTGCCATCATCATCGCCACCCCTTCCTCTTCCTCTGCCTCCTCTGAATCCACCTCCCCTGAATCCACCTCCCCCTCCTCCAGTCCTATCCCAGCCACCGTCACCGGAGCACCCCCCTCTTGTTGCCGTCTCCCCACCTCCTCCTTCCCCTCTCCTCCCTCCACCACCCTCACCTCCTCTCCCCTGCACACCCTCCTCTTCTCCTCCTCCACCCCCATTCCTCCTCTCTCCCTTTCCTTCCTCATCCCTCTTCCCCCCTCTTCGACTCCCACCCCCATCCCTCCACTCCCCTCCCAGCCCACACCACGGCCCCACCCCTCCATACCCGCTCTCCTCCTCTTCTTCCCCCGCCTCCCCCCCAACGGAAAAACCTTCTCCTCGCGCCGTCCCCTCTCCCTCACGGTACGCCCCGGCTCTTCCCAGGTCCCATAAAAAGGCAGCGGCACGAGGGGAGACATGAGTCTCAGCATCCTCTCCCTGCTATTGCCCAGGCTGCCGCTGCTCCTGCCCCAACCGCTGCTGCCGAAGCTCCTTCCGGACCTGCTGCCAAGGCCCGGGCTGCTGCGGCTCCTCAAGCTTCCTCTCGACTCCCTGGTGGAGCCGGGCAGCAGTCGCAGCATCTGCCCCACTGCTGCCGCCCACGACCCCCTCACATGCCCCGCACCATCCTTGTTCCCCTCCTCCGCACCATTTTGCTCTGCATCCTCTCCGTCCTCATCTTCCAGCGTCCAGTCCGGGTCGTCACTGTCATCATCAGAATCGTTAGCTGCTGCTGCCCGCGCAGCCTTTCCCTCCCCGTCCACCTCCCCGCCCTCCTCCCCTTGTTCCTCCCCTTCCTCGCTGCTCTCCTCATCACTCGAAGCCTCTGCCAGCACACCCTGCCCCTCCCTCTCGCCCCACTTCTCCCCCTCTACCAAACCCTCCACCGCCCCTTGCCTCCCAGTCACATCCATCATCAATGCCCCATTCCCTACAACAATCGCACCGGCCCTCTCCTTGGCCTCGCGTGCAACGCTGCTGCCCAGGTCTGTACCGTCGCCCACTGCTGCTCCTGCCCTGTCCTTGCCCGCTATTCTGCCTGCGCTTTCCTGCAACCGCTCCTGTGTTACTCCTTGTGCCTGTGCTTGTTCCTTTTCCTGCGCCTCACCCTGTGCCTGCACGTGCATGAACGCCTCTACATGCGGTGCTGCTGCTGCCTTGCACTTCTTTTTCAACTCCGCTTCACCACCAGCCGCTGCAGCAGAGGTTTGAGCACCACGAGCAGTAGCAGAAGGTGAAACAGCAGGAGAACCAGCAGCAGCAGCACCACCAGCAGCAGCAGCAGCAGGAGCAGGAGCAGCAGTGGCAGGCGGAGGCGGTTGGCGGACGTAGAAGAGGAGGTAAGCTCGCTGCTGCAGCACAGTCTTCTCACTCACCTGCTGCACCCGCGCATCATCCATGGCACTCCATGTGCCTGACGGCCCGCGCACATAGCAGTAGTAGTGCCCCGAGTTGGTCGACCACCCTGCATGCACCAACACCCCGTACAGACTGTACTTGCCTCCCCTACTATCCCCACCCCCACCCCCTCTGCTGCTGCCGCTGTCGCTGCTGCCTCTGCTGCAGCTACCAGCACCACCGCTCGCACTCGCAGCAGCATCGGCAGAGGGGGCAGAGGAGGAGCGGGAGGAGGTCATGAAGGGCGAGAGGTCGAGGGAGGGGGGGAACGCGACGTGCTTGTCCAGCTTGCGGCCTGTGAGTGCAGCGAAGCGCTTCAGGTGCACCGTCAGCACGGGAGGTGCTTCTTCCACTGCGAAGCTCTTGAGTGCACGCACCTTCTTCCTGCACTTGCTGCACGCATGAGGGGTTGGGTTGGGACAAGGTCAGGGGGAAGGAACGAGGCTGATAGTTGTGTCAGGTGCACCGTCAGCACGGGGGGTGCCTCCTCCACTGCAAAGCTCTTCAGCGCTCGCACCTTCTTCCTGCACTTGCTGCTCATATGAGGGGGTTGGGACAGGAGAGTGATTCGGGAGGGTGGAGGGGAGAGAACGAGGGTGTTGGTCGCTTCAGAAGGACCGTCAGCACGAAGGTGCCTCCTCCACTGCGAATCTCTTGAGCTCCGTGCAGGAAGAAGGTGCAAGAAGCTCTTCCTGCACTTGCTGCAATGCAAGCATGAGAGGGTTGGGACGAAAGAGGGAGTCAGGGAGGCATGGGATGGGAGGAAAGGGAAAAGAGGCGAGCATGATAAGAGGAAGCATTTCAAACTCAGCCCCCTCACCTATACTAGTGCTTTCCCGCCCTCACCTGCACTTGTACTTGTTCGCCCCATCCAAAGCCTCTTCCGATGTGAACCGATGCAGAGCCTTGGTCACCGAGTCGGCTCGGACAATCTCAAGGCTGAGGTCCAGGAACGGGTCGTAGGTTCGGGAACAGTACCCGCACACAGTGCACTGCACCTGGCTGCACAGATACCCCCCGAACGTCCGGTGCACGAACGTGTTCATCAGCCTCGGCGCAAAGGCAGGGTCGGCGCCCGAGCCTGAGGCGGAGGCTCGTTTGGGCGGGAGGCAGCATCGGTGGAGGGCGTCTAGCAGGCAGCGCATGTACTCGTGTGCGTCCTCCTGCCTGCCCGCCTTGAATGACCTCGCCACACCTGTGTGGATGGGATGGTTGCGAAGGGGAGGGGTGAGGGTGAGGGGGGGATGAGAGAGATGGGGGGTAGGAGAAGCGAGACGAGATGGAGAAAATGAGGTGAGGGGAGAACGAACGGAGACTCAGGTGCATGTGCAAGTGTGTGGGTGAATGCGAGCGATGGAGAGGAAAAGAGAGCGAGGCCAGGGGGTGAAAGGGGGGATGGGGAGGTGGAGTGATACAGAGCGTACTTTTGATTGCGCACAAAGCCTGAGGGCGACAAATGTTGAGACGACTCAAATAAAGGGAGGGGGAAAGAGAACGAGTGGTGGGGGGTGTCAGAGAGAGGTGCGCGGGAAGGGTTGGGACAGAGCGTACTCTTGACGTTGCGCACAAAGCCTGTGGGCGAGACCACCTTGCCTGTGCCGCCCACGGCCCTTGGTACATGCGACTCCATCTCACACAGCGCACACCACCCCGCCACCCTGCCTGCCATGCACGATACAATAGAAACAAACGGTTGCAACTGTGACTCAGAAACTGGCCGTTTGGCAGCAGCAGTTGTCAATTGGGATTGTTGGTATGGAGTACAGTGTACGTGCGATAGCTTGCAGATCAAGCGACTGTACGGCGAGCAGGGGAAAGGCGAGCAAACAGGGAGCACAGCACTCACAGGTGGCGGAGTGGGGTGACTGCGAAAGGTAGTTGGCGAGGGGCGGCGTGTAGGTGAGGCACTGCAGGACGGAGTTCATGAAACACGTGTTGCCCAGGTTGCTCAACCCCGCTCCCTGCCACCCACCACACACGCACCGTCACACGTACCGAGAACTTGCTTTCCCTCGCTTCTATCCCAAAGACTATCGCATAGCTGCACAGCGCGCAGCAGCGCGCGTGCGCATGTCGGACGTGCTTGGCGGGGTTTGGGGTTCGTAGGTGCTGGGGACAGGGTTGAATGCGTATAATTAACCCGCAGTCACGAAATGCTTGCTTGCTGCGAGACCGGGTTTAAATGGCTTCATGGAGCAGCATATAACGAGTACAGTGACACATGCGTGCTGCATTGTCGCGCTTGACCTAGAGAGCCGGAAGATGCACGCATGTGTCACTTACAATGGGCCGTATTTGCCGCCATTCCAACGCCACGTCAGAGCGATCCAAACGACCCTCCAGTCCGTCCCGTTCCCTCTCACTCGCCTCGCGCCGCTCCTTCTCTCCCTTTCTCTTCCCCTCCTTCCCCTTCCCCCTGTCATCGCCCTCCGATCCAACCACTGGCTGCCTGCCACGTGGCTCGCGGCTCGGGTCCGCCGCATTCAGCGGTTTAAGGCCCACGGGGAGCGCGGAGTGCGCGTCGGCGTGCCGCGCGGGGAGGAAGTTGATGCGCCGGGGGAGGCCCTCGCCTCCCGCGTACAGCGCGTCGATGCCGGATCTTATTCGAGTCTGAGAAACATCGCTCACGCCGTCGTGACTGTAACGGAGGCTGTGACTAGGAACGGCCTTTTCGAGCAAATCGGTGTCTCGAATGTAGCCGTTAGGAGGTGCTGATGAGCTTCCAGCCTTGGCTTCGTGTCCAGATGGCTTCCTACCATTGGCTGGGACGTGCTTGCCTGAATGCGGCTGCTCCAAACCTCCAACTTTCTTCTTAAACCCCGAGCCTTGCGCCGAAGCTGACGGGGTCGCGTCGCCTCGGTGTTTCTCCGAACCTCGCCCGCCAGGCTTTCCTGACCCTTGTTGAGCAGCCTTCCGAGCCACAAGTGGTGCAGGCATGGCGTGATTCGCGGAGAAGCTTTGAAATTTCCTCCCGTGAATGCAAGGATGGGAACTACTCTGAATTTACAGTGTATTCAGCGACTTAAGCCCTAACAGAAATACTTGCCGGCCAACGAAACGAAAAGCGTAAATTATGACTCACAGGCCAGCCACTGAGTCAAAGAGACGGAGTAAGCTCTATGCTAATGTTCTTATCCGATGGTATTGGTGGGCACGCGATGTGTGCGCTGCTCCCTTGCTCCGCTGGGCTCGGGAGTCGGGAGGATGCTTTGTATCATGGTCTTGACACTGACCTTGATATCTAACCTGAGTTTGCGGTTAGGTTAGCCGAGGGAATTCCACCAAGCCGAGCCTCGTGACTTGGGGACCGGCATCCGCTTTTGAAGGTTTCTCTTTTGTAGAGGCCCATATAGATTGCTCGTCCTATAACGGGTTAACAGTGAAAACTTTTGATGTACTTGTAGACAGAAACGGTTATGCATTCAAAAGCGGATGATCTAGGTTTCCATATGATCGATTGGCCAATAGTAGAGCAAGCGACGCGACAGGGCGTTGCGTTGCTGTACGCTTCTCCGCTCAGTGGGGCTTCATGTTGATTTGGGAAGACCGACTCACGCTGAAAGTAGTGTTATTATTGGACTGAGAAAATCGACCTAATCCAAGCCTCACAAATCAGACACTCTTTGGCCACGGGTTACTGCAAAATATCTCGGATTCACAGTGGTGGTGGGAGAATACACTCGCTATCCTTCACGCTCGAGCCCTTTTTGTCCAGCAGGGCAGGGTCCGTTCGCACCGCCGAATCGCGGTTTGCCACATGACCTCCATTCTGACTGGTGAATCCAGCAAGCCCTCAATGTCGCAAACCACGTCGAACCTGACGGATTTGGACCACCAATTTTACATCCACCACAAACCAACCCCACAACAACGTTATCGGTCCGCGCTGAGCCAGCAAAGTTGCGCTGTGATCGACGGTTTCCGTCAACACAGTGAACGGCCAGATGTCGCTGATGCGATTGTGGGGCATCCTCGTGTTTCGTCCGCAGGTTGGGTTCGGAGGGAATCCCAGATTTGGGGGAGCTCCCCGAGGCACGCAAACCCGTCTCGTCTCGTCTCAATGATCCTGGCAAGCCTCCGTCAACCCTACGCAACTCAACAGCTGGGGTGGGAGGGGAGCCAACCCCTACATTACCTCCTTCCCGACTATCCTAGGAGGTATCTCAAACGATCAGCTCATTCTGAGTTTTGTCCAAGGCTGATCGTTCTTGCTTCCTGTGTGGATCTGAGCTCGTAGGGCTCTCTGGAACCACACCCTTGCAGAAAGCCCTCCAGAATTCGGGTCGTTCCTCCCCGATAAGCCACACAGAAGGCAGAACCATGGCGACCACTTCGGCGGCCGTCCTCCCATCAGGGGCCTTCCTAACCCGAGGTTCGGAAATCCAGAGAATTCCCGCGCGCGCTGCTACTGGAGCCAGAGCCCTTGCACCCCTCACTTCCTCCAAACTGCGAGCCTCCCCGAGATTGCCGGCCCTATCGACTCCATTCATCCGATCCTTCAAACCCACTGCGGCTCCGACCGTCGGCCTGCAGTCACAAAGACGACAAGTCTCGTGCGCCGTGGAGGCTCCTCCGAAGCAATCCGCGGCAGAGTCGTCCCCGTTTGAGTCGGCGCAAGTGTGGTTCTCGGACGTGATCGCGCAACGGAAGCGGCCGTATTTCTTCAACCGGGAGTACACGGCCAAGGACATCAGCTACGCCGTGTACATGATCTTCGTCCATGGCTTGTGCCTCTTTGCTCCAGCTACTTTCTCCTGGGAGAATTTTGGCCTCTTCGTCGGCCTTTATGTGATCACAGGTGCGTTCCTCGTTTGCAGACTTTTTCTCTTCGCTTATGTATTTTTCTGCAACCGAGTCTATCAATTTCAATCGAGCGTTGAGGCTGACGTTCCTTGCATTTCGTTTCATCCTCTTATTATTATTCAGGAATGTTTGGGATCACTCTGTCATACCACCGCAACCTGTCACATCGTTCTTTCACGCTTCCTAAGTGGCTCGAGTACACCTTCGCGTACTGCGGGGTTCAAGCTGTTCAGGTACGACGTCGCTGCTCACTCCTTGCTCACTGATCTTCGTCTTTGCTCGTTGTTCGTATTTTTCACTCAGCCGCGCTGCGTTCTCTTGTTTACACTCATTCGGCGAACCTTAATTTCTAAACTTCCAAAACTTTGTCTTCAATTTTGTATTTCAAAACCGCCTCCCGTCCGACTTCCGAACGCCGTCCTGTTTGTGTCTCGCGTTGCGTCCCGCAGGGCGACCCCAAGGAGTGGGTGAGCGCGCACCGCTACCACCATCGCTTCTGCGACACTCCCGCCGACCCGCACACGCCGTACGAGGGCTTCTGGCACAGCCATATGGGGTGGCTACTCGACGATGTCGCTACCCAAGAACGGGTAAGATCTTCCTTAAGTGCAGCCTGTCTCGTAACTCACTTTGTGTAGCATCCGTCGCACGATACCTGGAAGCACAACTATGAACGAAAGTTGACGCAATTCGCGGCATAAGTAACGTACTGTACTGTCGTGAGTGGACATCAGAACACTTTTATAAGAACTATCCTGCACTGTACTGTACCACGTGAAACTCCAGGTGGGCGTGCGCAACAATATCGCGGACATGGATAACGACCCTTTTTACAACTTCATTGAGGAAACCTACGTGTGGCACATCGTGGCGTCCGTGCTGCTGCTCTACGCCCTCGGAGGCTTCCCCTGGGTCGTCTGGGGCTTCGTAAGTACTCCTTTGAATTTTGTGCCCGTTGGGCTTGAAGGACTCATCCTGTATACCTCGGATGCAATTGCAGCCCTTTGCTTTTATTTTTTTTGGCTGTGCGTTCCTTGGTTGTTTTGTCCATGTCTGTCTCTCGCAGGGCGTGCGCGCCGTGTGGGTGTACCACATCACGTGGTTCGTCAACTCAGCGTCGCACGTGTGGGGCTACCAATCCTGGAACACCGGCGACCTTTCGCGAAACAACTGGTAGGTTTTGGAGTGACTCTTTTGGCAACTCCTTCCCTCTTACCCCCCCCCACCCCCCCCCCCCCCCCCCCCCCCCCTCCCGCCCCACCCACAGTCCATATGGCCTGTGGATATTCGTGTCAAAGGTCTTGTTCTGGGAGGCAGTTGAGTGAGCTAAGGCCTATGTGACCTTAGTTTCATCTCAGTCGCTCGGTGGTTCAATACTGTGTGTCAAGTGTCCACCTTAGGAGCTTTTAGAGCATGAGCAACAGAGTGCTCATGCACGCCAACTACCTCTAGTCGCGAGTAGATTTTGTCGGATTAGGTGAAGATTAGATATGCCGGGTCCAGGGGCTCAAATCCAGCGGGGCTCAGAGGGCGTCGCGCTTGCCAGCTTTGATGGCACATGGAGGCCTGTATTACGAAAAAAATCCATTTACATGGAAACGCCATATTGCTTTTTCCCCCCTGCATCCTGCTGGCTCACTCTTCTTCCCTTCATCCTGTCCCTCCTATTGCCTGGACGACAGGTGGGTGGGGCTGCTGGCGTTTGGCGAGGGGTGGCACAACAACCACCACGCGTTCCAGTACTCGTGCCGCCATGGGTTGGAGGATCACCAGGTGGACATGACATGGTACACCATTAAACTGCTGGAGGCTGCTGGGCTGGCCACCAAGCTTAAGTACCCGCACGAGAAGCACATGAAGCGCCTCTCATTCCCTGAGCAAACAACCCCCCAGCAGTAGCTGATGAGGGGTAGTGGATGACGCAGATTCACGCTTCTCTCCCTCACTCTGCCATCATCCCAGCTCCCAGGCTGGGAGTTCCAGCTCTTCCTCCTCCCTCGTGTCCTGCTCTTGCGCGGATGGGCTGATGTGGGAGCATTTGGGCTGATGTGGGAGCATTTGGGCGGATTTGGGAGCATTTGGGCTGATTTAGGAGCATTGGAATGACTGGAATGGGTGCATTTCCAAAGTGTCTTGTTGGGTCAATAAGACACATTCACGTCCTTTGCCTTAGGCTGAAGGCTGTGTTGTAAAAAGTTTTTTTGGCTTTACGGCAATAGAACTTCTGTGTTTTTTTCTTGTTTGGCTTATTCATTGCATGGTAACAGTTTTGACCTTATGACTGGTTAGCAAATCTAAAGCTAAATGGACAAGACTGATGAAGCTGAAACAATGCTTGCAACTGTCTGGTCAAGTGAAGGTTAGCTGGCAGCATATCATGCAGGCGCGCGTCCGAGGCTCCCAAAAACCCTGAATCTGGTCTTATAACAAGAGTCAGGTCATACCAGATGATCAACAATAGAAGTACTAGCACAAAGATATCCCAAGGCACAAATCGCAGTAATATGTTTCTATTAGAAAAACATATCTTTTGCCAGCACAGCATACAATCGGCTGTCCTGGAATCCACAACACATGCAGGACAAGATCCAACGCAACATAATAAAGACATCCAAAGCCTAAAGATTAAACCATTGTTAAATGGAATTATTGAGGGTAATCATCTTCACCGCCCTCGTTTTCTCCCCGTCCCCGATTATACGGTGGTACCTTGCAGGAAAAGTCCACAGTGAGCCACCCACTGCAGCAGACATGGGAGGGGGAGAGGGGTGGGGATGTTTTTGCAATCCAGAGCGGTATGGGATTGGATGGAGGGCAGGGTGCAAGAGCAGCTAGGACGGCAATTCAGTTGGATGTATAATGTTGGAGGTGGTGTCGATGCGCGCGCGCCCACACACACACACACACACACACACACACGCGCGCGCACACACACACACGCACGCACGCACGCACGCACACACACACACACACACACACACACGCGCGCACACACACACACACACACACACACGCACGCACGCACGCACGCACACACACACACACACACACACAAGCGCGCGTGCACGCACGCACCCATGCAAGCACATACACCCATACCAATGTCATGCATGTGCACACACCCAATGCACCATGGGAAAACCATGAGGGCTGTCATGCACAGGTATACTGAGGACCTGTAGAACACAAAATAGAATCACCATTAACATTCATTAGGCTTCCACCCAGCTGCTGTAACCACTGCTCACCAGTTACCACCATGGTAGGTGAAAGTCTTGGTATTGTCCTTGGAGTAGGCCCACACCAGCGTGTTGACCCCCCACGGTTGCACCGGAACACGATTGGCTTTTCCCGCAGTTCTCCTAAACCTGCGAGTTCCAAGAAACAATTACAATCACAAATAGCATATGATGTGAAATGTTACAGTATATGAAGCAATACTTTGTATTCCACGCCCTTCCTCACTTCCATCTCACCTCATGATTGTTGACCCCCTCCCGTTCTTGTTCACCATAGCAGCATCCCCGAGTCCCATTATCTTGGGCTGTATCGAGGTCATACTGTAGCCCATGATATCATACGTTCCCATTACACCCGCAGCTTTATTTCCAATAATCGTCTCCGAGCCAGCCATCCGTCCGTTCTTGGACCACCCGAGCGCCAACCATCCGCTTTCCGCCCCGCTGCCCGCCTGCGCCTCGAGCGCCACTTCCACCACGTTGCGCTGATGCAAGCGCCAGTGCAACACAAGCCTGCGAGGGCGCAGCAAGAGAAGGGGTGCGCGTGAAAGTACGAGAGAAGAACACACAGAGGAAAGGAAGGAGAATCAACGGTCGGGGGATCATGGCAGCAACCAATCAGGCAGGGTATCGCACGAGGGGCATAACGGGAAGGCATGGAAACAGATGTGAGACGCTGCCTTGGGATGGGAAATGAGGAGTGGGTTGGCTGAGACCACAAGACCTAAACAGCAGCCGCCTCTTAGCTTCCGTTTTACTCACCCTGGCGCGAGATCAGTCATGTAGATGAAAGTGGGAAGTCCCTTTTTAGTCGACTCAGAAGTCACCTCGTTTTACTCACCCTGGCGCGAGATCAGTCATGTAGATGAAAGTGGGAATTGACGACACGGGGCACTTGTAGGACCGTTGGATCGGCGGAGGCTTGTACGGCGGCGGGGGCGGAGTGTTAGGGTTGCCTGGCACTTTACCCGTCGCCCCGTTACACGCGAAGATGACGGACAGCGCGCCACTGTAACGGAGCAGGAGGGGGAAAGGCAGGTATTGCGGCAAATTGCTCGCCAGATGTAGTAACCTTCGATACTCCAATTCGCACAATTCGCACGGACGATAAGTCTGCATAAAATTTGCAAGAAAAACAATTGTGCGAAAGCCCGCTGAAGTGTAGCACGCACACGTTAGTGCCGTGGTAACCAACAGCCTTGGTGCCGTCGTTGGAGTAGGCCCACACGAGACGGTTCACCGCCCACAGCCTCACCGGCACCTTCCCCCCGTCACCGTGCCGACGAATAAAACTGCGCAACATACGGAACGGCATTGGTGGAGGCGCCTCAAAAGACGTCTTATTGGTGGAAGGAACTCGGCATGCAAGGCAAGCGGGTGAGAGCTTATATGATGGATGAAGAGAGAGCAGAGAGCATGAGCAGACAAGGATGAGCTGTGGGGCAGTTGCTTACCTGATTATAGTGCCCGCAGTCGCGGTCGATACCGTCTTTCCCTGAAACTTGAGGCCGTTGGTCGGAACAACAGAAGTGTACGTGTTGAGCATGTAACCCTGTAACCCGCCGTGCGGCAGGTTACCCGCGATGGCTTCGGCGGGCGACATAAGCCCCGTCGTCGACCACGCCACGGCGATCCACCCCCTCGCCGCGGCCGTCGTCGCCTTGGCGTGGATTGCGACGGCCAAATTTCCCGTCCTCATTATCTTCCAGTTGAGAAATAGGCTGGTGGGACGAGCAGCAGGGCGACAGGGAGGCGAGATTTTACGGATTATACAGGATTCCGGATTTAATGAGCATGGATGAGCATGGATGGCATGGATTTTCTTCACAGTGACCCCTGGGTTGCTTCATTGAACACACCCTGGTTCCATGAGCATGGCCGACGTGTAGCCCTTCACTGTTGGCTTCAGACACTGCCCCGCCGCAGCCGTCGTTGCAGTCGTGTCTTGCATCTTTCGTGCCGCCACTTCGGGCGCGTCCTCGTCTTCCGAGACTGACACGTGTCGCATTGGTACTGCGAGGGCAGCGACGCTTGCGGCAGACGCGTTGCCGGAATGCTGCGCAAGTCCTTCGACCCAGGGAGTTTGCCCGGCGGACGCACGAACATAGATTGGTGAAGCGAGTAATAGGGCAACGAGGAGAATTCGCGGTAACAGTGCCACATCAATGCGCGCTTTTGCTGCCATAACGGCAGCCATGGTAGTTAGTGCTAATCGGTAGGATGCTGTTCAGACGCAGATAAGAAGTGTAGCAAAGTTTGTCAACGCGCACACCAATCGATACTGCTCTTATGAGTCTACTACCGCCAAGACGAGGCTCTGTTTCGCGCCGTCGTTGGGACGTGGGAAATGTGGCATACGGCACGGCACCTGTATCTGCTCTATTGTTGCTGTCTCACAAGGTGTGAGTCACAACAGCCTGCGTTGCACACCTCTTCCAGATGTAAACAGAGGAGCTGTAAGGCGGTCTAGGCAGCTGAAATGCGTTGTGACAGTTGCTTCCCACTGTATAGCAGCACAGGTGCAGCATGCTATAAAATCTGAAGCATCTTACCGAAACCGAAGCGTGTGCTCAGCTCGATCCAGTCACATATCAGGAGTTTCAACATTTCTGGGGTTAGCTAGGTTGAATCGACGGCAGAACGATAAAGTTGAGAACTTGCAAAGTCATCCTAACCCCACGACCACGACACGGGTGATGCGGCTTGTGGCGCACAAAATGCGGGGTTGAGTTAGGACGTGGTGCTAGGCCAGGCATTACAGCGCACCCGACAGTAGGGAGCGACTTGAATTCACGTGCCGAACAATGCGGACAACACAAATTGGAAGTGCCCAAATTGCTAATTTGCAGGTTTCTGTACTGTGTACAGATATCCAGATATCCAGAAACAAAAATGCTATCCCATTAGCAAACATGAGCGCACGTTTTTGCTAATGCGCTGACAGCCAAATGAAAACATGAGCTACACGCATACTAGAACCGGGAAAAGTGGGCTGCATGCATGATGCTGCCTTAAACAACCATGTTGCAGCAAGAAACATGGATTATTGCAGAGTCCAAGCTAAAGTGCAAGCATACCGCAACAAGAAACATGGGCAGGAAGCAACCTGAGACACAGGTTCTGGGCGAGCAGAACCAGGAACATGGGATGCATAAATGCAGAACAACATGGGCTGCTTGCTTGCAGCATGACATGAGCTGCGTGCATCCAGTGCAGCACCTGGGCTCTTTACATGCTGCAGCAGAAACGGCGGCTGCTTGCGTGCAGCAAAACATGGGCTGCTTGCATGCGACAAGAGCACCATAAGCATCGGCTGCGCAAACGAAGCAAATCATGGGCTCACTGCAGGCAGCACCAGAACACGGGCTGCTTACAGCACGACGTGGGCTGCTTGCATGCGGCACAAGGAGCATGGGCTGCTTGCATGCAGCAAGACGTGGGCTGCTTACATGCAGCAAGGTGTGGGCTGCTTCCATGCCGCAATGCATGGGCTGCACGCACGCGCACAAGAAGCATGGGCTGAGTCCACCAGCCCAACACGTGGCTGGGGATACCAGCCAAAACCCTAGAGTATGAATGCCCTCTAACAATCCCTCCCTCCCACCCCCCCCTTAAACAGCCACTAATTCATTTTTGATGAGTTCTCTCAGCAACATCTTCTCGTGGTGCTTCGCAGTTGGGCTTGCACCTGCCAGCAACAGAGCAGGTACCGTTGGTGGAGAAAAAAAGAGTTGTTTTAGTCACAGAAATGAGTTACAATGAGTCGCAAACCAGTGAAAAACCAGCAGGGTGTAGAGGGAGCGGAACAAACCAGCGACAGGAATGAGTTGCGATGCATCAGGAGACAAATGCATTGCGGTATGGCAAAAAGCGAGGTTACCTTGTGCCGCCGCTGCTGGCTCTTCTGATGCCTTTGCTATTGCTGCTGGGTTGAAGCTGCTTCTTCTACCAAAACCCATGTCAGCCAGCCCCATGTTGGTTTAATCCCAACACTCCCAGCATCAAAGTCGTTAAAGATTAGATCCAGCTGGTGGCCGTTGCTGGTGGAAAAGGGGAAGCCAGAAGGAGTAGCAAACGGAAGAGGGGCAGGTCGTGGTAATGGAACGTGCTAGAGTTGAACAGTGGAGAGGAAACCTTTGAGACGGCATGCAGAAACCAATGCTGGCGCCCCGTCAGCAGACAACGGCGTTGTTTTTTACCAGTGCTCTGCGAGACTGCCAGATGCTGGCGTTGTATCAACATGCAGTGATTCCAAGTTGCTCCAGGTTGCTCTGTTGCTCCGGCTGCCCATGCTCGCAGGCCGTGAGGCACACACACGCATGAGGAGAGAGACACGCAAACAGAAGAGGCACCAACAAGGGAAGGGAGGGTCAGAAACAGCACGAGGCGAGTGGCGGAGGTAAAAGCAAGAGACACGACTCTTGCCTCTGCGCGGCGACGCTCTATGACTCACTACAATCCCCCCTGCAGGCACCCCCTGGCACATACCACACTCTGTCCGCTGCTCTGCCACTCCTGCACCACGCCTTCCCTTCACGCCTGCTGCTCCAAGTTGCTCCAGGTTGCTCCGTTGCTCCGGCTGCCCATGCTCGCAGGCCGTGGGCACGCACACATATGGGGAGAGAGACACACACAAAAAGCGGCACCAACAAGGGAAGGGAGGGTTAGAACAGCACGAGGCAAGTGGCAGAGGTAAAAGCAAGAGATACGACCCTTGCCTCTGCGCGGCGACGCTCTATGACTCACTACAATCCCCCCTGCAGGCACCTCCTGGCACATACCACACTCTGTTCGCTGCTCTGCCACTCCTGCACCACGCCTTCCCTTCACGCCTTCTGTTCCAAGTTGCTCCAGGTTGCTCCGTTGCTCCGGCTGCCCTTGCTCGCAGGCCGTAAGAGACACACACGCATGGGGAGAGAGACACACACACAGAAGCGGCACCAAGAAGGGAGGGTTAGAACCAGCACGAGATGAGTTGAATACACGCATCGCACACAGCACATGAGAAGCAAAGCAGACTCTAAGCAACGCCGAAACCGACTTGTGACTCTCTACACGTGGTCTAAGACTCACGATACCCCCAACGAGCTCATCCCACACTTACGCAGAGACCACCTTGTCAGGATGCTCCTTGTCCTGCTTGACTTATCGTGGTAAATCTGCGTCTCGCCATCTCCGATATGCGTCTCGCCATCTCCAATCTGCGCCTCGCCATCTCCGGTATGCGTCTCGCAATGTCCAATCTGCGTCTCGCAATGTCCGATCTGCTTCTACCAACCAATTGAAGGCGTCACAGACAGGTAAATCACACAAAAGGAAAAACGATAAGTTAGTACGACGAGAAGAAAGCGGACTAAAGCAACAACAAAATCGGCATGCGACTCTCTACACGCGACCCCCAACGAAATCATCCCACACTTACGCAGAGACCACCTTGTCAGGATGCTCCTTGTCCCCTTGAACTGATCGTGGTAGACCCGCGTCCCGCAATCTCCGGTCTGCGTCGCGCAACGTCCGAACGGCGTCTCACAATGTCCGATCTGCTTCTACCAACCAATCTAAGGCGTCGCAGACAAGTAACGAACAGTTCAGGGAAACACATAAAAGGAGCACGCATGGACTAGGCGTTAGCAAAGCAGCAAGATAAGAAATGATGCGAAATTATGACTCTCGACGCACCTATCTTTGACACACACCCCCCAACTCCCTGATCCAACAACATACTTCTATTCCTTGCTTCCAGAGTGGCGGGGAGGAGTAGCTGACGAAGAGAGGCTTTTCGTCTTCAAGTGACTGCTGCCGACACGCCAACTGCCAGAGAAGCCAAGCCACACCCACTCACTCACACCCCTCTCCTCATGAAGCAACGGGGTTCATGGCGCACAAACGCACACAAATCTTCACGCATCGAAAACAGCACACGGAAATGCAACATACAAGAAACGAAGGGTTAGAACCAACGTGAAGAAAGCGGACTCGAGCAACGACGAAATCGACTTGCGACTCTCTACGCGCGACCTAAGACTCACGATCCCCCCAACGATCTCATCCCACACTTACGCAGAGACCTTCTTGTCAGGATGTTCCTTGTCCCGCTTCATTGATCATGGTTGGTCTGCGTCTCCGGTGTGCGTCCGCAATGTCCGATGTGCGTCCAGCAGAGTCCGATCTGCCTTTCTTGATGTCCAATCTTCTTCTACCAGCCGATCTATGGCGTCGCAGACAGGTGAGGAACAGTTCAAAGAAACATATAAAAGGAGAAGGCATGGACGAGGTGTTAGAAAGAGAGCAAGGTAAGAAACGCGAAATCGAAATCACATAATGACTCTCTAGGCGCCTAATCTAGACATATTCCCCCCCAACTCCCTAATCCAACAACGTACTTGTCTTCCCGTCATGCAGGGTAGCTGTCAAAAAGAGTGATTGTCAAAAAAGAGATTCAGCTGCCGACAACGCCATCTGCCAGAGAATCCAAGCCACACCCACTCACTCATTTATGAAGCAAAGAGGTTCATAACGACAGCACACAGCACACGCAAACGCACACAGGAACGTTGGGTTAAAACTAGCAGAGAAAAAAGCGGACTCAAGCAACGACGAAACCGACTCGTGACTCTCTACGCGCGACCTAAGACTCACGATCCCCCTCCCAAAGAGCTCATCCCACACTTACCCAGAACCTTGTCAAGATGCTCCTCATCCGATCTGCGATCTGATCATGGTTAATCGTGATGCTTGATCTGCTTCCGCCGGCCGATTTGAATACCCACCTGCATGACACGAGATCGATAGCCTGGATGGGCTTGAGGCCAAAACCACTGTGACGATACCACCACGAGGCGAATTACACGGACAAAAGAGTGGGTTAGTAACACGGACGAGCGGCCACGACTCAATAACAGAGAATGGAAAAGACGCTCTAAATGGCGACCTAGACGCGATGACCCCCCTCGCAACCTCCGACCCGCCATTTACCATGATATGAAATGAATCCGTAAGGTAGGACGCTTATTGAATCGACAAGCAGGTTGAACAGCCGTCGAGTTGTCAGATGCGTGTAAGCCTTCTCCATGACAAGTCGCGAGCTACCCCGAATGTCGCCGTTCGACCCTGGATATCCGAGTGCGCTCGTGTGGAGATAGCTACGAGGAAAAGTCGAGAAGAACCGATCGCGACCTTATTCGAGGTAGTACCTAACCGCGACCTAGTTGAAAAACAGGTGCTCAGTGTCGCTGCTGCTGAACTTGAATGCTGCTGAGCCGAATATGCTCTCGTGAAGAACAAAGTTGAAGACAATAAAGTTTAGGCTTCTCGTGATCGCTACTGCTGACATTCTTGAAGAACAAACGTTCGCAAGAGTGGAGGCCTAACCTTTATCCGACGCTGCTTCATGTTTGGCCCTAACCTCAATCTGACGCTGCTGTTCGGGAATGCTCTATCGCTGGACATGGCTAAAACCGTACCATGGATACAATCAACGCTTAGGCTTCAGGCAGACCCTACTGCTGACGAGCTTCAGAGCTGACGGAAAGCTCGTGGAGGAGAGAATGACAACAGAACACTCAAGGGGGTGGAGAGAGTTCTTGCCAGCGTGCTGGAGGCAGCGATACTGCCATGGCAAGCGAAGTCTAGCTGAGGCGAAGAGTGCAGCGGTGAAGGGTGCTGCTGATCGCATTCAAACACGTGGGGGTGAATGGGGTGAGAAGAACTTGGAACCGCGCTGCCGTGCCATTTCGAATATGGGGTCAGAGTTTTGGAGGGAAATCGAGGCTTTGTTCTTTCCAAACCAAACCTAGGTTTCCTGGCTTTGGTTAGGCGGCTGTTTTCGGCCGGTAACCCGCCAAACCGCGCAGGACCCCAATGTATGGTCTCGAAACATACACCACCATGTTGAACACCAATAGCTGATGGGTTGCGTACGACTGGCTGTTTCTGTGGGAATGAATATCCCCACACGATCCGAATTCCACTCACCGATTGGCTAACTGGGAGAACGCTTGCGTGGCTGGAGACATTTTCAACATCACCACGGTCTGGCGAGCAGTGAACCGGCCACATCAGCATCCCCGATCGACGCTGCTTCGTTGGAACTTGCTCCACAAATATCAGTCCGCTTTACAAGCTGAACTCCTTTTTGAAAGCTGGCAGTAGAGATTATTTTCAATCCGGTTGCTATCAAATCGAACAAACCACGGCGTACCCACCCATTTTGAGTCCCGATTCCATCACCTTCCCACACTCACGTCATTGTCGCCCTATTCTCGCGGTTCTGGCGACTACCACCGCTCGCTTACCTTCATAATCGGCTAGTCCTGGCGTGAACCATTGGACGTATCACAACAGTGATCTCATTAGGCTAGCCGATTCACGTGCTCCTCCACCGTTCCGTTTCGCGCTTGATTTCTTCGCCCTGCTCTAGAGATATCCGATAAAGCACACCATCTGTGCCTTCAATACCAAAGATTTAACTGTCCGTTAAGGGGACCGAGGAGGACAGTTTCCTTTTTTCCATCATGTTTTCATCTGGCATGCAGCGATCCAAGAGTCGGTGGCTGGATGCGGCCAGGGTGCTGACGCGGCACCACTGCCAGCGTGGCTATGCTGGAGCCGCTTACCCCGTTACAAGCACACCTCATACATCTCCAACCCAAATTGATATTCGCGAAGCGGAAGGTGCCGGGCCGGCAGAAATTGGATCGGAATTGTCCGGATGGGGGAAGAAGGCGAGGACGGTGGGAGGAGGGCAACCTGACATTGGAATTGCCGGGGACCTTGGGATTGCCGCGGCGCCGTACCAGCTCGGGGGAAGGCGGTGGTATTCTGCTTTTCGTGGGATGGAGGCGGCTGTGATCAGCGGGCCAGATTATGCTGATTCGCGACAGGTGCATGTCCTTACTTTGATGCTTTGGTGTTCTGAGACCGGGATTCAGGCGGGGGAGGTTAGGAGCGCGGCGCTTCTACGCCGCGGATGCACGAGTGGAGCTCCCGCTGTGTCTAGTCACCCGATTTTATGTGCTCTGAATTGAATTCCGTTAAAACGTGTTTCGTAGCCTGCACTGAGTCGTACACTGCGTCTGCGCTTCCTTCTTGCCGCTGCCTCTATTGCCGCAGGTGCACATGCCACGTCACAGCTCCGTCTTATCCCGACACCTCTCCTCCACGACCCCTCCTCCTGAAGAACCCAAGCCGAAGAGTAAGCCGTCTCCTTGTCTCTCCGCGTGCCCCCTCTATCTGCGTCTGTCGCAGCTGCACTGATAGACGAGCCTGCACTGTGGCTTTCTGACGTTTCATAAGCGGGCTAACGAAAAATATTTTTGTGCATTTCTCTAATCAGTCATTTCTTAGCCTCGCAACCCTAGCACCACGTTATTCCAAGCTAATTCCCGTGTCCTGCACCGTTGGGCAGACTACGAGCACTACTACCCCAAGAGGAAGGCGCAGGAGGAGGGACGCCCCGCCGCCGCTGCTCAGACTCCAGGTGACCCCCTGGCTCCTACGCACTCTCCTCCCTTCCCCCTCGTAAACATCCACGGTTATGGCCCTGCCGAATCTCTTTTCCACTTCCCTCGTTCGACTCGTTTCCTAGCCCACGCAAGCCCCTCGTTTTCTTGTCTCCCTCCCTCTCATCCCACCGTTTCTCAGGCGAGAAACCTCAAAGCAGCGGGCCCCAGCAGGAAGCAGCAACAGCAGGCGGAGCAGGAGGCGCAGGAGGAGGGGGGGAGGGGGATGGCAAGAAGGCAGACAGCAGCAGCGGCGGCAGCGAGGAAAGCAACAAGAAAGGGCAGAACTTCTGGGACGAGGCGTTTCCCAAGGACTTCCAGAACAGCCTCTACCCGCTGCTGTCCGCGGCGTTTTTCCTCTCGCTCACGTCGATGCTAACGAGTGATGCGAGCAGCGAGGCAGTGGAAATCAGCTTCCAGGAGTTCAAGAACGAGTTATTGGAGAAGGGGCTCGTAGCCAAGGTGGAGATTGTCAACCGCTCCAAGGCCAAGGTTTATGTGTATACTAATCGTCGCCCTGGTGCTGGTGCTGGTGCTGGTGCTGCTGCTGGTGCTGGTGCTGCTGCTGGTGCGAGGGGTAAGGGGAGTGCTGGTGACGGTGTTGGGGAGGGCTATGACGGGGATGGAGATGTGATGTACTTTGATGACAAGCACGGGGAGTTTGATGGGCACCAGCAGGGGGAGGCGGCGCAGGGGCAGGGGGAGGGGGGGTTGGGGGGAGGGGGAGGGGGGGGGCGGGGGGTGAGGCAGCGGCGGAGGCAGGTGGAGCAGATGGCAGCGTACCGGTACTACTTCCAGATTGGCAGCGTTGACTCGTTTGAACGCAAGCTGGACGAGGCCCAGAACGCCATGGGCATTGACGGGCATAGCAGGGTGGGTAACGAGAAGCGATTTTGTAGTCGAGCTGGGTCTGTGGCTTGCTGTTTCTTTACCCTCTTTTCTCACACTCTCCTCCCGTCCCCTCCCCTCCCCTCCCCTCCCCTCCCCTCCCCTCCCCTCCCCTCCGCTCCTTTATCCACCCCACCAGATCCCAGTGACCTATGCCTCCGAGGTGAGCTGGCAGCAGGAGCTGCTGCGCCTGCTCCCCACGGCGCTCATCATCGCCGCGTGGATCTACTTCAGCCGCGGCCTGCAGTCCAACCAACCCCCTCCCTTCACTTCTTCCCCGCACCCCCTATCAGATCCCAGTGACCTATGCCTCCGAGGTGAGCTGGCAGCAGGAGCTGCTGCGCCTGCTCCCCACGGCGCTCATCATCGCCGCGTGGAACTACTTCAGCCGCGGCCTGCAGTCCAACCAACCCCCTCCCTTCACTTCTTCCCCGCACCCCCTATCAGATCCCGGTGACCTATGCCTCTGAGGTGAGCTGGCAGCAGGAGCTGCTGCGTCTTCTTCCCACGGCGCTCATCATCGCCGCGTGGATCTACTTCAGCCGCGGCCTGCAGTCCGGCTTCGGCATGGGTGGCATGGGTGGCCCGGGCGGTGCGGGCGGGGCCAAGGGCATCTTCAACGTGGGCAAGGCAGCGGTGACAAAAATGGACAAGCACAGCAAGAACAAGGTCTATTTCCGAGACGTCGCAGGGTGCGACGAGGCGAAGCAGGAGGTGATGGAATTCGTACACTTTTTAAAGAACCCCGCTAAGTATCAAGCGCTCGGGGCGAAGATCCCGAGGGGGCGCTGCTGGTGGGCCCGCCAGGCACGGGGAAGACGCTGCTGGCCAAGGCAACGGCGGGGGAGGCGGATGTGCCGTTCCTGTCCATCTCTGGATCGGATTTCATGGAGATGTTTGTCGGCGTGGGGCCGTCCCGCGTGAGGGACCTCTTTGCTCAAGCTCGCGCCTGCAGCCCGAGCATTATATTCATTGATGAGATTGATGCGGTTGGCAGGGCCAGGGGCCGCGGGGGGTTTGCTGGGGGGAACGACGAGCGGGAGAACACGTTGAATCAGCTGCTGGTGGAAATGGATGGGTTCACTACTACCTCGGGGGTTGTGGTTCTTGCTGGGACGAATCGGCCGGATATTCTTGACCCCGCGCTGCTGAGACCGGGCCGTTTTGACCGTCAGATCACGATTGATCGCCCGGACATCAAGGGCCGGGAGCAGATCTTCCGGATTTACCTGAGCCGGGTGCGGCTGGATAAGGAGGTGGAGTTTTACTCGCAGCGGATGGCGGCGCTGACGCCGGGGTTTGCGGGCGCGGACATTGCGAATGTGGTGAACGAGGCGGCGCTGATGGCGGCGCGGAATGATCGGGAGGTGATCCTGATGCAGGACTTTGAAGCGGCGGTGGACCGCGTGATTGGCGGGCTGGAGAAGAAGGGCAAGGTGAGACGGAGGAAATGGGGTCAGAAAGGGCAAGATGCACACGGAGGGGTGATCGGGAGGATCATAGCAAGGTGTTTCTGATAAAAGACTGTGAAGTGGTTGTGGTGGCGTGGTTCTTGCAACACAAGGAGCCGCTGCTCAAGGTGTACATCGTACCCTGCTCAAGGTGTACATCGTACCCTGCTCCCAACCCCCCCTCCCGTCTGCCCCTTCGCCAAACTCCTGCAGGTCATAAGCGCCACGGAACGCCGCACAGTGGCCTACCACGAGGCGGGGCACGCGGTGGTGGCGTGGTTCCTGGAGCACACGGAGCCGCTGCTCAAGGTGTCCATCGTGCCACGTGGCACCGCGGCATTGGGCTTCGCACAGTACCTGCCGAATGAGAACCTGCTGATGACCAAGGAGCAGCTCATCGACATGACGTGCATGGCGCTTGGAGGGAGGGCGGCGGAGCAGGTATGGTGATTTGGGAGTATGAAACAGGAGGCGCCTTCATGAAGTGTTGAACGAGAACCTGCTGATGACCAAGGACCAGCTCATCAACATGACTTGCATGGCCCTTGGAGGGAGGGCGGCCGAGCAGGTGAGATTGCTGGGGAAGGTGAGGTGACTGGGGGAGGTCAGACTGGGGGCACCAATGGGTATTTTCCGAAGGAGAACCTGCTGATGACCAAGGACCAGCTCATCGACATGACGTGCAGTGCATGGCCCCCGGGGGGGAGGGCGGCCGAGCAGGTGAGACGATGGGGGGATGATTTTCGGGAGCTGATAAAGGCATCCCACCTGGCCCACCTGGCTGTTTGGCGGTCAGTGTGGCATTGCTGGCTGTAAAGTGCGGTATGAGCTGACCTTGCCTGACCACCACTGGCCCTCCACCCCCCATATCCTTGCCCCTCTCCTGTCCCTCACCCTGACTCTCCCCCCAACCCTCCCTCAGGTGCTACTGGGTAGTGTGTCAACAGGAGCACAGAACGACTTGGAGCGAGTGACCAAGACGACCTACAACCGCGTTGCCGTCTACGGCTTCAGCGACAAGCTGGGCCTGCTCTCCTTCCCCAAGGCCACCAACAGCGAGGGCCTCGAGGGCCTCTCCAAGCCCTACAGCAACGAGACGGCCGATCTGATCGACACCGAGGTGCGCGAGGCGGTGGACTCGGCGTACAGAAGGACTCTCGAGCTGATGGAGAAGCACCGGGAAGGGGTGGCGGCGGTGGCAGAGGAGTTGCTGGTGAAGGAGGTGCTGCATCAGGAGGATCTGGTGCGGCTGTTGGGGCCAAGGCCGTTCCAGAGTGCGGAGATGAGCAACTATGAGCGGTTCGTGCATGGGTTTGAAGGGGGGATGACGAAGGGGGGAGAGGGGAAGGAGGAGGAGGGGGAGGGGGAGAGAGGGGGGGTTGGGATGGAAGGGGCGCCAGCGCTGGCAGCGGTGGGGAGAGATGGGTGGAGTGTGGAGGGGGGGAGCGGAGGGAGGAGCATATCTGGTTCTAGATTGTGAGGATGTGAGGAGGTGATGATGAGATGAAAAGGGAGGATGAGGTGCTCGCACTGGTGGTGCAAGGAGCAACTTGTTGGCACCGCACCGCACCGCAGGCATCAGCGTACCGTACATTCAAATGTGGCCATGTTAATGACTCAATTTCAATACAGCCATTGCATTGTCAGTCAAGTGCACATCACATTTCCTGGAACGGGCGTCATCATTGTCGTCGTTGTGTGATGAAATGGAATTTGGCTCATGCGGTATATAGAAAAAAATCCTGGTGCTCTAGTATCTTTAATTTGCCTGTTTGATTGTTATGTCACTGGTGGCCAGCTTTCCATGCTGTAACCAAAGCCCAAGTATTGTTCGTCGTGTAATGGGCCTGCCACGGATGCACTGTGGTCCCCTGCAAGTTCATTGTGTAGATACTAGCCAATTGAGCACTACACTAGGGTTGGTGAAAGCTGTGCATTTGGTTGCGGAGGGCTGGAGGTGGTGTTGTTCAGTGGTGCAAACCCCCTCTTCAGTAAGCATGGTGGAGAGGGAATGTTGGTGATTCAAATACACTAGCTACATTGGTACGGTACTGTGCTTTGAGCTTGGTGTGTACACAGCTAAAGCTCCTACATACACATGGCATTTAGCCTGGCTGTATTCACAGCTCATCCCTACCACCGTCACCATCACCATCACCACCATCATCCAACATCAGCATCAGCATCAGCATCAGCATCACCCTCAGCCTCCTCTCCCTTCTCACCCACAGCACCACCCTTCTCTCCTTCCGCCCCCTCCTGCCCGGGTTTCTTGGGCAGCTTCACCTTGACCGGGTAATCCAGCACGTGCAAATGAGGCATGATGACAGACCCCATCCACAGCTGCCCGTTCCGCTCCTCCACCTCACTGATTGCTCGCACCACAATCCCTAGGCTATCTTCCAGAACCTCGGTGATCTCCCCGTTCTCGTCCACCTCTATCAGGTACCCGTGCGGTGCCCCCACTATCATGGCGTACAGAATCTTCACTTCGAGCGGTAACCGCATCAGGATGCGGCGTAACCACGGGCGCGTGGCCAGGGTGTCTGTAAGAAGGGATTGAGAGTGATGGTGGAGACGGAGGGGAGTGAGGGGAGGGAGGGGAGGACAGGAGGTCAGAGGGTGAGGAGCGCCGTTAATGGTAACCGCATCAGGTTACGGTGTAAACCAGGAGGATGACGCCAGATTGTTTTGGGTAGTGTTGGTGTTTGAAAGGATGACAGGTGGCAGGAAGAGGAACGAACAGAGGGTAGGGGAAGAAAAGAACAGTACACGGGGAGGAGAAATGGTGATAAGTTTATCCGTAAACCCATGAAACCAGGGAGGGAAGGCACATTACCCGTAAACGCAAACTCAAGACTCGAAACCCCAGCCGTTAAGTTCAAACCCAGCCCTGACCCTGAATTTGAGCTTCGACACAAACCATGACATGAGGGAGGGAGTGGAGAGCGCTTACCAATGACCATGCCTCGCCTGGCATGCAGAGCAATCCAGAAACGGCCCCGCGGGTTGAGGCGAACGTTGTCGGGCAGCCCGGGCAGGTCCAGAAAAAGCTCAGTGGTGCCCTCCTTGGGGCCCTTGATCCAATAGCGCATGCACCTGCAGCCGGGGGTGGGAGGTGGCTAGTGAATTGACTGCTGTGTTAGATAACGAGAGATGAATGACGAGGTGGATATGACACGTCACACCACACATACACGTGTGATGTGTGTGATACAGATGAGGGAGTGCAGGGTGGTTACTGCCCCCAACTTTCCTCCACTTGCACTGTGCTGACGCCTGTGCTGCTGCTGCTTGCACTACTGCTCGCGCTGCTGCCACAGCTTGCTGCTATTGCCGCCCCTCACCTGGCCTTGGTGGTTTCACAGACGATAAGGAAGGACTGGTCCTTGGAGAGAGCAACACCGTTGGCGAAGGCGAGGTATGTTGAATCAGTAATATTGCAGCTCCTGCTGCTGCTACTCACCGGGCCTTGGTGGTTTCGCAGACGATAAGAAAGGACTGGTCCTTGGAGAGAGCAACGCCATTGGCGAAGGCGAGGTTCCTCAGCAGCACCTGCACCTTGCCTGTCGCCAGGTCAACCTTCATTAGCCGCCCATCAGACCACCCCTCCATTATCGCCACAAAGAAATTCCTGTGGGGAGGGAAGACGGGAGGAAAAAGATGTGAGCATTGAGCGCAACATTGTTGGCGAGGAAGGTGAGAAGGCGAGGTTCCTCAGCAGCACCTGCACCTCGCCCGTTGCCAGGTCGAACTTCATCAGCCGCCCGTCTGACCACCCCTCCATTATTGCCACAAAGAAATTGCTGCACGGGCGGAGTGGGAGGGGAAGGGGAGAGGCAGGAGAACGGAATGTGAGGATTGAGAGATTGTTGGGGGGGGGTGGAGGGGAGGAGACGGTTCGGGTTGGGAGATGAAGGGGAGGGGTGGGATGTTTGGGGACGAAGCAAGCAAGTGGGAGGTGCGTGCTACGGTCATCCCCTTCCCACCTCCCCTTTCCCCTCCCTTGTGTCACCTCATTCCGTTCACTTGTGCGACCTCTCCCCCAGTCCCTTCCCCGCGCACAGCAATCGCCTCCTGCCTCACCAGCGCGGAAAGCGAGTGCTGGTGTCCTACCTCCAGCTCTCCACCTCCGACTCTCCACCTTCAGCTCACCGGCGGTGGAAGCGTTTGCTGGTGTCGGTAAAATAGAGCGTGCCATTCTCGTCGCTGGCGGCAATATCAAGGTCGTTGGCGAAGATCAGCGGGCGGCCGTCCACTTGCGTCACGACAGGCTGCGCCAGCCCGCCCTGCCGCCCAACCTTGAAGATGCCAAAGTACGCATCCGCGAAATACAGCTCGCCCGTCACCGGGTGGAACCGCAGCCCCAGCGGCCGCCCGCATATGTGCTCCGTGGTGAGATTTGGAACTAGGGTCATGTTGATGCCATATACGATGGGTGATTTACCCTCCTCCAGCTCCACGGGCTTCAAATCGCATAGTTCCGGGGTTCTGACGGGGGGACGAAACGAGCAGGAAGGGAGCGATGCAGGCGTGTAAGGGACGTAGTTGGAGCAGTGAATATGAATGGAGCAATAACAGGGGAACTCGAAAAGGTAGATCACGAGAATCAGCGCGTGGTATGCGAACACGTGAGTAGTCGTCGTAACGTAAATCACGTTCAGAGGGGAATTGAGGACGAATTACGCTATAAGGAAAAAGGGTGGTACCGTTGGGGGGAGGCCCAGGCGAAAGTCTCCCAGGCAGTGTCGTCGGCGTTGCGCCGCACCACCCGGCCGTCGCTGAGCCCCACGTACGGCCCTCGACCCTCCAGATCCCACGCAAGACTCTCTGGCCCGAAACCCTCCCCTTCGTACCTGCCGAGGTAGAACAGCATGATGCAAATTCACCGAATTCCCTTCAGAACAAGTCATTTGAAATCAAGAACAGAGTTAAATTAACGTAGATGTGGTGTTTAAACCAGCGATGCGCGTGATACCGTCATGGCACCCCTTCAGGCGTCTGGATCCGGGAATTCCTGATCAGCACTGAGCGAAGGAAAAGGCGCAGCGGGAATTCAGCGAGGCGATCGAACCTGCGCTGCGCGTAGGTGAGCTTCTCGGTGAGATCGATGATGGGCGGCCACATGCGCGGCGGCGCGTCATGCTGCACGGGCTCGAACGGCAGATGCGCGATCGGGCTGCGCTTGAGCGGATCGGTCAGCAGGAACGTGACGATGCATGCGAACACTCCTGCGGCGATCGCTCGCCGGACGGTGTAATTGGGCATTGTGGAGACTGGGATGTGAAGCCAGACTCTCACGACATTAGCCGTAGGCGTATTTAGATTTAAGAAGAGAGATGCGGGAGTGCGTTGTTGTTCAAACGGAAGCAGTCGAAAGTGGTTCGGGCTTCAGAAGTATTCCCATCCGACGGTTACGCTGCGAATCAAAATATGTGGACGAGAACTTGGACGCTCCAGATTTCTTGGGTCCTGGCGAAGATTCCCAAGGTGTGGCTTGCATTTCCGAGCATGAGACATCTGCTGTGGACGGTCCATTTTCTTCAAAGCACAATGACGGCGAATCCTAGGCGTCCAGTCAGGTTACAGAAATAACACGTTCCTCACATTCATGCGAGTGTCGTTCGCACTTGAGTTCGCAGCTGGGTCAAACTGGTTCAGTCCTCCGCTACGCACCTCTCGCTATTATCACTGCGCGGCATCCCTCCTCCTTCTGACCCGCTTCACGGATCTCTGTTCTCCAACCTCATCTCCCGCCTGGCCAACCCCACATCCTACCCATCCACCTCCCTCCTCTGGACCGAATCCAGGGTGACACCATACCCAACCGCTCTGCTATATGCGTAAGCCGTTGTCCAAGCTACAAAATCTCATCCCACCGCAGTAAAGTGAATGTCAACTACACCCTCGCATCACCCGTGCAGCAGGAGAACCTCTTGGGATTGCCGGACGTAACGATGCTGCATTGCCATGAAGCACTTGTCATCACCAACCCAACCATGATAACTCCGAATTCCGTAATTTCCTGACACATTTAGTTAGACAGTCGTAAGCTGGTCGGTGAAAACGGAAGATCCGTCAGTGTAGCGCTTTGCAACCCTAATTTCTGTTCTAACATCCTAGTCTAAGGCACTTCGTTGGCCAGGCGATTGCGTTCGCCGTCGACGTGCATGTCCGTACTGCGCGGATCAATATTGCCAGTTTATTAGGAATTTTACAAGTAGCACGCATGGTGGTGAGATAGTCTCAGGTGGAGGTAATAAGTTCCACGATCTCGTCGACCTTCGCTCTTGAACGATCCATCGGAGCTGTCCATTCGGCGCCATGTCCGGTGACGTGGCGTCGAGGGACCGCGCGGCAATGCGGCTCGATGTCGCGGAGTTCCTCGTGAAGGAGCGTTACTTCCTCGCGGCGCTAGAGCTGCTGCACGAGCTGCACGAGGACCATGGCGGTCAGGCTGGTCAAGACGACCATGATGCGTCGGAAGCGGCTCGTTTTCTCGAGCGCGTTTTCGCGGACGAGCAGCGATTTCCGCGCGACAAGATCGCAGCTGTCGCAGCTTCCACAGCGGCTGCGAAATCACCAGGTTGGACCTGATTCAAGCTTGCTTTGTTCCCAAGCAAGCGGGGCATTGTTTTCAAGGCACAAGCCGAGCCTTTTGTGTCAATTCAAAGGCTTCAACATTTAAGTTGCTAGGATCATCCACATTATTGAATGCACGAGGCAGCTCCCTCGTGCCTGGCTTCTGAGTTAGGGCGATTATAAGTGAGGGTGCTTTCAGTGGAAGCAGTTCGTTTCGTACACCTCGTGCCTGCAACCTGCTCCGTCGTTCCTCGGTTTAGTCCCCGTCGCTCCCAGCGTCTCCCCCTGACAGCCCCTCACCGGCATTGCTGATGCCCTGACCGTATCCTGACCGTACCCAGACTGTGCGCCGCCATACCTGTCTCTGACTCTGCCCTTCCCTTCCACAGCCAGTGCCGCAGCTCCCTCCGTTAACGGTGGAACTGGGGGGGTTGCGGAAGCAGGGGTGGGCGGCGGAGATGAGCAGACAGCGGAGGACGACGATGCGCCGTTGGATGCGTTGGGCGAGGACGAGAGGCGCGATCTGAACTTCGCGGTGCGGGAGTATCTGGTGCAGGCGCGATACAAGCTCACCGCCATGACTCTGCAAGACGAGGCAAGCTCGCTCGACCTGTCCTCCTCCTCGCTGTCTCCCCTCTCTCTCTCTCTGTGTCCTCTCACTCGCTGTCTCTCCACTCTCTCTCCCCTTCCCCAGCGTCTCGCGTGCGTTACTGTGCCTGTGCATCCTATCTCCCACATTCTCTTGAGTGCCCCTATATCACCATCTCACACTCCCCTTCCGTGCCCTCCATTCCCGTTCACTGCCCTACCCTGCCCCACCATGGCCTTCCGCCAACCACACCCTGGCCTGCCCCACTGTGCGCGGCGGTGCGCGCAGGTGGGGGATCAGGACTGGGACGACTGGGAGGAGGGCCCCGCCAAGGCGGAGAGCGCGCTCAGGCGCTACCTGCGCCACTACCTGCGCCGCAGGGAGGCCAGCAAGAGCGCCGCGGCAGCTGGGCGCGCAGCTGCTGACCTGGCGGAGATGCGGCAGGAGATGGAGCAGCGACTGGCTGGCGCTGCGCGGGAAAAGGCTGACGTGGAGAGGTCTCTGGCCACCGCCTCTGCTGCCGTTGAAACTCTTAAAGTCAAGGTGGGTGGGCTTATGGTGGAATGTTCGGACTAAAGCGTGGATGGCTTAATCATGATTCTCCCGTCCACACTCTTGTATCTCTTTCCACACTGTCTCACCCTCACACACACCCCTTCACCCACCGCCCGTCCCTGTCCCCACCCCCACCCCCCACCACCCCTCTCACCGCCTGTCATGCAGGTCCAGGACTTGGAGGTCGAGAGGAAAGCACAGGACAACGACCTGCAGAAGCTGAGAGCAGAGCTCCAGGCAGCTTCCGAGAAGGCTCGTGGTCATGGCGCATCCGAGGCGTCTCTCCTTGCACGGGCGGAGGGAGCCGAGCGCCAGCTGGACGTCGCCCAGGCTGACGTGTCCTCGCTCCGTGCTGACGTGGTGTCGCTGCGTGCTGAGGTGGCTTCGGCACGTGATGAGCTGGCAGCAGCTCAGCGCGAGTCGGCATCGCTAAAAGACAAGATCAAATCGATGGAAGCAGCAGCTGAAGCAGCGCGTGTGGAGCAGGATGAGGAGTGGGAGAAGGCAGGGCAAGTAGCAGCAGACGCAGAGAGAACAGCAGCGAGGCTCCAACGAGAGATAGATGCAGCGCGGAAAGCAGCAGCTGACGCCGAGGCGAAGGGAGAGGATCTGAAAGCGCAGGTGCAGCAGGCTCGGGCCGAGGCTGAGGCTCAGTTGGCTGAGGCTCGGGCAGCAGCGGCGGAGGCGAGGGCAGAAGCAGAGGCGAAGGGGAAGGCGGAGGAGGTGGCGCGAGGGGAGATTGCGCGCGTGCAGGAGGTGGCGAGGGGGGAGATCGCCCGCATGCAAGGCGAGATTAAGGCGCTCAGGGACGCGCAGAGGGAGCAGGCAGGGGAGAGCGGGGCAGCCCCTGCTGTTGCTGCTGCTGCTGCTGTGTCTGGTGGTGCTGGGGGAGCGGGCGAGGCGGAGGGGAGGGTTGCAGAGCTGCAGAGGAAGCTGGACGAGGCGAGGAGGGAGGCAGAGTCAGCTGCAGCGCAGGTGGAGGTGTTGCGAGGTGAAATGAGGGAGGCTGAGGAGAAGGCCCGGGCGGAGAGGGAGAGGGTGGAGGCGGAGGTGAGAGGGGAGGTGGGACGATTGCGAGAAGAAGCGGAGAAGCGGGGGAATGAGGCAAGGGAGGCCAAGGGAGAGCTGGAAAAGGCACAAAAGGAGCTGGACATTGTTCGTGATGAGCTGGCGAGGGTCAAAAGTGAGCAGAAGGCTGGGGGTGGAGGAGGAGGAGGAGGAGGAGGAGGAGGAGGAGGAGCAGGAGGAGGAGGAGGAGGAGGTGAGGAGTCGATGGAGGTGCTGCTGGAGGCGGAGAGGAAGATCGTGGAGCTGCAGAGAGAGGTGGACGCCGCCAGGCGCGAGGCAGCAGAGGCTAGGGCCCAGGCTGACGCCTTCGCCAAGGCTGCTGCTGCTGCTGCCGCCGCTGCTGCTTCCGCTGCAGCTGCCTCTGCTGCCAGTGGTGGTTCTGCCGGTGCTGCTGCTGCTGTGGGTGGGGGTAAAGTGGTGGAAGGGAGTGTGGGTGCAGGAGGCGCGGAGGAGAAGAGAGGGGAGGCGGAGACGATGGAGGTGCGGAGGGGGGGCGCGGGCAGGGAGGGGGAGGGGGCGGTGGGAGTGGAGGACGAGGCGGTGGTGTGCCTGCTGGCGGAGTGCCTCCCTCGCATCATCCCCAACGTGCTCATCAACCACCGCGAGGTACGTACCACGTTGCTTCTTCACCTGCCTCTCCTCCCTTGCTTGCTGGCGGAGTGCCTCCCTCGCATCATTCCCAACGTGCTCATCAACCACTGCGAGGTACGTACCACCATGCTCTGCTGTGCTGTCCCTTCGCCCTGCCTTGCCTTTCACTGCTCTGCCCCCTGCCTTGATGCTGCTCGTCTCGCCCCTCTGGTCCCTTGCGCTGCCAGGAGCTCTCATCTGCTACCAGAAGCTTCTACCGCAGCTACATCGGAATCACTTTTGAGAGTTCTCAAAAGTGATTCCAATATATGCAGCTGATTGGTTCTACCTACAAGCCGCTGCCTCCAGCACACCCCCACCCCTGTCTCTTCCCCACCAATGTTCCCTCACATGCACACCCACCACGCCCATCCGCGTGGGCAGGAGCTGCTGCCGCTGATCATGTGTGCGATAGAGAAGCACCCGTTGGAGGCAGCGCGCAAGGCGCAGGTGGCGTGGCTGTTCAACCTCATCAAGAAGCCCGACCACGACCAGCGCTCCGCCGTGGTGGCCGCTTGTGTGCAGCTCAAAGAGAGGGTGGGGGAGCGGCGCACTGAAACTGAAATACTCAGCCAGTGCTGGGACGAGGTGAGAGGGGCGAGGGATAAATGTGACGGGATGGAATGGGGTGTGTGTATTATGGGTTCCCGTACCTGTGAGCCCCCTCTCACTGTGTGCCTGTCACTTCCTGTGCGCTGCCCCTCTCCCTGTGTGCCCCCCTCAGATGGGGCACAAGAACGAGGAGAAGCGGCTGCTGGTGGTGCAGCTGTGCTGAGAAATGGCGCCCCTCATGCCTCAACTACTCCCTCTTCTCTCTCTTCCTCACTTACCTCACACTTGCCTTTCATATCCCTGTGTTCCGCCCACCCACCCAACCACAGATGGGGCACAAGAACGAGGAGAAGCGGCTGCTGGTGGTGCAGCTGTGCAGGGAAATGGCGCCTCTCATGACTCGCCGCGTGCAGGACGCAGTGCTGCTGCCCATGCTGCTGCAGCTCGCCACTGATACCGCCCCTGCTGTCCGGGAGGCTGTGGCCGTGAACTTGGCTCCGCTGCTGCCGCTGTTCGATGACACCGCTGTGCTGCCCAAGGTGAGAGGGGGCACAGTGCGGTGCTGCACAGTGCTGTGAGGTATGGCGCAGGACGGAGTGCTGCTGCCCATGCTGTTACAGCTCGCCACTGACAGCGCCCCTGCTGTCCGGGAAGCTGTTGCTGTCAACCTCGTCCCGCTGCTGCCCCGTTTTTATGACACTGGTGTGCTGCCCAAGGTGAGAGTGGTACAGTGCGGTGCTGCACGGTCCAGTCAGGTGTGGTGCGGTGAGACACAGTGCAGGACGCTCTGCTGCTGCCCATGCTGCAGCAGCTCGCCATTGATAGCGCCTCTACTGCCACTATTTGATGACGCTCAGAACGCTGCTTGTTGCATCCCTTATGCTTGTACCTCCTCTGCTCGTATCCCGTGTGCTCGTATCCCTCGCCCCCATATCTCACACGCTCATATCCATGCGCTCCTATCAGGTGGAGGAAGCGTTGTTCCTGCCGGCATGCGATGTGGACAGGGGAATGGTGGAGGAAACGCTTAAGGCGCTTCTTAATACAGTTTTTGCTGCTTGTATCCGACATGCTCGTATCAGGTGGAGGAGGCGTTGTTCCTGCTGGCGTGCGATGTGGACGGGGGAGTGGTGGAGGAGACACTCAAGACGCTGCTGCCGGCCTTCGTGGCGTGGGCCAAGTCGCGCCGCCACCCCTTCGGCCAGGTGCTGCGTGCCGTCATGCAGCGCCTCATGGGGCAGATCCAGGTGCGTGGACAGGGATGGGGGGTTTGAGGGGTGGGTGAGGGGTCAGGGGAAAAGGGTCGAGGGGGCGAAGAAGGAAGAAGAGGAGATGTGTTTCTTTTTCCGGGCAAAGACTTGTGATTTGTATGCTCAGTTTTGGAGGGCAGCAGATTCCATCCTTCTTTCCTCCCCACCCCCTGCCTTCCGACCCAAACCTCCAGAAATGCCCTGCCGTGTCGGCGGTGGAAGGCTCGGCGGAGGCTCGGCTGCGCATGGTGGGGGAGAGGGAGCGGTGGAACATCGACGTGCTGCTTCGGCTGCTCACCGAGCTTCTTCCGGAGGTTCGGCACGTGGCTGTGAAAACGTGCCCCGAAGCTATCCTCGCCCTCGACAAGCCTGCTCCTGCTGCCGCACCTGATACCGCAGCTGCTGGTGCTGGTGCTGGTGCTGGTGATGGGGGTGCAGGGTCAGAGGGAGGGGCAGGTGGAGAGGGGTCGGATGCGGTGGGGCAGAGGAGCGGGAGTGGCCGGCTGCCGTCGGCAGCTTCCTTGGGTGGGATAGAGTACGAGGAGACCTTCTTCACTGACGCTCTGCTCAAGCGATACGGCAGGTGGGTCGAGCTGTATGGTTTTCATTCCTGCTGAGACCTCTGCTTCTTGCTTCCTTTGAGTCGACTCAAAAGCTTCCTTGGGTGGGATAGAGTACGAGGAGACCTTCTTCACTGACGCTCTGCTCAAGCGATACGGCAGGTGGGTCGAGCTGTATGGTTTTCGTTCCTGCTGAGACCTCTGCTTCTTGCTTCCTTTGAGTCGACTCAAAAGCTTCCTTGGGTGGGATAGAGTACGAGGAGACCTTCTTCACTGACGCTCTGCTCAAGCGATACGGCAGGTGGGTCGAGCTGTATGGTTTTCGTTCCTGCTGAGACCTCTGCTTCTTGCTTCCTTTGAGTCGACTCAAAAGCTTCCTTGGGTGGGATAGAGTACGAGGAGACCTTCTTCACTGACGCTCTGCTCAAGCGATACGGCAGGTGGGTCGAGCTGTATGGTTTTCGTTCCTGCTGAGACCTCTGCTTCTTGCTTCCTTTGAGTCGACTCAAAAGCTTCCTTGGGTGGGATAGAGTACGAGGAGACCTTCACTGACGCTCTGCTGAAACGATACGGAAGGTGGGTCATGCTGCATGGTTTTCGTTCCTGCTGAGACCTCTGCTTCTTGCTTCCTTTGAGTCGACTCAAAAGCCTCCTTGGGTGGGATAGAGTACGAGGAGACCTTCTTCACTGATGCTCTGCTGAAACGATACGGCAGGTGGGTCATGCTATACAGGGTGTAATGTCAGGGTCATGTTATATGGGGTATATTTGGATGCCCATGGACTGTCTACCCACTGCTGTGCAGCTCGTTGCTTGCAGTGATCTCAAGTCACCACCTCCCACCGTTGCTCCTTCTTGCTTCTCAACCGTTGCCCCCCTGGCAGTGCGGGGGTGGACTGGCCGGCGTTTGACTGGATTCCAATGGACTGTCTGCCCACGCTCGTGCAGCTGGCGCTCATGCTGCCGCCCAAGGAGGAGCGCCTGCGCGTCCGCATCTGCACGGTGGGTGGCCCTAATTGTCATTATGTGTCGTTTTAGAGTTTTATGCGGGTCGCGGAAGGGTAATTGGGGCATGCAGGGGTGGTGGGGGCATGGAGGGTCAATGGGCTTTGTGTTGTTTCAGTCAGAGGAAGGTCAATGTTCCCTGCTCCTTCTCTCTCCCTTTGCAGACGCCTTTAAGTCCTTCCAACTTTATCCAACTCTCTCCCCTTCTCCCTTCCTCCCCTCCCCTTTCCTTCCCCTCCCTGTGATGTCCAAGCAGTTGCTGCTGACAGTGAGCAAGCTATTCGGTCGGTTCTACCTCATGGCAGTGCTGCTGCCTGTCTTCCTCACTGCTGCCGGTCACTCCATCGACACCTCGCACCTCCCTCCCAAGATCGCTTCCTCCGTTGAAGGTGCGCCTGCCTACCTATGGCTCACATCCCACCTCCCTCTCAAGATCGCTTCCTCCATTGAAGGTACGAGCTGTGTGGGTGCCTGCGTGAGTGCCTGTGTGTTCGCCTGACCGAGTGCCTGCTCTGGAGCATGAGCATGCAGCGTGCTGCATGCCACCACTCTCACCCTGCCGCTGTCCCTCCCCTGCTCCTTCCCATTCCCCACTTGCACAGTGCTGCGCCCAGCCGGCCCCCCTCTTGAGCGCCTATCCCGCATGTCCGTGTGCTTCCCTTCCTTGACCCTCCCTTCTTCCCCCCGCTCTCCTGTCCATGCCCCCATCATTTCTCCCCTCTCTTCCCCCTCTTCTTTCCCCACATGCACAGTGCTGCGCCCAGCAGGCCCCCCTCTGGAGCGCCTGTCGCGCATGTGTGTGCTGCCACTACTGCTGGCGGGTGTGTTGGGCTCGCCCAATATGCGCGAGGGCTACCTCTTCAAGTACCTGCGCGAGTGGGTCGTCTCCACCTGCGCCCGCTCCGGCGCCTGGTCTCCCGCCTCCACACCTGAACTCATCGACGCTGTTCGCTTCCTCTGGTGAGAGAAACAGCAAGCCAGCTAGCACGCATGCGGGAGGGCTATCTCTTCAAGTACCTGGGCGAGTGGATGGTGTCCACTTGTGCTCGCTCCAGTGCCCGCTCCAGTGCTCGCTCAAGTGCTCGCTACAGTGCCTGTTCACCTGCATCCACACCTCTGAACTCATCGATGCCGTCCGCTTCCTGTAGTGAGGGAGTTGTGGCCCTGTTCCTTCCTCTCATGGCACAAGCTTTCCCTCTCCCCCGATATCCGTGCAGTCTGTTTGAGGAGCACAGGGAGACGTTGAGCAGTGTGGGGTGGGAGCTCGTGGTCAACCAGGCACCAGCAGTGCGCATCACAGCCGCTGTCATCTTCCAGACCCTCGTGAGTGCTCTTGTTAGCTTGCGTCCTTGCTCTCTACTCAACCCATGCGTTCCTTTCGGAGCCTGCTTTTGAGTCGACTCAATCACAGCCACCATCATCTTCCAGACCCTCGTGAGTGCTCTTGCCTGCTTGCTTCCTTGCTCTCTACTCAACCCATGCGTTCCTGTCGGAGAATGTTTTCACTCTCCTCATGGTCATCTCGTTGCAGCACAGCACAACGTCTCCTTGGCGAGACCTATGCCTTAGGCCAGCAGGAGCCCTTCACGGACGCGTTGCAGTGAGGTCGCCAGCAGATGCTGTCAGCTCCTTTTAAGCTAATCTTGTCTTTGAAAACTCTCTAAAGCTCAGCCCAACTGCCTCTCCACCCGCTCACCTCTCTCTACACCTCTCTGCATCGCAGGCGCCATTCGTGGATGTGAAGCGAGTGAGCCAGCAGGTGCTGCTCGTCCTGACCTGATCACGTTGGGGTCAGACCCCGTGCCCCGTGCACTCCACCAATGCCTTCTCCCAACCCACCTCCCCACACCTCTCTGCACCGCAGGCGCCCTTCGTGGGCGTGAAGCGGGTGAGCCAGCAGGTGCTGCCGGCGCTGATCACGTTGGGGTCAGACCCCGTGCCCCGTGCCGCGAACCCATGCCTTGTATGCTTTCTTCCCCTTGCCCTGTGCAAACTCCACCACAGGCACCATTCGTGTATGTGAAGCGAGTGAGCCAGCAGGTGCTGCCGGCGCTGATCACGTTGGGATCAGACCTTGTGCCCCGTGCTCTCGACTCGACCCATGCCTTGTCCCACCTCCCCTCACCTCTCTTCACCCTTCACAGGCGCCATTCGTGGATGTGAAACGGGTGAGCCAGCAGGTGCTGCCAGCGCTGATCACGTTGGGGTCAGACCCGGTGCCCGAGGTCAAGCACTCCACCATCGCTGCCCTGGGGTCTGTGGCTCAGCAGTTCAAGGACGCTCCGGTGAGTTGCTCTGCTGGGTAGAGGGATGTTGGGAGTGGTGGAGAGAGGACAAAGTCTGCTACGTGCAGGTAGACTCGTTTCCCCTTTTGAGTCAACGCACTAGTCACCATGTGCTCTCCCCCATGCCTGTCCCCTGCTGACATGCATGCATGCTAACATGCGCGCATACATCCCACCGGATTAACATTTGAGCGCATTTCGACACATTTACCTTTGTTTCGATCACCTTGCTCTATGTCCATTACCACTACCATTGCCATTATTATTACTATTACCATTACCATTACCATTATCATTACCATTACCACTACCATTACCATTATCATTACCATTACCACTACCATTACCATTACCACTACCATTACCATTACCATTAACATTACCATTACCATTACCACTACCATTACCATTACCACTACCACTACCACTACCATTACCATTACCATTACCATTACCATTACCACTACCACTACCACTACCATTACCATTACCATTACCATTACCATTACCATTGCCATTACCATTACCATTACAATTACCATTATCATTATCACTAACAATACCATTACAAATCTCATTACCACTTCCATTACCATTTCCACTACCATTACAATTACCATTACCATTACCATTACCATTACCATTACCACTACCACTACCACTACCATTACCACTACCACTACCATTACCATTACCATTACCACTATCATCTTACCATGATTGTATGCCTCCCCATGCATCACTCAGATAGTGGATAAGATTCGAGTGCAGCTGGACAATCCTGGAGGAGGTATCGCACGAGGCGGTGGTGGCAGTGCTGAAGACGTTCACAGCTGCTGTGTGTCCCTGTGTGGATGTGTCTATGCGTCTATGCGTCCATGCATGTCCCCTCAGATAGTGGACAAGATCCGAGTGCAGCTGGACTCCTTCCTGGAGGAGGGGTCGCACGAGGCGGTGCTGGCGGTGCTCAAGACGCTCACAGCCGCCGTGCCAGTCACCTCCACCACGCTGCGAGAGTACTCGCTGCAGAAGGTCGCCACCATGGCCACTGGCCCGCTGCTTGCTACTGGCACTGCTGCTAAGCGCAGAGAGAAGGCTGAGGCTCTCTGCTCTGCTCTCAGGGCTCTAGAGCACACAGGTACAGTGGGGTCATGCAGTGGACACATGGAGCACAGGTGTTTATTGAACACGCGCGGACGGCGTTTACTCTTGCAACCCACCCATCCAACCATCCATTCATTGTTCAAAACCTATCTTCATCCCTCTCTATCTCCCCCCACCCGTCCTCACTTTCTCTCTACCTCCCTCCACCCGTCCTCACTTTCTCTAAACTTGTGTGCTGCAGAGATGACTCCACAGCAGACCAACACGCTGTTCCTCCCAGCAGTGCAGGCGCTGCTAAAGGAGCCAGAGCTGCTCTCCACCAGCAGCAGAGACGCCCTCGAGGCCATTCGCCGCGACCGCTGGGTCGGGAAAATTGAGGACCTGGGGAAATACGTCGGGAAGAATTTGTTCGGGTTTGAGACTTCCGGGCAGAATAAGAATCTGTTTGGTGGTGGGCTGCTCGGGTCGGCGTCTGCTGCGAGCGGGTCTGCAAAGCCTGGAGCGGCTGGGGGTGGAGGGGCGGGTGGAGGAGGCGCGGCGACTGCTGCAAGTACTTTTAGTGGTGCCTTTAGTGGGGCGTTTGGCAACAAGCGGTAAAGCTTGTAAAGAATTGTGGTCATTTCAGATACTAGTATATGAGATGGTCTTCTATATGAACTAGCTTGTAACCTATCCAGTTTCAAAGATGGAGATATTATGTTTGCAGTGGTGCTTGTGATTCTCAATGTTTACTCAGCTGAGGTATCAATTTTATTCTGCAATTAAGCTTGTCGATACACTTCACCTGGTGTAGTTCGCTTTGTCGAGCCGCGGCTGAAAAATTGCAGTCTAATACCCTCCCCTCATTGGTCAATCTGGGCGCGTGTATGTCAGAGCTTCCTTTCCCAGGCAGGCTCAGCGTCAGAGAGCATTTGCGACGCGGCACAGGTTCTATTTAGGAAGGCGAGAACCATCCAGCTTCGAGCCGGGTTGAAAAGAAATCAAAACAATACATTTCTTCCGAGAGTACTCTTCCAAATTCTGGGGATTGGGACGATTTCGCCCATTGCTGCCCCTAGCACCATTCTCGTTCGTTCACGGTCTGCCCGTCATTGAAAGGGATGGTGGATTTGCAGTCCGAGACACCGCGGTTCGGCATTCGAAGCCGAACAAAGCAGAGTGTATCAGAACGATGACGTGCGGTTTACAGCGGTACGGCTCTCGACCAAAGCTGACTCAAACAGGAACGCTTGTTGTGAAAGCGAAGCAGGCCAGCTCTGGTAGCTTCAGCAGCAGCCGCCGAACTACCACACTGTCACACGCAGGCGGCCTTGCTACTAGGTACTCTCCCCTTCACCTGATTCCTCTCCATAATTCGAGCTGGGATAATTCGAGAAGCCCTACCAGCCCAACAGTTGAGAGCTGCTATCTGTTTTCTGAGTGCTACTCCTCGTATGGTCTGCGCATCTGTAGTGGTACTTAGCTACTTCCCAGCTGTGGATAGCACGAACAAGATTAGCGCGAGGATGTACTCGTAGGCGCTGCTGGATGCGGTGGGATTTTTGCGCGGTGACTCAATCGTTCGTTCTTGAGCGCTCTCAGCGACATACAAGCTTCAGGTTTTGCCGCAACTTAGTGCCAATTTATAGTTACTTAACTCAGAGAAAGTCGTTCAAAAAAATTCGCCTCTCTTTAGAAACCGCGAGTGGAGACTAAGGAAACCACGGCAGCCATGAGTCAGAAAGCACTGCTGACAGATCAGGAACACCGAGCTAAGATCGAGCACCAGTTTAGAACCGAGCACCACCACTCTAAACCCGAGCACCACTCGAGAGCCCAACAGCCAACGAGCGCCAAGTCGCACATCCGACCGTCCTTCCACGGGCGCGTCGCGCTCCCCGCGCTCGTCGCAGCGGCTATCCTGGCGCTTCTATTGGCCGATCCCCTCCGCCTAAGCCCCGTGGCGCACCTCCCGTTCGACCCAGTCGTCATCGACATCGCGCCGCCGCCGCCGCGCTCCGTCAGAGACCCTCTTAATCGGCTCGCCGATGCTGAAATCATGTAAGCTTACCGCTACCATCCACGTTCTCCGTGCGATGGATGTGGATGGGGGTGAGTTGGCCCGGGTCTCATCGCTAAAATTAGCATTCTATTTCTTGGAATTTTAGAACCCACGAGATTGGCGTGCCTGTGAGGCCCGTGCTTCCCGATCTCAACCATGAGATTTTTATTTCACGATCTAAGGAGACGCAAATATCATACTCTTTGCTCTTGGTCATCCTATTGTAAGGCACTCAAACGTGGACGCTTAAAAAAAGCTGATTCTCGATCTAATCAGATGTAGATATCATACTCCTTGCTCTCGCCCATCCGTGTCGATGCGTCCACCTGATGCCCGTCTTGGCTGCGCCCATCATCCGCGGGCGAGGCGCTCGGTCTGGGGAGTGTAGCGTGGGACGCGGACGACAGGGTGCTGCACGCAGTGCCTTGTCCGTCGGCCCAGAATCTCTTACCTACTCAGAATACTCCGTGGAATGGCAGGTTCCAGGGGGAAGCGTTTGGCCCGGAGAGTCTGGCGTGGGATGCGGAGGGCAGGGGGCCGTACGCGGGTGTGGGCGACGGGCGGGTCGTTCGCCGCACTGCCGACGGCCGCGGGTGGGAGACGTTCGCGTGGGCGTCGCCTCTGCGGTGAGTGCCGGCGCCCTAGATTCTGTCCGTGCTGCATTCTCCGTCCGTTTTCATTCTCCGTTGACTCTCTTCTGCCTCTACGCTCCCGTTCCCCGCCTCTCCCCTTCATTTCCCTCTCCTCTTCACCTCCCCCCTTCCATTCCATCCGCGCTAGGACGTTCGAGCTCTGCGACACACACGCCCCTCCACGTTTCGTCTCCGTGCTGCATTCGTGTCCGCTCCCATTTACCTTTTCGCTGTTCTGTTCTGCCTTTTCGCTCCCAACCCCCCTCTTCTTCCCCCACCTCTTCTCCCCACCCCACCCCCTCTTCCCCTTCTCCTCTTCTCCCCCCCTTCTTCTCCCCGTCTTCCTCTGATTCCCTTCCCCCCTACCTCCATTCCATCCGCGCCAGGACACCCGAGCTCTGCGACACACACGCGCATTGAGGTGAGTTTTTTGGCGCCTAAAATAATTTCTCCCTTTCACCTCCCCTCCCCCCCTACCTCCATCCCATCCGCGCCAGGACGCCCGAGCTCTGCGACACACACGCCCCTCCACGCTTCAGCAGCGGCCCTGCCACGTCGCAGGAGCTCGGACCAATGGAAAGGAGACACGCGGCGGCAGCTGCAGTGGAGCTGCCAGCTTCGGAGAGAGTGGCGACCGCGTTCGGCGTGTTCCCCAGCGACGTGTCCCTCCTGCAGCCGCACGTCCGAACCACCGTTCAAGGCTCGGTGCCAGGCTCGGTGAAAGGTCCGGGTGGGAACCACTCTTCCTTCAGCGCACCTTCTGAGGAGCCTCAAAGGATTGCCGCCTCTCTCGCTGCACAGGCTACCAATGTAGAGCCATCACCACAGAACCAACACCCCCTGGAATCCCAGCAATCTCAGCAATCCCAGAAATCCCAGAAAACCCAGCAGCTGCAGCAATCCCACCGAGCCCATCCAGACCCTGCCACGGAGCACATCTGTGGGCGACCGCTGGGGCTGCGGTTCCACCCGGTGACGGGCGAGCAGTATTTCGCGGATGCCTACTTTGGCGTGTTCAAGGTGGGGCGGCAGGGCGGGCTGGCGCAGCCTGTCGTGACGCGAGTGGACGGCCGCCCGCTGCTCTTCGCCAACGACCTTGATATTGCCGCCACCGACGAGAACGGCACGCTCTATTTCACCGACACCAGCAGGCGCTTCCAACGCCGGTGAGTTGGGAGCAGAGAGAGGGAGGTAGGACTCCAGCGCTCGCTTTCACCGCAGGTAAGATGCAGGGCAGATAGAGGCAGGTAGGGCACAAGCAAGCGCTCTCAGCGCCGGTGAGACGAACAGGGAGTGGATGGTTGGGTGAGGCGGAAGTGGGGCACGCTCTTGCCGCGCTGGTGTGACAGGAGATGAGGGGCGGTTGATTGTGGAGGGGCAAGGCAGGTGGGCGGCTGTTACAGGGTGGTCCTGCTTCTCGCCATCCCATCACTTCCTATCCCATCCCTTCCCATCCCATCCCATCCCATCCCATCCCATCCCATCCCATCCCATCCCATCCCATCCCATCCCATCCCATCCCATCCCATCACATCCCATCCCGTCCCATCCCATCACATCCAATCCCATTCCCCTTTTCCCCCTGCCTCCATCTCTCGCTACCGTCCTTTCCCCATCTGACCTGCCACAGTGACTACTACGTGTCAATAGTGGAGGGCAGGGCAGACGGGCGGCTGGTGCAGGTGGACCTGGCGACTCTCACCATGCCATCCCATGCCATGCCATCCATCCCGTGCCATCCCTTACCATCCCTCTCCCAGGGACTACTACGTGTCAATAGTGGAGGGGCGGGCGGACGGGCGGCTGGTGCAGGTAGACCTGGCGACGGGCCGGGTGGCAGTGCTGGTGGACGGCCTTGCATTCGCCAATGGTGTCGCGCTCTCAAGAGACAAGTCCTTCCTCGTGTTCTGCGAAACCACCACCCTGAGGTATGTGGGTCGCCTGGGCCATCTCAACTGTTAAAGCTCCTTAAGTACCACCGCCCTGAAGTAACTTGTTCTTTGGAGGCATCGCAATACCATTGGGGTTGTGTTCTCAAGAGACAAGTCTTCTCCATGTCCTGTAAAACTGAAACCTTCACCCTTGGGGAGTGTCCAAATTTTATGTTAGCTCATGCATGTACCATGAAGCAACACTGTGCAAACGGCAGCAAGGAAGGCTTGACACCGCTGTGCTTTTACCGTTTATGACATTGTAATACTGATTCATTGTTTCCATTTCCATGCTCCCCTCGTAGGTGCCATCGGTATTGGCTAAGGGGTCCTAAGGCAGGGACCCATGAAGTTTTTGTTGAGCTGCCCGGCATGCCCGACAACGTTCGCCTGAATCCTCGTGGCCGGTTCTGGATAGCCGTCCATTCGCGACGAAAGTTCCTGCTGGGTGGGTGATGGTGTGATCGTGTGGTGACAAGATCGTGTGGTGCAGTGATTATGTGGTGTGGTGATCGTATGGTTCTATCAGTAATGGCTTTAGTAACCAGTCATGGTGATGTGTGATGCTTGCGAGCTTTTGCCTGCTTTACCCTGTCTTTCTCTTATGTGTGCCGATTTGATTCAGTGTTCGTGGTATCTCATCTTCTCTCCCATTGTGCTTGTATCCCCCTCTACCTCGGCAGACATGGTGGCTCGTAGACCTTGGCTGCGCTCCCTCTTCCTCTCACTGCCAATCAGCATCAGCACAGCACATCGACTGTCTGTGGGCCGACCAAATGGGATTATTGTGGAGGTGGATGAAAATGGCACTGTAACAGATGTGCTAGAAGACAGGCTGGGAAGTGCTGTGCGGTCCGTGAGTGAAGTGGAAGAAAGGGATGGGAAGCTTTGGTTGGGATCCGTCGTGGTGCCTCACGTTGGCATGCTAGATTACCGACGTCCAACAGGGACAGGCACTATCAACCAGAGAACGTTTGAGATATAGTATGCCATGATATGTTATGGAGGATTTACCGGTACTTGAAGTTGTAGAGTACAGTGTACCAGTATTGTTTTCTCCACAGCAACGCTGCTCGGTCAAACTTCTTCCAACCCCCACAGGACGCAACGGCACATGGCGACAGGTGATGCATCCAGCCACGCGAAGCAGTATTTGCTGTCGCAAAGCCTGAGCGAAGACGTGCGACAGACATACCTTCTGTTGTCAGAATGGTTGTGTTGCTCTGACAATCGCCACACGCCTTTCGCATACAGAAGGTAGCTTCTCTAGCCAGCGACACTGTTTTTCCCTGCTGGAAATTTTGCGAGGAAAACTCTCCCCCAGTTGTCGCAGAGAAGCTTCGCCAGCCACTTGCTTAGGCTACGCCGTCAACCTAGGACTTTGAGCACAAACCGACCAGGTGCGATTGGAGGGCGACGTGTTTGCGAACGAGCCGCATCCAGCTTTCAAAACACTGCTCCGCGCCTCAAGAACCGAACGATGCGGGTGGTGGTCGCACTGCACGTCAGCAGTCGCATCGTCGGCAACCGATGTTGCTTCCTTCCCCCTCACCTAAATTTACAGCTGCATCCGTCGTCGCACTCAACAAATCTCGACCGACCTTCCGACTCCCGACATCATCGCTAGCCCCTCTCTCGAATTCTTTCATTCAGTTGTAGTCGTTCACCGTCGCAGCTCCCCGACTCACGCAGTCCTGCGATCACCTGGCCAGAAAAACAATCGCATTTCAGTCTGGCTGTCAGCATCGCAGTCGGTCTCGTTTTCGCTCAGCTTTTCGAAATCGTGGTCCTCCTCGGTGCCATCGCACGCCTTGTCAGCTAAACGATCCCACGCGATTCTTCAAAACTATGGTCGCAGCCGCAATGGCCGCCACAGCAGCGGCTGTGCAGCAACTATCTCCTTTCCGGGTTTCCTTTTTCTCGCTCGCTTTCACCTTCTTCGTATTCCTCGTCACAGACCCGCTTCGACTTCGACCTATAGCCTATCTCCCCTTCCAGGCAGCACCTATTCCCTTATCACCGCGTCGACTACCTATACCTTCGGACCAAGCTAATCGTCTCGCCAATGCTCATATCAGGTGCCTTTCTTCGTCCCGTAACAAGCTTCGGTTTCCGTTGCACACCCGCTCATCGCCACGACATATGTTTAATGCCCTTGACATCACCTGTGTATTGCGGAGGAGTAGGGTGTTATTCAGAATGTCTCTTATGTGCCAACTACTACGGCGGTGCGCAGATACGCGGGCGAGGTGTTCGGCCCGGAAAGCTTGGCGTGGGACCTCGATGGACGAGGGCCGTACGCGGGTGTCAGCGACGGGCGAATCGTCCGACGATCACTTGACGACAGTGGATGGGAAACGTTCGCACACGCGTCGCCGCACTGGTAAGCGATTGCATATCGGTCTTCTCCAGTAGAACCTCGCACATCTCACTCTCGCAATGGAGCCAATCAATTTGCATCACGTCACGGCTCCTTGCCTTGTCGTGAAACTGGTGCTTAGCCTTTGTAATCTCTCTCCCGCAGGTCGTCCGAACTGTGCGATCCCGTCGCACGAGTGGAACCCTCTCCATTCGCCTCCGCCGTCGCATATCTATCTGGAGCCGTCGAGACGTCTGCCGACGCTTCCAGCATCCATTCCCGCCCGTCGCTTAACGGCTCGCTTAACCATGCGAACTATAGTGTAGGCCCGATCAGCGGGCTTTTCCAAGAACTCGATAGTAGATCGGTTGGATCCAGCAGTGTTGTCTCCGTCCCCGCAGTAGGCAGCGCGGTTAAGGGGCGAGTCGGGCCGAAGCTAGCCACGGAGCATATTTGTGGCCGTCCGTTGGGGTTACGGTTTCATCCGGTAACTGGCGAGCTTTTTTTCGCGGATGCCTATTTCGGCATCTTCAAGGTTGGGAAGAAGGGCGGGAAAGCTCGAGTGGTCGTGGATCGCGTGGAGGGTCGAAAGCTGCGATTTGCGAATGACGTGGCTATTGACGCGGATGACGAAAATGGTACAGTGTACTTCACTGATTCGAGTACCCGCCACCAACGACGAGACTTCGTCGTGGCGACCACAGAGGGCCAAGCTGACGGCCGCCTGATGAAAGTAGATCTAGCTACACGTCGGGTTACCGTGTTACTTCGGAATCTCGTCTTCCCCAACGGCCTTGCGCTTTCTGAGGACAAGTCGTTCCTTGTCTTCTGCGAAACTGTCCTTTTCAGGTAAGCTCACGGTATTCACTGTTAACCCCGCTGTACGGACCACAAGCATGACATCGCATTGTGGTGCATACAAGGTTTCTCACTATGTCCTTTTTCCAATCGATCTTGCAGGTGCAGCCGATATTGGTTGAAGGGACCCAAGGAGGGGACTCAGGAGGTGCTCGTTGACCTACCCGGCTCGCCAGACAACATCAGACTAAACCCGCGCGGGCGATTCTGGGTAGCCATGCATTCGCGGAGGCGCCCCCTTATTGGTAACTATCGTGAATCCTGAGATGCCTGCACTTCTTGTTTGCCTTCAATCAATAATTGATGTATTCCTTATGCTTCCCCTTCGCAGACTACTTCGCCCCACGACCATGGCTGAGGAGTTTCGTCATGTCGCTTCCAGTTGACATCAAAATCATCTACGGTGTTATGATTGGGTGGCCACATGGCCTGGTCGTGGAGGTGGATGGTGATGGACGAATTACTGACGTTCTGGAGGATCACATGGGACGCGCTGTCAAGGCTGTGAGTGAAGTGGAGGAGCGGAATGGTACACTCTGGATGGGATCAGTAATGATGCCACATGTTGCTGTGATGAAGTACCATCCAAGGGTCTAAACGAAGAGAGAGCAGCAACGAGGCTTCTAACACACTTACTGCATTTTGGGCTGAAGCAGAAGCGGGGATGTGCCAGTGGAAGCGGCTTGGAGCACAGGAAGGAGGCGCTATACTAACCCAGTTGACATCATACTAACATAGACAGTACTTAGAGCTCGGCACATTTACAAATGTGTACCAGTATAACAGGACTAGAATAATGCCGACTCGGAGGTGGTTAATCGTGCATGACAGCATGTGTTGTGCAATGTGTCTTACACCAAGCTAACATAATACGAAGATGATTCCACGCTATGTTTCACGTACACTTGGCTCATGTAGTAAAATACATTATTCTATTGGTCTTCAAATGGTTACAGGTAAGGAGTACTTGACAAATGAGAGCCGCACTTTTGCACGAACCGTGTGATCTGATTGAACAAGTAGCTACTTGTCCGTCAAACCTACGTTTCAGGGAAATTAGTGGTCGTCGGTAGTTGGCACGTCAGCGCGCTGCACATTTTTTTGGGCGCGCAACGTAATCCGTTATCATGTGGACCTCGTGTAATTGTCCACCGACGAAGTCCATCCAAGAAAAGTCAGGCCCACAACACTTTGCGTTCCTCGTTACCTCGCCCGCCTTTCACAAACCAAGCGAGCCACTGGGGTAACCCCAAGTCTCACAACACTAGGCCTGCGATGTCGGTTGCACTCCCATTTTGCGGGATTCTTGGAGCCAAAATCTAGTCGATGCCAGCTCGCCAAAGCGCCACGTGAGAATCCGAGCGATGTCCAACGCAGACTGCACTGAGGGCTTTGAACCAACCATTCCACACGAGCGTCGAACGTCTCTGTGTGGCGGGCTTCCCGGGCAGCTTCACCATACACCTGCGCGAAACCACCACCTCTGCTTCCTTCATCCAATCATTCGTCGAATCAGCTACCTCGGGCCCCTCCGAAACAGTCTCGGAAATTCTTCCCTGCTCCTGCCCACTCTTTCCAGCCTCCTCCCTCCAATGCATAAACCCTTCCGAACCCGTTAATACCAAATTGAACCGAGAAGAGTGCAGAAAACGAACTAGGCTGCTGGGTGTTGTGGGGTTCGTCATTTTGCTGCATAAGAACACTAGCAGGCTTTCAAAGTTTATCTGTGATCCCTCTCGTTGTGATCCAGGAAGCGGAGATTACTAGCATCTGATATAGCTCTGGGATTGTAGCTGCCATTTTTTAGTACTCCGTAATGGCGGCCTCAGTCTCCCTCTCGATGGCGTCTCGCGCGGCCTTCGTTGCCAAGGTGTGTGAATGGAGATTTTAAGCAATGGATAGTCATCTGTTGGTATTGATCATCGAGCCTTCGGTCCTAACGAGCTCCTCATTTCCATTTGACCTTATCCCCCGGGTGCAGGCCAGTGACGCTCTCAAGCTGGGAAGCCCAGGTCAGTAGAATTTGCTGCTGTTGTTATTCATTTTCTCGCTGCGAGAAGCCATTAGCAGTTTTACTCGGCCATATGCTGACTACTGCTTCGTCTGGTTATTGCAGTTGCTGTGCAGAGCACTCCCTTCCTGCCTCTCCGATCTCGCACCCACAACCTGGTACTATTCCTCTCTGGCATCCCCACCATTCCGTTTTTGTTACGCGAAGAAATATGGGAGCAGACTAGGTCGTTATTGTACGCCAGCTTAATCGTCTTATCCTCTAGAAACTTTACTTACTAATATCATTCATTGTTTGTGAACTCGTGATGCAGAGGAAGCCGTCCATCGGCTTGAAGTCCCAGGCGTGCCGGCTAGTGAAGACATCAGCCGCGGTCGCAGCTCCTGTCTCTAACCCCCTCTCTGATCCTCGAGAGAGGGAGAGACTGGCGGAAGAGTATGGCTTCAGACAAATCGGCGAGCCCATGCCTGACGACATCACGCTGAAGCAAGTTATCGATACAATCCCGGCCGAGGTAAGATTTAAGTTGTCGTGATTATCTTTCGGTGTAGCATCCTGATAATCGTAGACGACTCCGCTTTTTAGGATGCTAGAACGTAGCTGGTTGACGAGCCTTGCGTGACTGTCTCTGCAGGCGTTCGAGATCAACGAGTGGAAGGCATGGAAGACCGTCTTCCTATCAATTGCCGCGATGGCGCTGGGAGAAGTTTTCATCTACTACTCGCCGTGGTACCTTCTACCATTTGCATGGGCCTGGGCTGGCACTGCGTTCACCGGGGTAAGTGCCAAGTGGTGGTGCCAAGTGGTGATTAAAGTGTTTCCCAGACTCCGTGTTGCTTTCACGTCTTTGTATCACGTTTATCGACAATATTGAGAGTTTCATCGCGCTAAATTGTTGTTCGTCACGATTTCAGTTCTTCGTTGTGGGCCATGACTGCGCGCACAAGTCCTTCTCGAAGAACAAGCTGCTGGAGGACATCGTGGGGACCGTCATGATGGCGCCGCTCATCTACCCGTACGAGCCCTGGAGATTCAAGCACGACCGCCACCACGCCAAGACCAACATGTAAGCGATCGTTCCGCATCTCAGCAGATAATTTTATAGATAAACGAAAAGTCTTCGTTGACTACGCTCCACGACAGTAGTTCGTTTTCACTCTCTCTGATGCTGAATCCTTCTCATGACCCCCATGTTTCTCTTTATTAAGCGTTGTTCATCCATACTCTGGACGGTGTTTCTTCTGTTCAGGCTGGTTGAGGACACGGCGTGGCATCCCATGATTCCGGGCATGTACAAGCGGATGAGCCCCACTGCCCGCGTGCTCATGCAGACCTTCATGGGCCCCTTCCGATTCCTCGCGTCCATCGGTCACTGGTACGCGCGGAGCATGCACGAGCATATGCATTTGAACCATGAATGTGCACGAGCATGCCAACAAATTTTGAAGCAATTGATTGAAAAAAGAAAAGAGATTATTTTCGAGCTACGTCAAGATTTTGCTTTCTTCTGTATCGAACGTAGAATAAGTAACACATGAAACAGGCAAAGCCGCGGATGGAAAAGGAGATTTATCGTTGTAATGGCTTATGTGCAGGCTGGTGTACCACTTCGACCTCGAGAAGTTCAGGCCGAGCGAGTTGCCACGTGTCAAGGTGTCACTCGCTGCTGTCGGTGCCTTCGCGGTGATTGGCTTTCCTCTTATCATTGCTAACTTTGGCATCGACGGCTGGTTCAAGATGTGGCTCATGCCGTGGCTCGGCTTCCACTTCTGGGTGAGTCCTACCCCTTGCCTGTTAACTGCACATTTGGAAACTACGGATTTGCTATTTGGGCGGGAAGTTTCTTGTTGGACTGTTTTTATGTTCCACTCAGTTACAATTGTTGTCATGTGTCAACTAGTTTCTTACTCTGGTGGTATGCTTCTTTTTTGTGTGTTTGGCTGTGCAGATGAGCACCTTCACCATGGTGCACCACACTGCTCCTCACATCCCCTTCAAGAAGCAATCCGAGTGGAATGCCGCTCAGGCTCAACTCGGCGGCACTGTGCACTGCGACTACCCATCCTGGTATGTTGACGTGGACCAATCCATACAGAATCACGCTGAGAAAGTCTACGCTTGTATCATGCCTTGTTAAGGAGTACGTAAAGAAGCGCCTCACAAGGGTAATCTGAATGCTCATGCTTGTCTCCATTCCCCTTCTCCCCCTGGTCCGGTTTGCAGGATTGAGATTCTGTGCCACGACATCAACGTGCACATCCCTCACCATGTGTCCCAGAAGATCCCCTCCTACAACCTGCGGCTGGCCAATGATGCTCTGAGGAAGCACTGGGGCAAGGTGAGCTTCCATTGATGATTGTGTTTTCTATAGTGGTCATTTTTGAAGTGTGAGTCTATCAGGCGTCTTGCTTATGCATCGGAGGGTCTCTTTCAGACCTTGCATTGGTATGCATTACCATTGAACATGTGTTAGATCCAGCTGTTCATTTTCCCAATCGGACGTCATCCCATTCTCTTCCACACCTTTCCTTTCTGCTGTGCTGTGTGCAGTACATGAACGAGGCGACATGGAACTGGAGGCTGATGAAGAACATCTTTGTGGAGTGCCATGTATTCGACAAGGAGAAGAACTATGTTCCCTTCGATGCTCTTGAGAAAAGCGAGTCTCCAATCCTTGCCGCAACCAGGAAACTCATGCCCAACACCTACACCAAGGGGCAGTGAATGTACTTGTGGGGAGGGACAGGGTAGGAATTTCCCACGTGAAAGCAGAAGTACAGTGCGCTGTCTGCTGCGCTAATGATAAAAGCATGTGGGGAGTAATCCATAAATATTTTTTAACTATGCTAGCAAGTGGTGACGTTGATTTTCCACTAAATCCATGCCGCTGATTACTTGTTGAAACCCCTATCAGAATGGCAGCGGCCGGCCCAGCCAATGCTTCCCTCACACCTCCCTCCCAACCCAACCCAATATTACTCATGAGTAGTTGGTGCCCACAAGCAAGAAGCAGCCAAGTAAGCAAAACCTGGAATCTGGATTCAATTTACATTGGTATGCAAAAGAAGGGAAACTACAGCACTGGCTTCAGCCTAGGGCTAACGACATGCATTGGGGACTTGGCAAGGGCTCACCAGCTGTTGTGTGAAAGGTAGCCGGTGTTCCAGGATTAATACGGTAACCCCACACGTGCCCCGCTGAGTTGACTAGGTCCGTGATGAGAACATCCCTGTTTCTTCTCAGGCCGTGCCATCCCCATTTGGATGCCTAACTCATGTCATGCAATCGTGTGTCCTGTTCGTGGTGACTGACCTTGTACGTGCATGCGTGCTGCATGCAGCTCATGGTTGGATGTTCTGCACTTCCACTTCCTCCCCATCACTGGGTGTGCGCCTCTCATCTCATGGCAAACCACTTCACCCTCTCAGCGATGTGAACGAAGGCTTGGCTTGTAGCAGCCAAGTCCACCTCATGCCACTGCAGAGCATGAGTCTTCATTCAGCGGCACAGCAACTGCTAGAGGACACTCTCTGTCCTGCTTGGGTGGTTGCACGCACTCTGTCCTCCTCATGCCACAGCATGAGCCAGGGCATCATTCCACGACACAGGACCTGCAGGAGGACACTTTGCCCTCTCTGTCCTGCTTGGGTGTTTGTGCCCAGCCGCCTTCCAGGTTTTCCAATGCCTACACCACCCACCTATTCTACCACATCCACTCACAACCCAGCACAGCACAGCACAACACAGCACCCCTTAGCAACGAAAAGCAAACCAAACCATAGCTAAGGAAAGCTACGCATGGGTAAGAACAGTGGCGCATCTTGAGATGTTGGCGGTCCACCGCCTTGCTGCGCTTCACAAGTGCTCCTCTACCTCGCCCTGCACTGCACCACAGAAGAGCCAGCCAATGTGACAACAATGGGCAGGGAAGGAAGGGGAGGAAAGAGAGCAGGAAGTCACTTACAAGAAGCAAAAGTGCACACTAGCACACAAGTGAAGCTGAATACTGTAGAAGCAAAAAAAATAGCGCGTTGTGCTCATGAGAAGAGGAGAGGACAGGAAGGGAGGAGTTTTAGAGGTGAATAGAGTGCTGGAGGGGTGGGGATGCAGTATGGCCAGAGTGATGAAGGGGTAGGAAGGCAAGGAAGAGGACAAAAGGCATGAGCAAGGAGAGGAGAAGCGAGTGCATGAGCGTGTGAGGATGTGAAAGAGCAGCAACATGCCAGAAGAGATGGCGATGGCAGATAGAAAAGCGACTGAGATAAGAAGCAACGCTTGGTGCATTCGCGCTGCTGTGGCATCGTCACCCCCAGTTACCTGCTGTGTTGGAAGAGAAAGCAGCTTGTCATACCAGCTTCCCTTCGGGAGTTGCTGCTGCTGCCCGTGCTTGTAGGCCGTGAGGAACACACACGCACATGGAAAGAGATACACACACAGAGAAGAGGCACCAACAAGGGAGGGTTAGAAAAAGCACGAGGCGAGTGGCGGAGTAAATAAGAAAATACGACTCTTGCCTCTGCGCGGCGACGCTCTAAGACACACTTCCCCCTGCAGGCACCCCCTGGCACATACCACACTCTGTACGCTGCTCTGCCACTCCTGCACCACGCCTTCCCTTCACGCCTGCTGCTCCAAGTTGCTCCAGGTTGCTCCGTTGCTCCGGCTGCCCGTGCTTGTAGGTCGTGAGGCACACGCATGCATGGGAAGGGATACACGCACACAGAAGCAGCACCAACCAACAAGGGAGGGTTAGAAAAAGCACGAGGCGAGTGACGGAGTCAAAAAGCAAGCAAGAGACACGACTCTTGCCTCTGCGCGGCGACGCTCTAAGACACACTTCCCCCTGCAGGCACCCCCTGGCACATACCACACTCTGTACGCTGCTCTGCCACTCCTGCACCACGCCTTCCCTTCACGCCTGCTGCTCCAAGTTGCTCCAGGTTGCTCCGTTGCTCCGGCTGCCCGTGCTTGTAGGTCGTGAGGCACACACATGCATGGGAAGGGATACACGCACACAGAAGCAGCACCAACCAACAAGGGAGGGTTAGAAAAAGCACGAGGCGAGTGGCGGAGTCAAAAAGCAAGAGACACGACTCTTGCCTCTGCGCGGCGACGCTCTAAGACACACTTCCCCCCTGCAGGCACCCCCTGGCACATACCACACTCTGTACGCTGCTCTGCCACTCCTGCACCACGCCTTCCCTTCACGCCTGCTGCTCCAAGTTGCTCCAGGTTGCTCCGTTGCTCAGGCTGCCCGTGCTTGTAGGTCGTGAGGCACACACACGCATGGGAAGGGATACACGCACACAGAAGCAGCACCAACCAACAAGGGAGGGTTAGAAAAAGCACGAGGCGAGTGACGGAGTCAAAAAGCAAGCAAGAGACACGACTCTTGCCTCTGCGCGGCGACGCTCTAAGACACACTTCCCCCTGCAGGCACCCCCTGGCACATACCACACTCTGTACGGTGCTCTGCCACTCCTGCACCACGCCTTCCCTTCACGCCTGCTGCTCCAAGTTGCTCCAGGTTGCTCCGTTGCTCTGCCTGCCCGTGCTTGTAGGTCGTGAGGCACACACACGCATGGGAAGGGATACACGCACACAGAAGCAGCACCAACCAACAAGGGAGGGTAAGAAAAAGCACGAGGCGAGTGACGGAGTCAAAAAGCAAGCAAGAGACACGACTCTTGCCTCTGCGCGGCGACGCTCTAAGACACACTTCCCCCCTGCAGGCACCCCCTGGCACATACCACACTCTGTACGCTGCTCTGCCACTCCTGCACCACGCCTTCCCTTCACGCCTGCTGCTCCAAGTTGCTCCAGGTTGCTCCGTTGCTCCGCCTGCCCGTGCTTGTAGGTCGTGAGGCACACACACGCATGGGAAGGGATACACGCACACAGAAGCAGCATCAACCAACACGGAAGGGTTAGAAAAAGCACGAGGCGAGTGACGGAGTCAAAAAGCAAGCAACACGACTCTTGCCTCCGCGCGGCGACACTCTAAGACTCACTTCCCCCTGCAGGCACCCCCTGGCACATACCACACTCTGTACGCTGCTCTGCCACTCCTGCACCACGCCTTCCCTTCACGCCTGCTGCTCCAAGTTGCTCCAGGTTGCTCCGTTGCTCCGCCTGCCCGTGCTTGTAGGTCGTGAGGCACACACACGCATGGGAAGGGATACACGCACACAGAAGCAGCACCAACCAACACGGAAGGGTTAGAAAAAGCACGAGGCGAGTGGCGGAGTCAAAAAGCAAGAAACACGACTCTTGCCTCCGCGCGGCGACACTCTAAGACACACTTCCCCCTGCAGGCACCCCCTGGCACATACCACACTCTGTACGCTGCTCTGCCACTCCTGCACCACGCCTTCCCTTCACGCCTGCTGCTCCAAGTTGCTCCAGGTTGCTCCGTTGCTCTGGCTGCCCGTGCTTGTAGGTCGTGAGGCACACACACGCATGGGAAGGGATACACGCACACAGAAGCAGCACCAACCAACAAGGGAGGGTTAGAAAAAGCACGAGGCGAGTGGCGGAGTCAAAAAGCAAGAGACACGACTCTTGCCTCTGCGCGGCGACGCTCTAAGACACACTTCCCCCCTGCAGGCACCCCCTGGCACATACCACACTCTGTACGCTGCTCTGCCACTCCTGCACCACGCCTTCCCTTCACGCCTGCTGCTCCAAGTTGCTCCAGGTTGCTCCGTTGCTCCGCCTGCCCGTGCTTGTAGGTCGTGAGGCACACACACGCATGGGAAGGGATACACGCACACAGAAGCAGCACCAACCAACAAGGGAGGGTTAGAAAAAGCACAAGGCGAGTGGCGGAGTCAAAAAGTAAGAAACATGACTCTTGCCTCTGTGCGGCGACGCTCTAAGACCCACTTCCCCCCTGCAGGCACCCCCTGGCACATACCACACTCTGTACGCTGCTCTGCCACTCCTGCACCACGCCTTCCCTTCACGCCTGCTGCTCCAAGTTGCTCCAGGTTGCTCCGTTGCTCAGGCTGCCCGTGCTTGTAGGTCTTGACGCACACACACGCATGGGAAGGGATACACGCACACAGAAGCAGCACCAACCAACAAGGGAGGGTTAGAAAAAGCACGAGGCGAGTGACGGAGTCAAAAAGCAAGCAAGAGACACGACTCTTGCCTCTGCGCGGCGACGCTCTAAGACACACTTCCCCCTGCAGGCACCCCCTGGCACGTACCACACTCTGTACGGTGCTCTGCCACTCCTGCACCACGCCTTCCCTTCACGCCTGCTGCTCCAAGTTGCTCCAGGTTGCTCCGTTGCTCTGCCTGCCCGTGCTTGTAGGTCGTGAGGCACACACACGCATGGGAAGGGATACACGCACACAGAAGCAGCACCAACCAACAAGGGAGGGTTAGAAAAAGTATGAGGCGAGTGGCGGAGTCAAAAAGCAAGAGACATGACTCTTGCCTCTGCGCGGCGACGCTCTAAGACTCACTTCCCCCCTGCAGGCACCCCATTGGCACATACCACACTCTGTACGCTGCGATGCCACTCCTGCACCACGCCTTCCCTTCACGCCTGCTGCTCCAAGTTGCTCCAGGTTGCTTCGTTGCTCCGGCTGCCCGTGCTTGAAGTAGGTCGTGAGGCACACACACGCATGGGAAGAGAGACACGCACACACAAGCGGCACCAACAAGGGAAGGTTAGAAACAGCACGAGGCAAGTGGCGGAATCAAGAGCAAGAGACACGACTCTTGCCTCTGCGCGGCGACGCTCTACGACTCGATTCCCTCCCCCCTGCAAGCACCCCCTGGCAAGCACCCCCTGGCACATACCACTCTCCGTCCGCCGCTCTGCCGCCCCTGCGAGCCACGCCGCTCCTGTGCGCCTTCACTTGAGGCGTTCTGCTCCAGCCAGGTTGCTTGGCTGCTCCGCTGGGGCTGCTGCTGCTGCTCGTTGCTCGCGACCGCCTCTGCGTGGCTGCTTTTGACGCTCCTGAAGCACACAGATTCATCACACACCCGCAGGCCACTCACGCGCAGGCTTGGAGGCCATCAGGCACACACTCACACACGCAGACACACGCGTGCATGCAGAGGGGAGAACGAGCGGACAGCGGGAGAGGTAGGGTGCATGCGTTAGTGGAAAGGAAATTTCACACATGACGCAACGAAGGAAAGCGACGCGACTCGCTAGGCGTTCCTAGACTAGACGACTACGTGATTCCCCTCCCACAGCCTTCGCTCTCACGTACCGTTGATCTTTTGAATGATCGCCTGCGATCTCGAAGCGAACGCCTAGTACGACTTTCTTAAGAACGCCGGAGAGCTTCCAACGACGTCAGGCGATTCGTGAAACGACGTCAGGCGATTCGTGAAACGACGTCAGGCGATTCTTGAAACGACGACAGGCGATTCTTGAAACGACGACAGGCGATTCGTCCGACGCTGCAGCCTCCGATCCCGCGCCTCCGATTCAATCACAACATGCAGCGGGAAGAACGAGGAGGACAGGGGGAGAAGAAGAATACACGCGTTAATGTGATAGTTATTTCACACAGGACGCGGACGAACAAAGCGGCGAGACTCTCTGGGCGTTCCTATTCTAGACGCTTACAGTAATCCCCCCACAGCCTTCGCTCTCACGTACCGTTTATCGTCCCCTGATCGCCAACGATCTCCAAGCGAACGGCTGCGATCTCCGAAGGCACGCCTGCGAGATTAAACGACGGCTGTCGATTCTTGAAGTGTTCGGCCAGACGCTACAGCGATGGCGACGATCCGAATCCCGCGCCTCCGATGCAGATGGGAGAACGAGGAGACAGGTGGATAGGGATGGTACACGCGTTAGTGGAAAGGTAACTTAAAACATGACGCGAACTGGAAAAACGATGAGACTCTTAGGCGTTCCTATCCTAGACGCATGATTCCCCCACCAGCCGTCGCTATTACGTACCATTAAAGTTTCATTCGTCGCGTCCAAGGGAACGCCGAGAGATGCGAACGCATGCGATTCTCATGGTGTACGATCGTCATGGTCCCGTGATCTGCGTCACTCTGCTTGCAATACCGGTCGGCGAACGCTACGCTGCCGATTGCGAAGAGCTGCGAACGTTGCTTTCCGCCGCTTATTCGCACTCCGAAAAACGCTGCATTGCTCCCGGCTGACAATCTTGAAAAACGTTTACAGACTGCCAGTTTCAACGGTGGAGCTAATACTCCGTCACTCGGACTGGAACAGCCGTTTCCGTCGCACGAACCTCTCATGACTTGGAAGGCTATTTCCGGATACTATACATGTCGGCTGTTGCGCCATGTCGTCTTGTCGCCGCGTCACTTCACTCTAGAATTTCGCAGGTCGCTGGAGGGCAAACAGAGACCAGCCAGGTGTAAAGCTACAGTTTGCCGCTGTGGGTCGCATCCCTCGCAAAGCTTTTCGCGAAGAGCCTTGCTGGGTGTACCGTCGCACTGCAGCGTGCGCCGGTGCACCAGGGAGAAATCATTCTCAGAGTGCACTGTATCAACGTTGAGCCTAGCTGAATCTACGTTACCACGAGCAGCAGTTAGCCGTCTCTTCGGGAAGTCATCCCTCGCTAAATGAAAATGAAGACGACAATGGGACCTAAAGGAGCTAAATGTCTAACATTGTCGCAACGCACTGGAAGCTGATTAATGCGTAAGCTGAGCCGTGGACTAGAAACTGAGAGAACCATTACAGGAGCCATAGGCTATAGACAAGCTATAGTACTCGACTTTTATATCCTCCATGACTATAACTCATCGGTCTAATCAGGTCGAACCGTAGCCGTGCTGTTGCTTAAGAGACGAAGTCGGCAAACATAGAGGATCACCAGGCCTAGAGTTCGGAAGAGAACCACCAGGTCTGGTGGTTTGCATTCTGAGCAAAGAATGACAGAGGGGAAGTCTTGGGAGGGAATGCCTTGGGAGTTTCGTGACTCGAGCAAATTGCATGGCAGCCGTCTGGCTGGAATATTCCCTAGCGAACGGCGAGAGTTTGCCTCCGTTGGCATGGAGGCCTTCTGACATGCTCGTGGGCTCATTGGGCCAAAGTTTGGCGCCAAAGGTCTGACAGCGCGTCTCGATTTGAAAGCTTTCGGCTGTTTCCCGGTGTAACATGTCTCGATACGGTATCGTTTTCAACGCTTTCACAAAATGATGGGAATCGTGAAAAATCATACGTACACTTGTTATCAAAAGCCCCAGTTCCCCCCATTTCCCATTGCCCCCAAAACCCCATCCCCCCCAATTCCCTCATCTCCCCTCACCATCCCCCATGACATGAGTAGGTTGCGCTTACAAGCAAGAAGCCAAGCTAGCAAAAACCCCCAATCCCAATCCCAATCCCAATCCCGCAGCCAATCCCAATCCCGCAGCCAATCCCAATCCCAATCCCAATCCCAATCCCGCAGCCAATCCCAATCCCAATCCCAATCCCAATCCCAATCCCAATCCCAATCCCGCAGCCAATCCCAATCCCAATCCCAATCCCAATCCCAATCCCAATCCCGCAGCCAATCCCAATCCCAATCCCGCAGCCAATCCCAATCCCAATCCCAATCCCAATCCCAATCCCGCAGCCAATCCCAATCCCAATCCCAATCCCAATCCCAATCCCGCAGCCAATCCCAATCCCAATCCCAATCCCGCAGCCAATCCCAATCCCAATCCCTATCCCAATCCCGCAGCCAATCCCGCAGCCAATCCCGCAGCCAATCCCAATCCCAATCCCAATCCCAATCCGAATCCGAATCCGAATCCCAATTCCAATTCCAATCCCAATCCCAATCCCAATCCCAATCCCAATCCGAATCCGAATCCGAATCCCAATCCCAATCCCAATCCCAATCCCAATCCGAATCCCAATCCCAATCTCAATCTGAATCCCAATCCCAATCCCAATCCCGCAGCCAATCCCAATCCCAATCCCAATCCCGCAGCCAATCCCAATCCCAATCCCAATTCGAATCCCAATCCCAATCCCAATCCCAATCCCAATCCGAATCCCAATCCCAATCCCGATCCGAATCCCAATCCAAATTCCAATCCCGCAGCCAATCCCAATCCCAATCCCAATCCCGCAGCCAATCCCAAGCCCAATCCCAAACCCAATCCCAATCCCAAACCCAATCCCGCAGCAAATCCCGCAGCCAATCCCAATCCCAATCCCAATCCCAATCCCAATCCCAATCCGAATCCGAATCCCAATCCGAATCCGAATCCGAATCCCAATCCCAATCCCAATCCCAATCCCAATCCCAATCCCAATCCCGCAGCCAATCCCAATCCCAATCCCAATCCCAATCCCAATCCCAATCCCGCAGCCAATCCCAGTCCCAATCCCGCAGCAAATCCCGCAGCCAATCCCAATCCCAATCCCAATCCCAATCCCAATCCCAATCCCAATCCCAATCCGAATCCGAATCCCAATCCGAATCCGAATCCGAATCCGAATCCCAATCCCAATCCCAATCCCAATCCCAATCCCAATCCCAATCCCAATCCCAATCCCAATCCCAATCCCAATCCCAATCCCAATCCCAATCCCAATCCCGCAGCCAATCCCAATCCCAATCCCAATCCCAATCCCGCAGCCAATCCCAATCCCAATCCCAATCCCAATCCCAATCCCGCAGCCAATCCCAATCCCAATCCCAATCCCAATCCCAATCCCAATCCCAATCCCAATCCCAATCCCAATCCCAATCCCAATCCCAATCCCAATCCCAATCCCAATCCCAATCCCAATCCCAATCCCAATCCCAATCCCAATCCCGCAGCCAATCCCAATCCCAATCCCAATCCCAATCCCGCAGCCAATCCCAATCCCGCAGCCAATCCCAATCCCAATCCGAATCCGAATCTGAATCCGAATCCGAATCCGAATCCCAATCCCAATCCAAATCCCAATCCCAATCCCAATCCGAATCCCAATCCGAATCCCAATCCCAATCTCAATCCGAATCCCAATCCCAATCCCAATCCCGCAGCCAATCCCAATCCCAATCCCAATCCCGCAGCCAATCCCAATCCCAATCCCAATTCGAATCCCAATCCCTATCCCAATCCCAATCCGAATCCGAATCCGAATCCCAATCCCAATCCCAATCCCAATCCCAATCCCGCAGCCAATCCCAGTCCCAATCCCGCAGCAAATCCCGCAGCCAATCCCAATCCCAATCCCAATCCCAATCCCAATCCCAATCCGAATCCGAATCCGAATCCCAATCCCAATCCGAATCCGAATCCGAATCCGAATCCCAATCCCAATCCCAATCCCAATCCCAATCCCAATCCCAATCCCAATCCCAATCCCAATCCCAATCCCAATCCCAATCCCAATCCCGCAGCCAATCCCAATCCCAATCCCAATCCCAATCCCGCAGCCAATCCCAATCCCAATCCCAATCCCAATCCCGCAGCCAATCCCAATCCCAATCCCAATCCCAATCCCAATCCCAATCCCAATCCCAATCCCAATCCCAATCCCAATCCCAATCCCAATCCCAATCCCAATCCCAATCCCAATCCCAATCCCAATCCCAATCCCAATCCCGCAGCCAATCCCAATCCCAATCCCAATCCCAATCCCGCAGCCAATCCCAATCCCGCAGCCAATCCCAATCCGAATCCGAATCCGAATCTGAATCCGAATCCGAATCCGAATCCCAATCCCAATCCCAATCCCAATCCGAATCCCAATCCGAATCCCAATCCCAATCTCAATCCGAATCCCAATCCCAATCCCAATCCCGCAGCCAATCCCAATCCCAATCCCAATCCCGCAGCCAATCCCAATCCCAATCCCAATTCGAATCCCAATCCCAATCCCAATCCCAATCCCAATCCCAATCCCAATCCCAATCCCAATCCCAATCCCAATCCCAATCCCAATCCCGCAGCCAATCCCAATCCCAATCCCAATCCCAATCCCGCAGCCAATCCCAATCCCAATCCCAATCCCAATCCCAATCCCAATCCCGCAGCCAATCCCAATCCCAATCCCAATCCCGCAGCCAATCCCAATCCGAATCCGAATCCGAATCCCAATCCCAATCCCAATCCGAATCCGAATCCGAATCCCAATCCCAATCCCAATCCCAATCCCAATCCCGCAGCCAATCCCAATCCCGCAGCCAATCCCAATCCCAATCCGAATCCGAATCCGAATCCGAATCCGAATCCCAATCCCAATCCCAATCCCAATCCCAATCCCAATCCCAATCCCAATCCCAATCCCAATCCCAATCCCAATCCCAATCCCAATCCCAATCCCGCAGCCAATCCCAATCCCAATCCCAATCCCAATCCCAATCCCAATCCCAATCCCAATCCCAATCCCAATCCCAATCCCAATCCCAATCCCAATCCCAATCCCAATCCCAATCCCAATCCCAATCCCAATCCCGCAGCCAATCCCAATCCCAATCCCAATCCCAATCCCAATCCCAATCCCAATCCCAATCCCAATCCCAATCCCAATCCCAATCCCAATCCCAATTCCAATCCCAATCCCAATCCCAATGACAATCCCAATCCCAATCCCAATCCCAATCCCAATCCCAATCCCAATCCCAATCCCAATCCCAATCCCAATCCCAATCCCAATCCCGCAGCCAATCCCAATCCCAATCCCAATCCCAATCCCAATCCCAATCCAAATCCCAATCCCAATCCCAATACCAAGCCCAATCCCAATCCCAATCCCAATCCCAATCCCAATCCCAATCCCAATCCCAATCCCGCAGCCAATCCCAATCCCAATCCCAATCCCAATCCCGCAGCCAATCCCAATCCCGCAGCCAATCCCAATCCCAATCCGAATCCGAATCCGAATCAGAATCCGAATCCGAATCCCAATCCCAATCCCAATCCCAATCCCAATCCCAATCCCAATCCCAATCCCAATCCCAATCCCAATCCCGCAGCCAATCCCAATCCCAATCCCAATCCCGCAGCCAATCCCAATCCCAATCCCAATTCGAATCCCAATCCCAATCCCAATCCCAATCCCAATCCCAATCCCAATCCCAATCCCAATCCCGCAGCCAATCCCAATCCCAATCCCAATCCCAATCCCAATCCCAATCCCAATCCCAATCCCAATCCCAATCCCAATCCCGCAGCCAATCCCAATCCCAATCCCAATCCCGCAGCCAATCCCAATCCCAATCCCAATCCCAATCCCGCAGCCAATCCCAATCCCAATCCCAATCCCAATCCCAATCCCAATCCCAATCCCAATCCCAATCCCAATCCCAATCCCAATCCCAATCCCAATCCCAATCCCAATCCCAATCCCAATCCCGCAGCCAATCCCAATCCCAATCCCAATCCCAATCCCGCAGCCAATCCCAATCCCGCAGCCAATCCCAATCCCAATCCGAATCCGAATCTGAATCCGAATCCGAATCCTAATCCCAATCCCAATCCCAATCCCAATCCCAATCCCAATCCCAATCCGAATCCCAATCCGAATCCCAATCCCAATCTCAATCCGAATCCCAATCCCAATCCCAATCCCGCAGCCAATCCCAATCCCAATCCCAATCCCGCAGAAAATCCCAATCCCAATCCCAATCCCAATCCCAATCCCAATCCCAATCCCGCAGCCAATCCCAATCCCAATCCCAATCCCAATCCCAATCCAAATACCAATCCCAATCCCAATCCCAATCCCAATCCCAATCCCGCAGCCAATCCCAATCCCGCAGCCAATCCCAATCCCAATCCGAATCCGAATCCGAATCCGAATCCCAATCCCAATCCCAATCCCAACCCCAATCCCAATCCTAATCCCAATCTGAATCCCGATCCGAATCCCAATTCCAATCCCAATCCGAATCCCAATCCGAATCCGAATCCCAATCCCAATCCCGCAGCCAATCCCAATCCCAATCCCAATCCCAATCCCAATCCCAATCCCAATCCCAATCCCAATCCCAATCCCAATCCCAATCCCAATCCCAATCCCAATCCCAATCCCAATCCCAATCCCAATCCCAATCCCAATCCCAATCCCAATCCCAATCCCAATCCCAATCCCAATCCCGCAGCCAATCCCAATCCCAATCCCAATCCCAATCCCAATCCCAATCCCAATCCCAATCCCAATCCCAATCCCAATCCCAATCCCAATCCCAATCCCAATCCCAATCCCAATCCCAATCCCAATCCCGCAGCCAATCCCAATCCCAATCCCAATCCCAATCCCAATCCCAATCCCAATCCCAATCCCAATCCCAATCCCAATCCCAATCCCAATCCCAATCCCAATCCCAATCCCAATCCCAATCCCGCAGCCAATCCCAATCCCGCAGCCAATCCCAATCCCAATCCGAATCCGAATCCGAATCAGAATCCGAATCCCAATCCCAATCCCAATCCGAATCCCAATCCCAATCTCAATCCGAATCCCAATCCCGCAGCCAATCCCAATCCCAATCCCAATCCCGCAGCCAATCCCAATCCCAATCCCAATCCCGCAGCCAATCCCAATCCCAATCCCAATTCGAATCCCAATCCCAATCCCAATCCCAATCCCAATCCGAATCCCAATCCCAATCCCAATCCGAATCCCAATCCGAATCCCAATCCTGCAGCCAATCCCAATTCTAATCCCAATCCCAATCCCGCAGCCAATCCCAAGCCCAATCTCAATCCCGCAGCAAATCCCGCAGCCAATCCCAATCCCAATCCCAATCCCAATCCCAATCCCAATCCGAATCCCAATCCGAATCCAAATCCAAATCCCAATCCCAATCCCAATCCCAATCCCAATCCCAATCCCGCAGCCAATCCCAATCCCAATCCCAATCCCAATCCCAATCCCAATCCCAATCCCAATCCCGCAGCCAATCCCAATCCCAATCTCGCAGCAAATCCCGCAGCCAATCCCAATCCCAATCCCAATCCCAATCCCAATCCCAATCCCAATCCCAATCCCAATCCCAATCCCAATCCCAATCCCAATCCCAATCCCAATCCCAATCCCAATCCCAATCCCAATCCCAATCCCAATCCCAATCCCGCAGCCAATCCCAATCCCAATCCCAATCCCAATCCCAATCCCAATCCCAATCCCGCAGCCAATCCCAATCCCAATCCCAATCCCAATCCCAATCCCAATCCCAATCCCAATCCCAATCCCAATCCCAATCCCAATCCCAATCCCGCAGCCAATCCCAATCCCAATCCCAATCCCAATCCCGCAGCCAATCCCAATCCCGCAGCCAATCCCAATCCCAATCCCAATCCGAATCCGAATCCGAATCCCAATCCCAATCCCAATCCCAATCCCAATCCCAATCCCAATCCCAATCCCAATCCGAATCCCAATCCGAATCCCAATCCCAATCTCAATCCGAATCCCAATCCCAATCCCAATCCCGCAGCCAATCCCAATCCCAATCCCAATCCCGCAGCCAATCCCAATCCCAATCCCAATTCGAATCCCAATCCCAATCCCAATCCGAATCCCAATCCGAATCCCAATCCCAATCCCTATCCGAATCCCAATCCCAATCCCAATCCCGCAGCCAATCCCAATCCCAATCCCAATCCCAATCCCGCAGCCAATCCCAATCCCAATCCCAATCCCAATCCCAATCCCAATCCCAATCCCAATCCCGCAGCCAATCCCAATCCCAATCCCGCAGCCAATCCCGCAGCCAATCCCAATCCCAATCCCAATCCCAATCCCAATCCCAATCCCAATCCCAATCCCAATCCCAATCCCAATCCCAATCCCAATCCCAATCCCAATCCCAATCCCAGTCTTAATCCCAATCCCAATCCCAATCCCGCAGCCAATCCCAATCCCAATCCCAATCCCAATCCCAATCCCAATCCCGCAGCCAATCCCAATCCCAATCCCAATCCCGCAGCCAATCCCAATCCCAATCCCAATCCCAATCCCAATCCCGCAGCCAATCCCAATCCCAATCCCAATCCCAATCCCAATCCCGCAGCCAATCCCAATCCCAATCCCAATCCCAATCCCGCAGCCAATCCCAATCCCAATCCCAATCCCAATCCCGCAGCCAATCCCAATCCCAATCCCAATCCAAATCCGAATCCCAATCCCAATCCCAATCCCAATCCCAATCCCAATCCCAATCCCAATCCCAATCCCAATCCCAATCCCGCAGCCAATCCCAATCCCAATCCCAATCCCAATCCCGCAGCCAATCCCAATCCCAATCCCAATCCCAATCCCAATCCCAATCCCAATCCCGCAGCCAATCCCAATCCCAATCCCGCAGCCAATCCCGCAGCCAATCCCGCAGCCAATCCCAATCCCAATCCCAATCCGAATCCCAATCCGAATCCCAATCCAAATGCCAATCCGAATCCCAATCCGAATCCCAATCCCAATCCCAATCCGAATCCCAATCCGAATCCGAATCCAAATCCGAATCCGAATCCCAATCCCAATCCCAATCCCAATCCCAATCCCAATCCCAATCCCAATCCCAATCCCAATCCCGCAGCCAATCCCAATCCCAATCCCAATCCCAATCCCGCAGCCAATCCCAATCCCAATCCCAATCCCAATCCCGCAGCCAATCCCAATCCCAATCCCAATCCCAATCCCGCAGCCAATCCCAATCCCAATCCCAATCCCAATCCCGCAGCCAATCCCAATCCCCATACCAATCCCAATCCCAATCCCAATCCCAATCCCAATCCCAATCCCAATCCCAATCCCGCAGCCAATCCCAATCCCAATCCCGCAGCCAATCCCAATCCCAATCCCAATCCCAATCCCAATCCCAATCCCAATCCCAATCCCAATCCCGCAGCCAATCCCAATCCCAATCCCAATCCCAATCCCAATCCCAATCCCAATCCCAATCCCAATCGCAATCACAATCCCAATCCCAATCCCAATCCCGCAGCCAATCCCAATCCCAATCCCAATCCCGCAGCCAATCCCAATCCCAATCCCAATCCCGATCCCAATCCCGCAGCCAATCCCAATCCCAATCCCAATCCCAATCCCAATCCCGCAGCCAATCCCAATCCCAATCCCAATCCCAATCCCGCAGCCAATCCCAATCCCAATCCCAATCCCGCAGCCAATCCCAATCCCAATCCCAATCCCAATCCCAATCCCGCAGCCAATCCCAATCCCGCAGCCAATCCCAATCCCAATCCGAATCCGAATCCGAATCCGAATCCCAATCCCAATCCCAATCCCAACCCCAATCCCAATCCTAATCCCAATCTGAATCCCGATCCGAATCCCAATTCCAATCCCAATCCGAATCCCAATCCGAATCCGAATCCCAATCCCAATCCCGCAGCCAATCCCAATCCCAATCCCAATCCCAATCCCAATCCCAATCCCAATCCCAATCCCAATCCCAATCCCAATCCCAATCCCAATCCCAATCCCAATCCCAATCCCGCAGCCAATCCCAATCCCAATCCCAATCCCAATCCCAATCCCAATCCCAATCCCAATCCCAATCCCAATCCCAATCCCAATCCCAATCCCAATCCCAATCCCAATCCCAATCCCAATCCCGCAGCCAATCCCAATCCCAATCCCAATCCCAATCCCAATCCCAATCCCAATCCCAATCCCAATCCCAATCCCAATCCCAATCCCAATCCCAATCCCAATCCCAATCCCAATCCCAATCCCAATCCCGCAGCCAATCCCAATCCCAATCCCAATCCCAATCCCAATCCCAATCCCAATCCCAATCCCAATCCCAATCCCAATCCCAATCCCAATCCCAATCCCAATCCCAATCCCAATCCCAATCCCGCAGCCAATCCCAATCCCGCAGCCAATCCCAATCCCAATCCGAATCCGAATCCGAATCAGAATCCGAATCCCAATCCCAATCCCAATCCGAATCCCAATCCCAATCTCAATCCGAATCCCAATCCCGCAGCCAATCCCAATCCCAATCCCAATCCCGCAGCCAATCCCAATCCCAATCCCAATCCCGCAGCCAATCCCAATCCCAATCCCAATTCGAATCCCAATCCCAATCCCAATCCCAATCCCAATCCCAATCCCAATCCCAATCCCAATCCCAATCCCAATCCCAATCCCAATCCCGCAGCCAATCCCAATCCCAATCCCAATCCCAATCCCGCAGCCAATCCCAAGCCCAATCTCAATCCCGCAGCAAATCCCGCAGCCAATCCCAATCCCAATCCCAATCCCAATCCCAATCCCAATCCCAATCCGAATCCCAATCCGAATCCAAATCCAAATCCCAATCCCAATCCCAATCCCAATCCCAATCCCAATCCCGCAGCCAATCCCAATCCCAATCCCAATCCCAATCCCAATCCCAATCCCAATCCCAATCCCGCAGCCAATCCCAATCCCAATCTCGCAGCAAATCCCGCAGCCAATCCCAATCCCAATCCCAATCCCAATCCCAATCCCAATCCCAATCCCAATCCCAATCCCAATCCCAATCCCAATCCCAATCCCAATCCCAATCCCAATCCCAATCCCAATCCCAATCCCAATCCCAATCCCAATCCCGCAGCCAATCCCAATCCCAATCCCAATCCCAATCCCAATCCCAATCCCAATCCCGCAGCCAATCCCAATCCCAATCCCAATCCCAATCCCAATCCCAATCCCAATCCCAATCCCAATCCCAATCCCAATCCCAATCCCAATCCCGCAGCCAATCCCAATCCCAATCCCAATCCCAATCCCGCAGCCAATCCCAATCCCGCAGCCAATCCCAATCCCAATCCCAATCCGAATCCGAATCCGAATCCCAATCCCAATCCCAATCCCAATCCCAATCCCAATCCCAATCCCAATCCCAATCCCAATCCCAATCCGAATCCCAATCCGAATCCCAATCCCAATCTCAATCCGAATCCCAATCCCAATCCCAATCCCGCAGCCAATCCCAATCCCAATCCCAATCCCGCAGCCAATCCCAATCCCAATCCCAATTCGAATCCCAATCCCAATCCCAATCCGAATCCCAATCCGAATCCCAATCCCAATCCCTATCCGAATCCCAATCCCAATCCCAATCCCGCAGCCAATCCCAATCCCAATCCCAATCCCAATCCCGCAGCCAATCCCAATCCCAATCCCAATCCCAATCCCAATCCCAATCCCAATCCCAATCCCGCAGCCAATCCCAATCCCAATCCCGCAGCCAATCCCGCAGCCAATCCCAATCCCAATCCCAATCCCAATCCCAATCCCAATCCCAATCCCAATCCCAATCCCAATCCCAATCCCAATCCCAATCCCAATCCCAATCCCAATCCCAGTCTTAATCCCAATCCCAATCCCAATCCCGCAGCCAATCCCAATCCCAATCCCAATCCCAATCCCAATCCCAATCCCGCAGCCAATCCCAATCCCAATCCCAATCCCGCAGCCAATCCCAATCCCAATCCCAATCCCAATCCCAATCCCGCAGCCAATCCCAATCCCAATCCCAATCCCAATCCCAATCCCGCAGCCAATCCCAATCCCAATCCCAATCCCAATCCCGCAGCCAATCCCAATCCCAATCCCAATCCCAATCCCGCAGCCAATCCCAATCCCAATCCCAATCCAAATCCGAATCCCAATCCCAATCCCAATCCCAATCCCAATCCCAATCCCAATCCCAATCCCAATCCCAATCCCAATCCCGCAGCCAATCCCAATCCCAATCCCAATCCCAATCCCGCAGCCAATCCCAATCCCAATCCCAATCCCAATCCCAATCCCAATCCCAATCCCGCAGCCAATCCCAATCCCAATCCCGCAGCCAATCCCGCAGCCAATCCCAATCCCAATCCCAATCCCAATCCCAATCCGAATCCCAATCCGAATCCCAATCCAAATGCCAATCCGAATCCCAATCCGAATCCCAATCCCAATCCCAATCCGAATCCCAATCCGAATCCGAATCCAAATCCGAATCCGAATCCCAATCCCAATCCCAATCCCAATCCCAATCCCAATCCCAATCCCAATCCCAATCCCAATCCCAATCCCAAATCCAATCCCAATCCCGCAGCCAATCCCAATCCCAATCCCAATCCCAATCCCGCAGCCAATCCCAATCCCAATCCCAATCCCAATCCCGCAGCCAATCCCAATCCCAATCCCAATCCCGCAGCCAATCCCAATCCCAATCCCAATCCCGATCCCAATCCCGCAGCCAATCCCAATCCCAATCCCAATCCCAATCCCAATCCCGCAGCCAATCCCAATCCCAATCCCAATCCCAATCCCGCAGCCAATCCCAATCCCAATCCCAATCCCGCAGCCAATCCCAATCCCAATCCCAATCCCGCAGCCAATCCCAATCCCAATCCCAATCCCAATCCCGCAGCCAATCCCGCAGCCAATCCCAATCCCAATCCCAATCCCAATCCCAATCCCGCAGCCAATCCCAATCCCAATCCCAATCCCAATCCCAATCCCAATCCCGCAGCCAATCCCAATCCCAATCCCAATCCCAATCCCGCAGCCAATCCCAATCCCAATCCCAATCCCGCAGCCAATCCCAATCCCAATCCCAATCCCAATCCCAATCCCAATCCCGCAGCCAATCTCAATCCTAATCCCAATCCCGCAGCCAATCCCAATCCCAATCCCAATCCCAATCCCAATCCCGCAGCCAATCCCAATCCCAATCCCAATCCCAATCCCGCTCCCGTAGCCAATCCCAATCCCAATCCCGCAGCCAATCCCAATCCCAATCCCAATCCCAATCCCGCAGCCAATCCCAATCCCAATCCCAATCCCAATCCCAATCCCAACAACAATCCGAATCCGAATCCCAATCCCAATCCGAATCCGAATCCCAATCCCAATCCCAATCCCAATCCCAATCCCAATCCCAATCCCAATCCCAATCCCAATCCCAATCCCAATCCCAATCCCAATCCCAATCCCGCAGCCAATCCCAATCCCAATCCCAATCCCGCAGCCAATCCCAATCCCAATCCCAATCCCAATCCCAATCCCAATCCCAATCCCAATCCCAATCCCAATCCCAATCCCGCAGCCAATCCCAATCCCAATCCCAATCCCAATCCCGCAGCCAATCCCAATCCCAATCCCAATCCCAATCCCAATCCCAATCCCAATCCCGCAGCCAATCCCAATCCCAATCCCAATCCCGCAGCCAATCCCAATCCCAATCCCAATCCCAATCCCAATCCCAATCCCGCAGCCAATCCCAATCCCAATCCCGCAGCCAATCCCAATCCCAATCCCGCAGCCAATCCCAATCCCAATCCCAATCCCAATCCCAATCCCAATCCCAATCCCAATCCCAATCCCAATCCCGCAGCCAATCCCAATCCCAATCCCGCAGCCAATCCCAATCCCAATCCCAATCCCAATCCCGCAGCCAATCCCAATCCCGCAGCCAATCCCAATCCCAATCCCAATCCCAATCCCGCAGCCAATCCCAATCCCAATCCCAATCCCAATCCCAATCCCAATCCCAATCCCAATCCCGATCCCGCAGCCAATCCCAATCCCGCAGCCAATCCCAATCCCAATCCCAATCCCAATCCCGCAGCCAATCCCAATCCCAATCCCAATCCCAATCCCAATCCCAATCCCAATCCCGCAGCCAATCCCAATCCCAATCCCAATCCCGCAGCCAATCCCAATCCCGCAGCCAATCCCAATCCCAATCCCAATCCCAATCCCGCAGCCAATCCCAATCCCAATCCCAATCCCAATCCCGCAGCCAATCCCAATCCCAATCCCAATCCCAATCCGAATCCGAATCCCAATCCCAATCCCAATCACCCCTTCACATCCACCACACCGATCACCCCCTCACATCCACCACACCGATCACCCCCTCACATCCACTACACCCATCACCCCCCCCTCACATCCACCACACCGATCCCCCCCCTCACATCCACCACACCCATCACACCCTCACATCCCACCACACCAATCACCCCCTCACATCACCACACCGATCACCCCTCACATCCACCACACCCATCCCCCCCTCACATCCACCACACCCATCACCCCCTCACATCCACCACACCCATCCCCCCCTCACATCCACCACACCGATCACCCCCCTCACATCCACCACACCCATCACCCCCTCACATCCACACACCAATCCCCCCCTCACATCCACCACACCAATCCCCCCCTCACATCCACCACACCCATCCCCCTTCAAATCCACCACACCGATCACCCCCTCACATCCACCACCCCATCACCCCCTCACATCCACCACACCAATCCCCCCCTCACATCCACCACACCCATCCCCCCCTCACATCCACCACACCAATCCCCCCTCACATCCACCACACCCATCCCCCCTTCAAATCCCCACCACACAATCACCCCCTCACATCCACCACACCGATCATCCCCTCACATCCACCACACCCATCACCCCCTCACATCCACCACACCAATCCCCCCCTCACATCCACCACACCGATCACCCCCTCACATCCACCACACCGATCACCCCCTCACATCCACCACCCCATCACCCCCTCACATCCACCACACCAATCCGAATCCCAATGCGAATCCGAATCCGAATCCGAATCCCAATCCCAATCCCAATCCGAATCCCAATCCGAATCCGAATCCCAATCCCAATCCCAATCCCAATCCCAATCCCAATCCCAATCCCAATCCCAATCCCAATCCCAATCCCGCAGCCAATCCCAATCCCAATCCCAATCCCAATCCCAATCCCAATCCCGCAGCCAATCCCAATCCCAATCCCAATCCCAATCCCGCAGCCAATCCCAATCCCAATCCCAATCCCAATCCCGCAGCCAATCCCAATCCCAATCCCAATCCCAATCCCAATCCCAATCCCGCAGCCAATCCCAATCCCAATCCCAATCCCAATCCCAATCCCAATCCCAATCCCAATCCCGCAGCCCGCCCATCCCATCCCAATCCCAATCCCAATCCCGCAGCCAATCCCAATCCCAATCCCAATCCCGCAGCCAATCCCAATCCCAATCCCGCAGCCAATCCCAATCCCAATCCCAATCCCGCAGCCAATCCCAATCCCAATCCCAATCCCCTCACATCCACCACACCCATCACCCCCTCACATCCACCACACCGATCACACCCCTCACATCCACCACACCCATCACCCCCTCACATCCACCACACCCAGCCCCCCCTCACATCCACCACACCAATCCCCCCCTCACATCAACCACACCCATCCCCACCTCACATCACCACACCGATCACCCCCTCACATCCACCACACCCATCACCCCCTCACCACCACACACCAATCACCCCCGCACATCCACCACACCGATCACCCCCTCACATCCACCACACCCATCACCACCTCACATCCACCACACCCATCCCCCTCACACCCACCACACCCATCACCCCCTCACATCCACCACACCAATCCCCCCCTCACATCCACCACACCCATACCACCCCCTCACATCCACCACACCCATCACCCCCTCACATCCACCACACCCATCCCCCCCTCACATCCACCACACCCATCACCCCCTCACATCCACCACACCCATCACCCCCTCACATCCACCACACCAATCCCCCCCTCACATCCACCACACCCATCCCCCTTCAAATCCACCACACCGATCACCCCCTCACATCCACCACACCAATCCCTCCCTCACATCCCACACACCAAGCCCCCCCCTCACATCCACCACACCGATCACCCCTTCACATCCACCACACCGATCACCCCCTCACAACCACCACACCAATCCCCCCTCACATCCACCACACCAATCCCCCCCTCACATCCACCACACCCATCCCCACCTCACATCCACCCACACAGATCACCCCTCACATCCACCACACCCATCACCCCCTCACATTCACCACACCAATCACCCCTCACATCCACCACACCGATCACCCCCTCACAGCCACCACACCCATCACCCCCTCACATCCACCACACCTATCCCCCCTCACATCCACCACACCCATCACCCTCTCACAGCCACCACACCAATCCCCCCCTCACATCCACCACACCCATCACCCCCTTCAAATCCACCACACCGATCACCCCCTCACATCCACCACACCCATCACCCCCTCACATCACCACACCGATCCCCCCCCTCCCCACATCCACCCAAATCCCCCCCTCACATCCACCACACCCAGCCCCCCCCTCACATCCACCACACCAATCACCCCCTCACATCCACCACACCAATCCCCCCTCACATCTACCACACCAATCCTCCCCTCACATCCACCACACCCATCCCCCCCTCACATCCACCACACCGATCACCCCCTCACATCCACCACACCCATCACCCCCTCACATCCACCACACCCATCACCCCCTCACATCCACCACACCAATCCCCCCTCACATCCACCACACAATCCCCCCTCACATCCACCCACCCATCCCCCCCTCACATCCACCACACCGATCACCCCCTCACATCCACCACACCCATCACCCCCTCACATCCACCACACCAATCCCCCCTTCACATCCACCACACCAATCCCCCCCTCACATCCACCACACCCATCCCCCCTTCAAATCCACCACACCGATCACCCCCTCACATCCACCACACCCATCACCCCCTCACATCCACCACACCGATCCCCCCCTCACATCCACCACACCAATCCCCCCCTCACATCCACCACACCGATCACCCCCTCACCCTCACATCCACCACACCGATCACCCCCTCACATCCACCACACTGATCACCCCCTCACATCCACCACACCGATCACCCCCCCACATCCACCACACCGATCACCCCCTCACATCCACCACACCCATCACCCCCTCACATCCACCACAACGATCACTCCCTCACATCCACCACACCCATCACCCCCTCACATCACCACACCAATCCCCCTCACATCCACCACCACCAATCCCCCCCCTCACATCCACCACACCATCACCCCCTCACATCCACCACACCTATCCCCCCCTCACATCCACCACACCCATCACCCCCTCACATCCACCACACCAATCCCCCCCTCACATCCACCACACCGATCACCCCCTCACATCCACCACACCCATCACCCCCTCACATCCACCCACACCGATCACCCCTTCACATCCACCACACCGATCACCCCCTCACATCCACCACACCGATCACCCCCTCACATCCACCACACCCATCACCCCCTCACATCCACCACAACGATCACTCCCTCACATCCACCACACCCATCCCCCTCACATCCACCACACCAATCCCCCCCTCACATCCACCACACCAATCCCCCCCCTCACATCCACCACACCCATCACCCCCTCACATCCACCACACCTATCCCCCCCTCACATCCACCACACCCATCACCCCCTCACATCCACCACACCTATCCCCCTCACATCCACCACACCCATCACCCCCTCACATCCACCACACCGATCACCCCCTCACATCCACCACACCCATCACCCCCTCACATCCACCACACGATCACCCCCTCACATCCACCACACCCATCACCCCCTCACATCCACCACAACGATCACTCCCTCACATCCACCACACCCATCACCCCCTCACATCCACCACACCAATCCCCCCCTCACATCCACCACACCAATCCCCCCCTTGTCGAAGGAAATAGCCTCGCCCTCGCTTGAGCGTAGCTGATCTCGCCGCAAACGGGAAGTTCGCGACGGAGCGGTCGACGAAATGGGCTTCTGCAGTTCGGCGGAAGTTGCAGTCGAGCAGGTTCTGCTCGACGGAATCTGGTCGACGAGCTCTGCGCGATGAGCTCTGGTCGACGATCTCTGCGCGGTGAGCTTCCGTCGAAGAGCGCTGGTCGAAGAACTCTGGTCGAAGAGTTCTGGTCGAGAAGCTATGCGCGGCGAACGCTGTTCGACCGTGCAGAGTCGAGCTGATCGACCGAAAGCTGCAGAGTTGCGCGAAACTCTGCGAAGGCGTGCGAACATTCGCCCAGGAGATTTTGGCGAAGTTCTACCTGCGGAACGGCATCACGTGGTCGACGGCGCGCACCTGGCGAAACCGACGACACGTTTTCTACCTGGCACCTGCGCAATGTGCCTGACGGTGAAACCACCAACCTGCACCTACTTGGTAGGTGCGCACATCTGCGCAGATAGACAACCTGCGACCGTAGAAAGTTACCTGCGATTGCAGATAGTCACCTGCGACTGCAGTGCTGGCAGATCGCGCGCAGTGCAACGCTGGCAGGTCACTCTGCTGCAGCGTTGGCGAGCCGCTCTTCTGCTGCGCTGGCAGAGTTCGCCCTTGCTAGGAGTTCCATGCCATTCTAGTCCTTTTGTTTCTGTATGCCTCATTGTTGCTCTCTATTCTTTTCTTTTCCTATCAACTTTGTTAATGCACGTCTTTCTTTCCTTAGTGGAATTCTTGCCAAACTTCTCAGTGAACATAGCAAGCAGTAAGAACGTTAGCATAGCGCTACGATCACTCGCACAACCCCGTGCCCTCCTCCGTAGTCCACTCCCGTTGTGTAGCGACTGCGAACCTGCTGTCTGCTGGCCAGCTCAAGGAGAACGGCGTGAAGTTCCAGGACGATGGTGCAGAGACGCTGCTGGTGTCTTCTGGCGGCGATGTTCTTGGCCGCGCACGCTACTCTGGCAGAGTGCTCTACACGGACCTGCGCCCCTGCTCGTCAAAATCGACGGCGACTTTGACGGATGTTGTGGCTCTGCGGACGATCGCGTCGGCGACGAAGTCTACCCCGGGCCAGCTGCATGCTCGCCTTGCGCACGTCGGCATCGACACGATCAAGAGCTCGGCGAAGCATGAGGTCGCCACCGGTCTGGACATCAAGAAGTCGACCGCTGACGA